GCGTGAAGCAACAGCAAACCAAGAAACTGGATGCAACGGTGTAGTTTACTGTAGGAGGCCGTACGAGGCGATGACAACTGACATGCATCGTGACGTCGCTTACATTGTGACGTAATGTAAAATGGTTCGATTACGAGGGGGCACACTAGAATGGCGCAGTGACGGGATAACGTCATTCAATTGTTACGTCTGATTGTCTGATAATGTATTTTTTTTTTTTCGATTGTTCTAACCGCTAGGCATCTTAGAAATGCCGATAACACGACACGAAATGGCGAAACAGCGATATTGCGATATAGCGATATAGCGATACGGCGATAATGCGATATAAACAGGCAATTTCGTGTCGTGTTATCGCAATGTCGTGTCGAGTTATCGCAATGTCGTGTCTTGCTATCGCCATATCGTGTCTTGCTATCGCCATATCGTGTCGTGTTATCGCTATTTCGTTTTTGGGCAATATCGCTGTATCGTGTCGCCATATCGCAATATCGTGTCGTGCTATCGCTTTGTCGCAATATCGCCTAGATTTTTCAGGGCGATAAAGCGATGGCCCGAATGAGCCACCATAGATTACTGACGGTTCTGCAGGAAATGGCTCCGGATGTGCTTGAGTCCATGAACCACACCTAACAAGTCTGAACAATGGTTTATCCTCTCTTAGTGTTGTCTTACGGGTCTGCCAGGACTTTGAAGATCTTTAACATCATTGGTAACCCAGTGCTTGTTCAGGAGTCTTGAAATGATGGAAGGATTGCGCCCAAGTTGATGTCGAATTTGTCTGAGGGACATTCCTGCATTTCTCATGCCAATAATATACCACCTTGTAGCTACTGACAATTTACGACACGCCATGACAGTTATGATACTGAATATTCAGTACAAATTGAAAGGAGAGAGCGTGACATGTTATCGGTAAAATCTTGATTTGAACAATGTTGGGGGTATGACATTTCACGTGCATTGAGCGCAGTTGCGCGTACATTGAATATCTCCACAAAACATCATGCTAACACAGCAAGATACGAAATGTTAATAAGACATTCAGAAAAATGCTCTGTTATCTTAATTCACAGAATTATAGATCTCTGAATTAGGTGTTCCTTAATTAATTTCCATGTGTATATATATCCATTAATATACATGATATAATGGTAAATTATTCTGTTTCCATATTTACGGGTGCATATCTTTATGTTTGCGATGAACCAACCTATATGTTTGAGATTAGCACATCTACATGTTTGAGATGAAATTACGTGTATGTTTAGATGAGCATACCCTATAAATCTGAGATGAACCCATCTGTATGGTGGCTCATTCGGGCCATCGCTTTATCGCCCTGAAGAAATCAAGGCGATATCGCGACAATGCGATAGTACGACACGATATTGCGATATGGCGACACGATACAGCGATATTGCGATACAGCCAAAAACGAAATAGCGAAATCACGACACGACATGGCGATAACAAGACACGATATGGCGATAACACGACACGAAATGGCAACAACTCGACACGAAATGGCGATAACAGGACACGATATGGCGATAACACGACACGAAATGGCGATAACACGACACAATATGGCGATAACACGACACGACATGGCGATACGGCGATATTGCGATATAGCGATTCTGCGATATTGCGATACGGCGATATTGCGATACGGCGATATTGCGATATTGCGATACGGCGATATTGCGATATTGCGATACGGCGATATTGCGATATGTTCACTTGTTAGATCTGCGCATGCTCAAACGGAAAACGAGGCTCATTCGCCATTTGCAAAGTAAAGGGAAACGGGTATGTATTTTCTTACTGAATGTCCTACAGTATAACACTCATTTGTTTTCATGTGCATTGATTGTTTTTGTTGTTATAAACAGACGAAAAACGATGCTAAACTTTGAGGCATCCCGCATACCACTTTGAATGTACACAACGTATACAAGAAGATTAGACTTGTATTTCCACATAATATGCATAATCGTGTGTAAGCTTAGGACTGCGTATTGATTTGTTTTATCTGACACTCTTTGAAAAATAACTTGTTCAAAAACCCATTTCTACATTGAAATATTTGCATCCAAATGGAATAAGGTAAGCCAAATTTTCTCATTTTGGCTAGCTATGCTAATAGTGTGTGAATGCGACCTCACGAAGTTTTACTATGTTATGTTAAGTACGTGGGTCTTCAGCATACAGTGTTGTTTACTCTTTATTATAGAAATCATCCAAAGCAAGTTGAGGGGAAACTAAAGCACTGGACGAAAGTGATACAAATGTCTCAGTTTGAAAGTGATTTTCCTCAAGGCTTTCTCTGTTTTACATCCCACTTGGAATTTGTCCAAGCTGCTAGCTTTTGTGGAGACAATAACCTAGATGTCATTGACTCGTATGAGATCAATGGTTTCAATCTGTTAATATTTTTTGATGAAGCTGATTTGTTGCTATGCAAAACATTCTGTCTCGATCAATTCTTTACGTTCCTTGTCTACACTGTGACATCATCAATTTATTAAAAGGTGAGTAGTAACTGGACATAATGTACAGTTAAGCTTACAGAGTTTAACAAATCAGGACAAAACCAATTAAACTATTTATGTTTTCAAGAAAACATTCTTACTGCAGTTTATTTCAAACCGCATTGTGCAGTATTCATTGCAAAGCACGGCATTGTGGCATTTTACAAATAACGCAAAGATACCTTAAAAAGGCAATTGGGCTCATGGTTCTAAGCAACCTAAGCTTCTTCTGCATCTCGAAATGGTACCTGAATAACCACCCAAAATGATTCTGACTGACCCAAATGTTGACTTCATTCTCATGATACTAACCATAACAAAATACACTGAGTAAACACTCACTACATTCCACTGCTTCAATGCTTTGATTTAATATCAAGTATATCACTGAACAATGTCATCTTAAACATGGAATTATTTCGCTTCTGGTTCGGATCCCGATAGCTTGTTCATTGGTGCTTTTGTCCAGGTGAGCTTCATGGCTGGTGTCACTAGTAATTGTAAAATATTTTCTTTTAACCACCGACATTGGAAACCGGTAATATGTGACCAAATACAGAAGATAACACTGGTTGTTTGAGTGGATTTTAAGTGTGTTATATTATCGCTTTAGTTAATGTTCCTGTGTTAGACTTTGATTAAATTATGCAGTGTCAAAACGTTGGACTGTTAAAGTTATATTTATCAGACTGAAACACTGTGTTTCCGGAAAAAGGAACAGGCCCTGTCAGGTTTCTGTGAGTTGTGCACCTATAAATGGAACCTGTAGTCATTTTCTTGATGTTCAGGTGGTCAAATAGAATAATAATGATGTACAGTAATTAAGTCAATACTTTCGTGTAGTTCAGGTTATGATAGCTTTAGCTATTGAACACACTGGCTCTGCTAATTTCAGTCACTGCAACTTCAACTCATGACATGCTGAAATTAGATTGAAACAAGTTTATAAATATACTGATGAGAGGAGGATGTTTCATTCTCGTGAAGGCATTACATGTTAAAACCTTACTTTGCACATACATATGTTTATTTGTCTGATCATCATATGGTGACACTTACAGCCGTTTAATATTAATGTTGATGATGCTGACGGCGCCCTACTGTAATGCTGGAGGAAAGGGTGTCAGTCAAGCAAAGTGTCATTTACATAGCGCCTTGAGTCGTCTTTTGGAGATGTTTCTGAAAGGCATGTATATATCCAGTGTGTTGCACAGGATAGCAACCTAAACTGACTCATTTGCTTGCATGAAATCGGCTGGCCTGAAAAGTGTTTCCTTTTCGTTGATACATTTTATGGCACATGCTCATCCTGATGTGTAACACATACATAAACACACACGCACACACGCACACACGCACGCACGCACCCATACATGCATGCATACATACATACATACATACATACATACATACATACATACATACATACATACATACATACATACATACATACATACATACATACATACATACATACATACATACATACATACATACATACATACATACATACATACACACACATACATACTCACCTTTATGCCTGTAGACATGCAGATTTGCCTGTATACATATATAAGCACAAAGTAAATTGTGGAATGTTTATCCTTACAGATTACTTTGATCATGTCAAGGCCTGTTATGGGTAATTTGTTCGTGTTGAAGTTGGAAGACAAACACTATTTGGAAGAGTTTAACCTTCGAAGTGTTTATGAAGTTGTCAGTTATTCCAATGGTTACCTATTCAGTTTCAAGTGCTTATCTGCCTACATTCTATCCAAGTTGATGTTGGCAGAGAGGAAAACGTATTTTCTAAGTTTTTGAGAGGTTTGTGTTGACTGTCAACTTTGGTACTTATAATAGGGGTACAATTCACTATACAGGCGCAAGGCGCGATTTAAGAATGTTTATGTTGGTTGCACAATTTGCAACCTCAGAGAGAAGCAGGCTTCGAAAAATGCATCATTGATTTTGCTACCCTTATATATTAAATTAGTAAGCACAGCCCTCTTATAGAGGAACACTTGCTGTAATTCTTTGTAGTTCTATTTCCTCAGTGGATACCGTCAATCTCTTTGGCGAATCATACACCGTAGTCTTCCCACATAAGCACAAATGTATTGTCCGACAGATTTTGAAAGTATATAAAATAGATTCATGTAATATATATAATAGTTAGTGAGGGAGTGAGTATAGTTTTACGCCAATAGCATATTCCATCAATATGAAGGCGAGGGACACCAGAAATGGGCTTTACACATTGCATCCATGTGTGGATTCGAACCCGGGTCGGCGGCATGATGAATATATATAATACAAAAATAGATGACAGAATAGCATGAGTGATATATGAACGTTATTAAACTAATGATGTACATACGGAATTTAGATATGTTTTTGTGCAAAATTATGAATCAGTAAATATGAAAATGAATTACGTTCCTTGTGATCTTTTTTTTCAGCATGGATGAAATTCTTGAAGAACTCAACCTGTCATCACTGAAAAAGAACTTTCAGGACAACAAGGTATGGAAAAGATCATGTTCATTTTTCTTATTTCGTACGTCTATGGTTTATGATCTATTGCACCTATTCTACGTTTCTCTTAAGGTTGATCCTACAGACGTGCTGTCTTTGACTGAGGAGGACTTTAGAAGTCTTGGCGTGCAGACAATTGGGGAAAGAGCACGATTAAGACAGAGGTGCAAGAATTTAGTTTCCGGTAAGATTATCAGACCAATTAATCCGTAATTCATGAGTGCTGATTATGTCATGTTACGTTCAAATAATAATATATCGGCGTTTGACAATTTATTAACTTTTCCAGAGTCTATGTCAGAATCACCAGTTGTTCAACGTCTCCGGATGTTTCAGTCTCAACGTAGACAACGGGTATTGTGGCAATTTCTTCTTACTCATTCATCATATAAATCAAAGCAACTAAATATATTCTTATTAGCAAATTTGTATTGCAAACAATTGTACACACAGATAAAGAACCTGGTATTAGTATCGTGCTCATTTTTCTAAACAATGAATATTTGCTGTTGCTATTTGTTGCACATACTTCTGCTCATATTGATTTGGAAAAACGTTCGTGACGATAATGTCGCTATTATTTCAAGGTGAGTTGGAGAGGTCCAAACTCTGCTGCATCACGATCGACAACCAGACGACTACATATCGGTTGGAAACATAAATCTCGAAGCACGTACACCCTGGTTAGTGCAGGCAAGGGTGGCGGTTCTCAGACTTTTGATGCAGATAAAAATCTGACTTTAACAGACCTTGAAAATAAGGTCATAAGCATTTATTTTCCAAGTGGTGTAAACCAAAGCCAAAACCTTGAGATCTCTAACCTGACGTATCACTTGGCTCACTTTAACGGAAAAAAGCTTCCGAACAAGATCAATAACGAAGATTTTACCGTAGATTTGCTGTATACGCACAGAAAGTCCTACCCAATTAGGATATATCTGCACACATCACCGGTTGAAGAGCAGGTACGTGTGGCATCTTAAAGAAAAGTAATGATAAAGAATTTTGTGTTCAACTATGTCATCCTATACAACTTGACAACCCTCAATGTATTATTCAAGTGTACCTGTGCATACTGTAGAATTTACAAATAGTTCAGTCAGGCATTGAGCATTGAATATGTTTAAATGTAATTTTACACCACGTAATACTGGGTGACGCATATACGACATCATCAGAATGTCTCTATGTATACTGGACAAAAACAGTTAGGGATATATGTAAATTTTGAAATTATGAATAATGATGTATTTATTCATTGACACACTGATGAAATATCAATCATAAAAATACCAATATCCCTAACTTATTTTGTCCAATATATTATTACAGACTGTCGAGGAGGGCTGCCCAGGAGATGAGGAGCCTGATGCGGTTGCGATAGATAATACCTCAGTGGTAAACGTCTGAACACACATGATATATTCTGTAGCTCAAAAGGGGTCACAAGCTAAGAACAGAATGCATGTTTCATAAATCTGGTCAGAGTTGGTATTATTATATTTAGTATTGAATAATGAAAGCGTAATGCTGTTTAACATGAATATTTTCCACATGCTTCCCATTAAAAGAGAATGTAACATACATGAATTATGGCTTATCACGTTCTGTAACCTGAGCCTGAAAAGTCAGATAAGCGATTATTTAACATCACTTTGAACAGTTATATGACGGTGGCGGTCCGTTGTGGGAGGTAAGTCTGAGGTTGTGAGTGAGCGAGTTTACTTTACGCCGCACTCAGCAATGTTCCAGCTATGGCGGCGGTCTGGAAATAATCAAGCATGGACCAGACAATCCAGTGATCAACAGCATGAGCATCGATCTGTACAATTGGGAACCGATGGCGTGTGTCAACCAAGTCAGCGAGCCTGACCAACCGATCCCGTTAGTCGCCTCTTACGACAAACATGGGTTACTGAAGAACGATATTCCAACCCGGACCTTTACGGAAATCTGAGGTTGTGACAAAACTGTGGGTATGGCTTGTATTCAGGGCAAATGAGGGATTTGACCATACGTTCATCTGATTCTGTGCTGGAAGCTGTAGCGCCTTAGGCGTGTTCCATAAGGCAAATAACGAATATTTCTTTGTGAACATGAATTCGAAAGGTGTTAGTTTTCTGCGTAGAGATAACTTCTAAAACATATGGGCAACGTATTTAATGAATATTAATTAGGAACACAAATGTGATCAACCCGTCGAAATTCTGTGCCTGTAAATTAAGTAATATAGTATGACCAGAAATTATTGAGAATTTTAGGAATATGTTTATTTGGATTACTAGTATAAACAACCTTGACCAGCTCTCAAGTGCTTGGTTTGATTCAAGGGAGACAACTCCGTTAATCCTTTTTCATTAGTTTGTGGAGAGTTATCCCCCTTTGTTTACTTGCTAGCAGACGACATTTTCAGTGATCCTCAGAATGGATGATTTAGAGAAGAGGAAGTTGATTTTAGAGTATTGTAACAAGGACATCAGATCAGTTAAAGTGATTTCAAGTAAAAAAGGCATCCCTTTGTCCACTATTTATCGTGTTTTGAAAGATATTGCAAATGGATATGGCATTGTGCACCAGGGAGGCGCAGGTAGGCTCAGAAAATTGACTGTCGTTGACAGGAGGCGGCTTGGTATTCTTGTTTCTAAAAACAAACAAAGGAGTTTAGAAACCTTAAGGCTGGATTTGATTGATAGAGGAACTGTGGTTGTCTGTGTGGAGACAATTAGAACTGAGCTGCATGCAATGGGTTGGCAGAAAAGTCGAGGAATTCCATCACCGATCATGAAACCTGAACAAAAAGGAGCGAATGACGACCTGGTTCTTACATCATAAAAATTTAACTGGGTCAATGAGATTTTCTCAGATGAAAGTTCTGTGTGGCTGTTTCCTAATACACTGAAATTCTGGACCAAACAAACTGAAAAACCTTTGTATCATCGCCCAAAGTACAGTCCGAAATTTAACGTGTGGGGTGGCATATCTTTGTTAGGGGCAACGTCCCTCTGTGTATTTGAAGGGAATATGAACAGTGAACGGTACACAGATATTCTCGAGGGACATTTACTTCCATCTGCTCACGTGTCCTAAGGACATCTTTTGATTTTCCAGCAGAACAACGACCCAAAACATCGTTCAAAGCATTCACAGGCCTGGTTTCGGATCCAAAATATGACTTTATTAGATTGGCCAAGCTATAGCCTTGACCTAAATCCAATAGAAAATGTTTGGGGACTTATGAAGGAAAGTGTCAATAAGAAAAATCTGACAAATGTTGCTGAAATGAAAGAAGAGGTGGTCCGATAGTGGGACAGCATGGACCACGACTTTCTAACTTCTTTGATCAGTAGTATGCCCCGCCGCATTGAAGCCTGCATTGGTGCTCATGTTGACTTGACAAAATACTAACTGTTCACCTGTCTTTGAATCTGGATTTATGTTCTGCTAAATATTCACATTTAATACGTGAGTAATGAGTGAAAAAAATATATAAAAATTACAATCTTTAAGTTCTCAATACTTTCTGGTTGTACTGTATACCTTATAGAAATAAAGTCACGTGTGATAGATTGTTTTATGTGTTTTGGCACAGGTGATGGATATTGATGAGAGTACGTCAGATGACGGAGATGAGCTCCTTCACTGGATAGTGGGACACCAACCATTGTCTTTAATGAAAGGCATGGCCCTGTAATGGTATAGTAGTGAAAGCTTGGCGCTTCGTCGTTTTCTAATGTTTTCATTGAGACGTGAACACATTTCTACACCGGAAAAATCGATTGGTAATGTTAAGTGTTCACTTTTGTTATTTAACACCGAAGTCAACAAAAAGAATAGTACATAAATGCAGGAAATAATACCCTGCGATTTCTGTAGATTTAAGTTGTGAATTAATGTTATGCCATAATTATATACAACATAATATAAATATCGTTGTGCATATTGAAGTGTTATAAATAGTGCGGAAAGCAACTGAGTATGTTTAACTGTATGTCATTTTACACTGCAACTGCATATTTAGCTCCGAGAGCACACAGAGCGTGGGCACAGTCAAGACGAGATTGCCATCACTGATGAAGATCTGGAGCAGCCAACTGAAAGAGAAGTGTAATGATGTTACACATACTTTTTTCTTAATTTTATACGGGTGTTGTTTAAATGAGTAATTATGAATGCGGTCAGATGCTATATCCAGTAGCCCATGCTGTTGTTTCTTTCTTGCTTCTTTGACGCTTTTCTACTCAGATGTAGGGGCGGTGGGGGTAGCCTAATGATTAAAGAGTCGGCTCGCTACGCTGACGACCCGGGTTCGAATCCCACATGGGCACAATGTGTGAAGCTCAATTATGGTGTCTCCCGCCGCGATATTGCTGGAATATTGCTCAAAGCGGCGTAAAACCAAACTCACTCCCTCACTCACTCAAATGTAATGTTTCCAGATCTGATGAGAGTGTCCACAACATACTTCTGAGACTCAACGGCTGCACGAATGTGGGTCGCTATAACCTGGTAAACGTCACACGGGATAACGTCCTCCCAGGAGCCTTGAGGGCGTTCAACAGAGCGTCATTTAATGCCACCAACCAGCTCTCGGTGAAATTCGCTGGAGAATTCGGTATTGATGAGGGAGGGCCAAGCAGGGAGTTCCTTCGTCTTCTCCTCACGGAGGTCTCGTCCATGCCAATATTCATTGGTACTGATGAGTGCAAACTCCTTGATCTAAACTACCCAGGTGATACACATATCACAGTATATCCACGAATGTTAAAATATACAAAAATATTATATATAAGATAATTTCCATTTCATCTTTCGTATTTATGATTATCAGCAGAACTAAATTTATATACAACATCTAAGGACATCGTCCACCTTCATGGTAAGTTAGGATAAACAATAGAGCCTTTTGACTTACTACGCGCCCCCAAAATACAAACCTATTTTTGCCATTTATTTTCAGTTATCTTTTGAGATGGCGTATCAGGTATCGGTTCCATGCTTGGATTATATACTTATTCACAATACAATGGTGGAGGAATAGACATGTGTGCACCTAACAAAACAAACACTTCCTTGCTTAGATGTTTAATCTTAGCTGAATGTTGTGGAGCATGTATAGGCTTCCTCCAATATCCTGTCACCATCACATCCTGGCTTACAGGGGCGGTGGGTAGCCTAGTGGTTAAAGCACTGGCTCGTCACGCCGAAGACCCGGGTTCGAATCCCCACAAGGGTACAATGTGTGAAGCCCATTTCTGGTGTTCCCCGCAGTGATGTTGCTGGAATATTGCTAATAGCGACATAAAACCCAACTCAGTCAGTCCTGGCTTACATTTCTGTTTTGGCTAAGCGTAGAGCTGTAACACTCTTTGATTTCTCAATATCCATATTCTTCACTGTCAGTTATCTGGGACCACAACTAACTAACTGCTCAAGCGCATGACCAAAAAATTTCACTTCCTTTCTGGAAGAATTTTGTCAACAAGGAAGAGTATTTTTTATCATGTTGAAAGCGGATTTAGATTTTCAAAATGTCCTTTTCAACAGCTATATATAATAATCTTAAAGGACCTAAACTTTGGCATTCATATTTCTCCTTTGAATGACCTATATTTTCTTTTCTCACAATTTATGCTGACAATGCTTGAATATCGATTCTGACATCCCGTATGTAGTGTCTGCTTTTGTCAACTATCTATACAAGTAAGGTGCTGGGTATTTGCAGTAGAGTTGTCATGTCAATTGTCATAGTAGCTTTATGCATGCGAGTGCAGTGTGTTCTGTGTCTGTATCTGTAACTTTATTAATAGACAATAGTTATCCGAAACACATACATCCGTAATACCACATCTTTGTATAAACGTTGCACAGGTGTTTGGATATTAAATTATGTAACTTATCAATGATTAGAACGAAACTAAATTGAATATCAGCATGGTTTATTTTAATATCACAAGTTTTACACTGAATGCAATTAATAGAATGATAAATGGACATTTTGTATTACTATCGGATTATTTTCACTCAAAATTCAGGAAGGCTTGCGTGTGTATACGTCAGCGAATGAGAGTATTGCAAAGAGTGAGTGAGAATAAATTTCGTGTTTTCATCTCAATATGCACTATTTTATATTTTAGCCTTACAAAGCAAAACTTATCAGACTGTTGGATTGATGATGGCATATTCCCTTGTTCACGGGGGCCACAACCGTCCTTTCTCAATACTCCTTTATGACGTCATCGTCGGAGGTATAGACGCTGCAGCACCTACTATTGACCACATTTACCATCCTGAGTACAAAGGAACAAATAACTAAGGTAAAGTACTTTTTCCGTTCTCGGTCATGTGCTTGCAAAAATAAACATACAATATCAGTATTTGTATAACCATAAATATGTCTGGTTACAAAGAACAATATCCAGGACATTTGTTATTGAACGTGCCTGTTTCGCAAACACACCGACAGTCCTATAGGATTCTAAGTTCTTTTCAGCTGTGCCAAGCAGAGGACACGTCAGCAGTGCCAGAAGCTGAGGAGCTGATCCTCCTTGCAGGATGTGGCGCAATGATGTACAGGGCAGATCGGAAGGACGAGATGATTACAGCACTCATTCATTTCCTGGTTCTGGGTCGTGTGTCACATTGCATTGACCAGTGAGTGTAATATACTTCAAATACATTTATTTTGCTATAATAGTATTATATAATCTCACAAGAACAGCAAAGATGTAATAATGGTGCGTGTTCACTTTCTGTGGGGTAACAAGTTGATCATGTGTTATACTTGTGGAAACATTTGGATGTCTTTATTAAAGCTTGCCCTCTCAATCGACTCATTGTAGATTCTGTCATGGACTCGAAACCCTGGGGGTGCTCGAGGCAGTGAGAACAAAACAGGCACAGCATGAAAGAGCTGTTTGTTCATGAGGACCACAGCATAGATTCCTCGACTTTTGAACTCATCTATACACCAGTGTTTAGCGAGGAAGGTAGTAATACACACAGGCTTGAGAAATTGGTGCACTCAAACTGGAGAGACGTCCTGCTGGATATTGAAGGTATTTGCAAGTCTCTTTAGGCAACATAGTGGTTAATGAATAAGTTGTTTTTTTATGGATATACAACTTCTTTATTCTGTACAGGCGACGTTTTGACATAGATTCTACTGTCGTAGTAAGGCAAGTGGTTCCATGAGAAGTATTTTTGGGTGATATATATATATATGTGTGTGTACATACATACATACATACATACATACATACATACATATGTATATATATATATATATACATATGACATGTTTGGACAATAGATGAGGGATGAGGCTGTATTATTATCCTCTACTAATTAGTATAAACAAGTCATTTTCGCCTCTCAGGGACATCTATTGTTTGGGGTATAGATAAGGGTGAGGCGAACATGAGTTCTGTCGAAACGTCGCCTATACAGAATAAAGAAGTTGTATATCCATAAAAATAGTCCTCATTCTTCATCTACTCAACTTCTAGAATGACAATCAAAGAAAATATTGTGGTCAGTCTTCTTATTGCATGTATACTTGATATTATATGGGTCTTAGCATGATAAACAACTGCGATTTCTTTTTATCTGTAAGGAACTATCATGCTTTCGCCTAAGAATCAATGTGTTGATATAACGTCATAACTGAAACCAGACATTGATACGTTTGAATTCGCGAGTTATAGGTTTGTACAACTTCACTATTTCCAGAGGGTGTGGAAGATACGTCTCTGAAGGAGTTGCTGATATTTTCAACTGGTGCCGACAGAGTTCCGCCACTTGGTCTCAGACCGCAGCCAACCTAACGTTTCACCAGTGTGACCCACTTTCAGCAGAGGCAAAGAGAACTTTCCGTTCGCCAACACATGTTCAAACACATTATCTTTGCCGCTAATTGCGTGTTATGATATGTTCAAAGGAACATGGTTGCAGCTGTAAAGTCCACCTATTTACTACAGGTAAAGATGTAGTTGTACGGTTCCATAGTTATTACACGACCTGTAGGGGGAATTAAGACCCTTTGATCATGTAATACATTGTACAAGCTGCATAAATATACGTGTATTAAAATACACTCTTATCTTGAAATAGAATAATCATTTACCTAACAACACAGGAAAAGCTAACCAGAATATACCATTATTATGTTAGCATCACATTAACCTTCTTATGACACTTATGTTTGGACTACGTAAATACTGTTTCTATGCATTGCATGGATACATGCAGGCATTGCTTTGTTTAGAATATCACTTGGATAATGAGACAAATGTGTCCTTATGAGCTCATTTAGCAACTTCAGTTATTATTCTCTTTTAGTTTGTCAACACCTGTGATTCAGAATCTATGGAAAGATGTACACATACATTACTTTTAACAATTGAGAAATAGTAGAACTTAATATCATTTTATACAGTTCCGTCATATGAGTAAGACATTCAGAAACGTAATTGGTGTAGAGAGTATTTTTACACGACAGGCTCATTACGTTTTATTTAAACAATGTATACTTCGAATGTGCATACTACGAATGTAACAGTTTTGAAGATGACAAATGGCCTACATTTATAATCTCTTTTGAATTTTAGTTTACAGTGAATAGTATTTTACACAAAACAGTACTTGCGTGAGACATGATTTATAATTGAAAAGTTGATTACGGTTTTGTTTCAACCATTATTTTCAGTATGTTATTCGTATGGAATAATTATTAGTTCGGGTTTAAAGTCAAACCCTCTGTTTGTAATCCTAAGAATAATTCGGCGCCTACATGAGAGTCATATAAAAGGGGGGCATTAATGAAAGTGACAAGATGCTTCAGATGAAGAGGTTTGAACTGTTTGAAAAATGTGACTCCATGTCTCCTAACATTCTTTAATAAAGTCATATTTGATGCACGTTTCCCTCCAGTTTTGACACGAGCCAAGCATATAGGTCAAGAGCTTCCTGGGTATCCTTTGGCTCTGTCTTCCCGTTGAGGATTAGGAGATTCTGACAGACGTCTTCGAACTCTTCTTCACATCCCGAAGGGCGAGGTATGGTGCACATTGACTGAATAGCGTGGATGTCTCGTGCGTCAACTTCAGTCTTGAAATCAACAGTGCCTGAAACATATACGAAGGGTTTAACGCAGTGTCACAACAAGTATAAACGACACACATTTCGCGAGTTTTGGGGTGGAACCCGGGTCAAAGCGTAACATGCCAACGAGTTATCTTATAACATCTTTCTACCGTAAGATATGGAAAGTTATGTTTATGCATTAACTGCAACACAACATGATATGGACAATACTGTTGGTGACTCCAGTGAATCCTACCATATTCAGATGGAATAAAAAAGAGAAGATCTGGCTTTCCACTGACATCTGCCCCCGTTCGCCTAACCCTGTGCTGGTTCCATTCATTGGCGATCTGGTCAAGCTCAGTCTGTATCAGCCGAGTGAAACAGAACCTCAAACACTCCCTGTTCAAAAACAGATGTTGCACTTTTGACAGTTAATGTTCACTGATGAACTAAGTGTAAATGTAAAATCCTCGTGTACACTGTAAATTCGCTAAATAAGTCTGTATAACGGGTTTTACGGTCATATATTCATAAATGCAAATCGTGTGTTGAAATTCATTCCTATGGTAACAGTAACAGCTTCACATGCAGCTTTTATAATCAACAAAACAAACACATGTTAGAGAACGATACGAAATCAGAAAAGAGTTGTGTGCTCGTTGGCGTTGCCTACCTTTCTTAGGTTTATTGAAACAAATGCAAAACACACTGCTTGGTTTGCCAATTAAATATGTATGAACCAATAGCAATTCTATTTTCATATTAACAAAACATTATGAAATTATCTATTTCAATGTTGAATACAGCAAAATATAATGAAAGAAATAGTTGTGATTGCTACTTACATGTGAAGGTTGTTGTCAGTTGATACAATGCCCTGAGATTCCATGTCCTTGAACAAGTTGATCCAGTAATCCGCACCATTTTGTCTCAAGGACAACCACCATCTTTCTATTCTCTGCAATAAACAATGCTTCTTTCAAAGTCAGTTACACATGCATTTATTTAGTGCTGAATGCTCCCAGTCATATCGATGTGTATAACACATGGAAAATAGACTTTACCTCTATAAGACATATTAAGACATTCCATGAAAATATCTAGTTTGAGTGGCATTGTTGATATGGTGAACAACAGGGAGTGTTCAATAGATATACAACTTCTTTATTATTAATATGAGCGACGTTTCGGTGTAGCTACTTACACCGTTATCAAGCAAGTGATGTACAATACTGCAGGCAAGGCTATATATACATAGTCAAGTTTGAACAGTAAGTTGATTGATGTCTACACAATTAATGAGGTTTATGTACAGCGTTTACACAAGAAGGCAACTGTTACATGTACATTTTGTTACTATGTATATATAGCCTTTCTTGCAGTATTGTACATCTCATGCTTGATGACAGTGTTAGTAGCTACGCCGAAACGTAGCTCAATAGTACAGAAGGTGTATATCTATCTATCTTCCTCAGTTGTTCTATGAAAATAGGAGGTGTTTTCATCTTTAGATGTCACTGAAACAACGTGAACAGAAACTACCATGTGTGATGAAAGAAAACCCTTTCCACATCCATACAGAAATCACTACTAAAAGCAGAGTGGATAATTCCGACTATGTCATGAGCTGTTTTATAGTGATGATACTCGGTGTATTGTGAGCTAATGCTTCATACTTAGGAATAAGTATCAGGGTTTATATGTTTTGAGTTCAGTAAAAACCTGATTTCTGTGAGAACTGCCATACAAGACACTGTTTTCTCCTGCCATATCATCCGTGTGTGACCACCTCATTGCTTTTTGTATATCTTCAATAAATACGTTCTCAGTCCCCCTGTCCATTCTTATGCAGCGGGGAACCCCTGAAAGGAAAACAAATACTGTTCAGTATACCGTTAATGCAATGTACGGCACCACAATGCATCATATTTAACATAGTTACCGTTGTCGAACATTTCCTACGTTATAACATATGTTATATTTGGGATTACACTTTCTCAGTAAAGTACAGATTGTAGTACTTTTGATGGAGTGAGTCCCATTCTGGATTCGAACCCACACCCTCAGAGTCACGCAACTTATAGCTAGCACACAAAGTCAGCCACCTAACCCGGTCAGCCACCGCTGAGTTACATTTGACCACTCTGTAAATAGCACTGTGTATTCATTTCCAACGCTGACTTGATGCAAAGTACAACTTTTGTGAATTGGAATTAGAGCGGCATTAAAAACAACATAATTGGGATCTCGAGTTGTTTGAGGTTCTGAATGTATCAGAAATACAACTGTAGTCTGAAACATTGGAAACAGAAGTCATGCATTAGGCCAAAACGATGATACTATACTCCTCCAGAGTCTCCATTACCTCCAATACTGTCCACGTAGTGCAGGAAATAGTGAGCTACAACATATGGATCTTTGTTACTTCTGCCAACTTTGAGCCATAGTATTCGTCTTGAAAAGCTGAAAATGATAATAAAGTATATATATGCCTTCATTCAAATTTCCTTAACTATGTAAGAATGACAACATGGTGTCTGGTACTAATAATTATTATATAATATTTAGTATGAACTTACCCGCAAATAGCGCCGTGAATAGCAAAACCAAATGGTGTAATCTTGTCGTAGCCATCTATATGTACAAGATAATTGGGTCCCTTGTTACTGTACAGTCGTCTTGAAAAACGTTGGGTCCTTCGGGCAGATACTCTGTCTGGGTCGACAATCCTCAGTATCTCCATGACCATATGCCTAGTATGAATAGGAGTCGTTTATTTCGGATAGAATTATGAGAAACTGATGTGAATAACTTCGACGAGACGAGCGAGCGATTTATGCACTAGGCTACCACCACCGAACCTCACAATAAACAATATTCCACTGACGATGTATTCTTTGACATTTTATGCCTGAACAATACCGTTGTCGCTTGTTGCCCATTACATTTTATAATTTGTAAAGACACGGATAGTGCACAGGATACTCTACCTTGGTACTCTGAGACCATGAACATTTCTTAGGCGTTCAGTCATGCTTCTGTAACCGAGACAGGTACCACTACCTTGCAGCTCATTCTGAAAAGAACAGAATAACTAAGAATAAAGCGTGCATGCGTGTATGTGTACATATATCAAAGACAAATAAAGTTTGATAGCACATTAAGGATGAAAAAGGTCTTACCTGAATAGCCCTTATAACTCTTTCAGGATCTATACATCCCAAACGACGCCTCAGACCAAGTGTGCTGAGCGTTCGCTTCAGAGTTCGTATGCTGAAAGATTTACAGTTGCCTTTTTACTCATTTAACATGCTACGCGTAAGCAACAGTATGGGTTTATTACCATTCATTAAAGATGTGCTTTCTTTATGCTATAGTTACACGACACATGTTGTTAGTATAAAGAAGAAGGAACACACCTGATGTGTATGTCGTGATTGCAGCTGAGGAGACAGCAGATCTCCCGATTCGTATATCCAGCTGAGAAGTACGTGCTGACAGCACCATGTCCTGGAAACATTCATACATTAACAGCAAAAGCAGCACCATTTCTAAAAAATCAGTAATTAGGGTATTTTCTGAAGAATGAAATACGAAGGATTATACAAGAACAACATAAATGCGTATAACAGTTACTAGCTGGTGATAACTACTAATTTACTTACGACATCATCTCTAATAATAATACTAAAATCTTACCGTCACTGCTGTTACTATTTTGGTTCATATTATATGGTGGCTGAATGTTTACTAATATGATCTTACATTACAAATGGCGAGTCGGTTTCCGTTTGTGCATGCGCAGATCTAACAAGTGAACATATCGCAATATCGCCGTATCGCAATATCGCAATATCGCCGTATCGCAATATCGCCGTATCGCAATATCGCCGTATCGCAATATCGCAGAATCGCTATATCGCAATATCGCCGTATCGCCATGTCGTGTCGTGTTATCGCCATATTGTGTCGTGTTATCGCCATTTCGTGTCGTGTTATCGCCATATCGTGTCCTGTTATCGCCATTTCGTGTCGAGTTGTTGCCATTTCGTGTCGTGTTATCGCCATATCGTGTCTTGTTATCGCCATGTCGTGTCGTGATTTCGCTATTTCGTTTTTGGCTGTATCGCAATATCGCTGTATCGTGTCGCCATATCGCAATATCGTGTCGTACTATCGCATTGTCGCGATATCGCCTTGATTTCTTCAGGGCGATAAAGCGATGGCCCGAATGAGCCACCATACATCTGTATGTTTGCGATGAACCAACTTGTATGTTTGGGATAGACCCACCTGTATGTTTGAGATGAGCACATCTGTATGTTTGAGATGAGCATTTCTGTATGTTTGAGATGAGCACATCTGTATGTTTGAGATGAGCATTTATGTATGTTTGAGATGAGCACATCTGTATGTTTGGGTTTCAGGGCTGACAGAGAACCCGGTGATGACCCACGCAGACAGCAGAACAATCGCGTCCATTTCGGACGAGATTCTCCGACAGTTCGGTCTGCAGTACGGTTCCCCTTAGTGCTGCATCTTCGGGGGGAGCGTGGTTGAGAATGTTCCCCAAGTACATCAAGCAGCATTTCTACAAGCTGTGCAGAATAAGACCTAGACATCCTATAATGTCTCTGATATGTTCCTGATACATTGATATTGTTCACCTTCATGTCTGATACAGGAAAATCTTCATGCTATTTTATAAGCATACTCCGTAATGTAATGTATTATGACAGGTTTCTGAGAGGAAATAATATCTACCTTCTAACATCCGTGTTAGAAAAAGGAAATACACGTCGAAAACGAGGACGAGATACTTTTAAAATACCTGGAGATAAAATGTCAATAGTTATTCCCTTTAAGCTGTATTTGCATAAAGCGTGGCATGTATACCTATACCTGATTAGATATATTGATACAAAATATACGATACTTATGCTGACTGACTGACTGAGTTTGGTTTTACGCCGCTTTTAGCAATATTCCAGCAATATCACGGCGGGGGACACCAGAAATGGGCTTCACTCATTGTACCCATGTGGGGAATCGAACCCGGGTCTTCGGCGTGACGAGCCAACGCTTTAACCACTAGACTACCCCACCGCCCCTACGATACTTATGACATTAATGAAGTGTTATGTTGTTTGTTCTGTAGTACTGAATACAAAACAAATGGACATAGAATGCATTGCATTTACTGTTAAAACACAGCCAACACAAGCGTCCTCGTACTTTAACTATAATAGTTCAGGGCGAAAGTGTGTTTTATTACACTATACATGGTGATAGAGCGAACTGTATTTCTTAATTACATTTCAAAATGATTACACGTTTTCGGGGCGTGACAGAATTTTGTATTGTACATATTTACATATAATGCCCCATCTACTTTCACGTCGCAATATGTTTATCACTCTTAATAATACATTGTTGATATTTTAGTCGTCCAAATAGATTTTTTAAACCAAAACATTTTTTTCTCACTTGTTTCAATTGTTTTCTCGTAATTTCTATTATTTTCTCCTTATTTTAAATTTATGTTGAAATGTTTTTCAAAATTGAAAATTTTTGATGGAGGAAATGGAAATATCATGGAAATAATCGAAGTGACGAAAAAAATATCATGATTTCTGATTTTAATTAAACCTGAAATGACGAGAAAATAATTGAAATGACGAGAAAAGTGACAATAAAAAGCTATAAAGATCGAGAAAATAATTGAAATAAGGAGGGAAAAATAAAATTTCGAGTTTTATATATATACTATCCAAAAAAGAAACGGATAGGCGTTTTGTATTTTTTTAAATCTATTAATTACCTATTGTGTTCGAACAATCGTCAAAATATGTAATAAAGGTGTTACACAATTGCACAAGTAAAAAATCGACTTTACCTGAAAATGTTGATTTCTTACAAGGATTAAAAAGGCATCGCCACAACACAACAGAAGTCACCTTCCAGTTGAAATTGTGCAGCAAAGAGCATGCACTGTCTGCCTATAAAAATCCAGATTACTTTCGGAAATCGGCTTTCGTTTTGAAGGAGTTTCAAGGTCAAATCACTACGTCACATCTTGACACTGCGAAACGGAACATCGCCATTGAAAGAATGCACGTTGGAGATTACCAATCTTCTCATGCCAATAATGGTTGTCACCCCCTCCCCACCCTCAACCCCACCCCCTCTCCAATTAAAAAATTGAAGGGGTGACAACCATTATTGGCATGAATATATTAGTCTGAGCACGACATCACCGCTTGCAGCTCGTTACAACCAAACAGGTATAACAAATGCCCGTCCCCGTACAGGCAGACCTCCAGTCACCACTGCAGTTAAGATTGGTACATCCGGGTATTACATTTGCGTGATCGTACTGCCACGTGTGAGAGCACAGCAGCCAGGGTGCCTGGACTTCGGAGGAAACTGGTCAAACTGTACGGAAGAGGTTGAGAGAGATTGGACTGAGAGCCAGGAGACACGACGTCGGGACCGTGCAACATCGTCACCATCACGCTCAACGTCTCCGATATCTAAAATTATCCACTTGGTTGTATAGTCATTTTCTTCTTCTCAGCTGATGTAGAATATCATGTACTAAAGTCCATTTGTGGACGATTTATACATGTTTGAAAATAAAGCATTTTCGCAACAGATTTCTAGGTTATACGTTTCTTTTTTTGAATAGTATGTAAACTTTTCAAAACGAGTATGTAATCGAGCCTCGAGAAAAAATCGAAAGTTCGAAAAAATGTACCCATAAATGAAATAACGAGAAATTCAGTTTGAGAAAATAAATCTATGCTACGAAAGTGATACAAGTAGACTTTCAGTCACCACTGCAGTTAAGATTGGTACATCCAATTGTGATACAAATAAACTTTCGTACGTCTGTGAACAGTGCGCGGGAGATTCGTATGGGTATTAGAAATGTGTGCTACATGACAACATGCCGCCCATGGGCATAGTCTTCAGGCTGACAATATAATGTGACTATTGAAATCTGACTTTTCGTGAACCTGAATTTCTGCTCAGGTTGGCAAAATCAAAACAAGGTAAGAGGTCGAAGTTAAGCTTCAGGTATATGGATGACCGGATACCGTTGAATAACCATGCAATAGGAAAGTCTTTCAACAAGACAAGTAAGACAAATAAGAAGTTGTTGGATCAAGGTTACAACATTCGAGGTAGCAGTAAAGTTTTTAAAAGTTTTTTGGGGTTGGCATGTTGAGTACATTTCCAAATTTGAACCCTCATGATCAGTGACAAAATGGTATCCGAAGCAATTCCTTATATCGATTTGTATCATTTTTTTCGGTGTCCTCCCATTTGTGTCGGTGTCCTCCCATTTGTGAGAACTCCCATTTGTGAGACACATTAATTAATGGTTCAGTGCACACAGGTGGTGCTACCCCATCCCTACGATGAAAGTGGGAACAGCCCTGTTGTTGAAGAGTACCCGCAGGAGGCATAGTTCATTAATGAGCATTAAAGAGCATTTATTGTTTTCAATAAAGAACAAGTTAAATACTGAAATACTGAAAAAGATTATCATTATATTTACACAGAAGAAATGGTTCATTAAATATTTCATTATGATTTTTGATTCACACATTTTGATGATTTGCGTTATTATGATGTTTGTGTGTCATTATAAAACACTTTTTTACATGGGTCCATATTTGGAGATTTTGACACTTTTCATATTGATCACGAAGTTACCTACACAAAGTGTTTATTTTTTAAAGCCATTTACCTGAGTAGGTTAATTACTTTATCTTTTAAGCTACCTCCACAAGATTCAGTTAAATAGCTAATCCCTAATTAGCTGGGGTTAATCCATTCTATCAGATAGGGGAGTAAGGTGTGTTTTCTTTGCTACTTACCTACTCCACTGTCTCACAACTGGGAGTCTCACAACTGGGAGTTCTCACAAATGGGAGTAGACTTTCAGGTGAACAATTGACTAGCTATTGCATAATTTATTACGTTTATGGCAGGTGTTCCCGGTGGGAAGGATATAGGCTAATCTCTTCGTGAACACCAGTTTATATCAGATTCTCTATTTGATAGTGATTCACAAACACATGCTCATGATACGATTATATGGTATTTCATGATACAGTCGAAAGTGTACAGATTGGCAGAGATTTCTTGTGGATGTGGAACGGTTTTTGCCGTTTTTATCAAAAGTGATTGATAAGACGGAATAAATACAAAATTAAATGAAAATAAATATAAAAGCTTCTAATCTCTATCCAGTGGATAACAACTTCTTGATTTATTCTTCACTACGTTTCTGGTGGATTATCCACCTGAAGAAGGGGCAAGAACTAGCCCTGAAACGTTGTGAAAAATATATCAAGAAGTTGTTATCCATACGATTTGTATATATTACTACATCAACTTTTAAATGCCTTTGAAGAATTTCTCTATACTGTACGGAGATATCACACCTTGTAAATCAGCCATGTTGTTTCTGAGCCTGATAGTGCCCACTCGGTCAACTGTCAAGAGAATAATATTATTAACGTATATTTTCTTTGATAATGCATGCACGTTTCATCGGCTAACAGACACGTTTCAGTTTTATTATTGTTTGTGTATTAAGCGTACTTCCATTACAAAACAACATATTTTTGTCAACACAAGCATTGTCTGCCGAGAATAACTTGAATCCCATGAACTGTGTCAACAGTATTCAGCACCATGAGCTATCCACACATCAGTTCATCAGATCTAGTTTACAGGAATTACCCATACCTGAACTGAATACATATTTGCACGCAGGTCGCTGTCGGCAGCATCAGAGGTGAAAACATGTTTCAACACCATGATTCATATACATGTATATATAGGATGGATATATATATATATGCCGAGCATATATATCTGTATACAGATTCACTAGGGTAACAATATGTGTGTAGGTCAGTAAATAGAGAGTTGCTTGATGATTTACATGAGATTTTGCAAAATTTGGACAATTTTCTTAATTTTAGTATATTGAAAGGTAAATTCGTTATACATGTATACATATTTGGTCATAGTAAGATCTATGTAAACTTGTTTTCCTTCGTTTCTAAATTCGACAAGTAAACAAAAATGGAATTCATTACTTACGTCACGTAGTTTACAAAGTCTTTTCGGTTAAAAGTCTCCATCTCCCAGTTTCAATAGGTAGGTTATGGTTACAATTTCTAATCTCGAGTAAGACTCGTCAAAAGTTTTAATAATATTAGCATTATGTTTAAGTAATATTCAAAATGTTGGCAATTTTTTTTAAGATACTATCCATTGTGCCTTGTGAAGACTTATCTCTCTCACTTATCAAGGCATTGCAGTGGGATAGTGGTTAAAGAGTTCGTTCGTCACGCCGAAGACCTGGGTTCGATTCCCCACATGGGTATAATGTGTGAAGTCCATTTCTGATGTCCCCGTCGCGTTATTGCTTGAATATTGCTTAAAGCGGCGTAAACATAAGCTCACTCACTCTTGCACTTATCCAACACTAAAGGTTAATATCATTAAATTTTTGGTTTACTAAACTTTTCAGAGGAGTAATGTCTGTGAAATGTTGTGAAAACCAGATCCATGTTAGTCATTTGTCTTTAGTTCGTTTGATATATGTGTACGATGTTGCCACATGCAATCCACTCACGTACCATACCGCCATTGCCTCGTATAAATGGTACATGACAGATATTACCCCGAAGGAAGCGTACAGTACGTTAGAACCTTCCCAAAATCATGGTGTTGAGATGCCTCCAAAGAACCATCCTTGTTTGTCAAACTAAATAAGATACGCAAGGCCAATTAAATTGTAATAATCAGTGAAATTTGAAGTTTTGAGCAACGAGTGCTCCTTATGAGACAATAATTTCCAATATGGTCTCTGCTCCAAGTTAGTGTTTTAACTATGCAGTACATCAGTTCATTTGTCATCTATTGGTTAATGTATTCGTGCCATATGCCGATGATCGGGTTCAATCCCCCTCCTGAGTATATCTTGTGAAACCCAGATCTAGTGTTTCGGGTAGTGATATTGTTAGAATATTACTGAAGGCAGCGGAAACCCATACTCATTCCTGTTTCTGGCTTTTTCCCAGGGCGATTTTAGGTATCATAGGTAGGTATAGCAAGTGGCCAGTTTTGTAACTCGATACTAGGTATAGATATGGAAAAAAATTCATATAGAGTTCACTGGCTGGACTTTTGACATTTGGGTGAATGAACAGTTTGGGATCGATCTTGGAACCTATTTCCCCCAGATATACTTGGAAAATAGAGCCATAATGTGCATGTTAGAGTTACCTTCCCTGAACGCGATGCTCAACACGAATAATGTGTGTAGTGCTTTAGGTTTTTGACATCATATACGACATAAGATAAGATAGTAGATCAGGAGAACATAAGTAAATAAAACGTTTTATGTGTCCTGTTCTTTAATGAGTACATGTTGATGTGATTCTTTTAAAGACAGGGGATCGGTGCATCATCATACATTTTGTGACATCACAGATATGGCTGCCGGCTCCTTACACGAAGTCGGCAGGGTGTTTTGACAGCTGATTACCGGTTTTGTTTCGGTTATTTGTGGTAAGCTGTTATTTATTATTTCCTGTGTTGACAGAAATACTATGTTTTAATGTTCTTCAGACATTTTGTGTCAGGGTGTGTTTACAGTGGAGTAAACTCGATTATCCAGAAACAACTAGACTGGTTATAGTTCTCGAAGTAGATGTAATTTGCGTATTTTTCCTACGGTGACAGATGTCGTTTAAGTGACATGTCTTTAGTAAAACCGGACTTGATATCGTGAAACAGCACACGCGGCAGCAATATATTTTCTAATTGATTTGTTGATACAATGATTGTATAGATCAGCAGGTATCAGTTGAAAACTAGGTATGATTTCTCATGCATTGACACTGTTTGTTGTTTAATCGGTGCATCTTCATACATATCATTTGGTTATCATACATTAACATTATCTCAGATATTGAGATAAATGTAACTAAGATGAGAAAACCTAATCACGACCAGATACTTTAAATATTATCACTGACTATACACATGTATCCTATTTTCTCTCTTCCTTGACTCGAAGTGAGACAATTCCCCATTTCCTGAACACAAGTTATAATTAAAAGAACAAACAATGTCTCTGTGACGCAGCACCTCTAGTTATATCCAGAGTAATCACTGCCATCCAAAAATGTATGGTGTCCTAAAACCAAAAACATCTGCCCACCGAAAACCACATGATAACTGCATCTGAAACTGATTACTCTGGATATAACTAGAGGTGCTGCGTCACAGAGACATTGTAAATTCTTTAATTATAACTTGTGTTCAGGAAAATGTTATCATTTATAAGATAGTGATGTTTTATCCGATACAATGTTATATAGTTGTTCATGTGATTAGAAAGAATCAGCAAATGGTTCTTAAGTGTCTGAAAACTCAAAATATGAGGGTGCATGGAACATCCACAGTGTCAGTATGCTATGTTTGTCCGGGATACTTGATGTAATTGAAAATCTGCAGTTTTTCATCCATTTATTGATGTATAGAAACATTTTTGTTTGGGGAATTCTATAGTCCTCAAAACGTATTACTAATATAAGGATGACTGTGGGTGAATGATTATCTCTCAATGCTGTATTAGTGAGGTGAGGTGAGGTGAAATTGGGTTATACGTCGTGCTTGAGAATATTTCGCTCATATGACGACGTGCATGCGTGTGTATGTGTATATGCGGCTGCTTGTACTAGCCCAGACTTAAGCTGGTTTTATAGTGCTAGCCCACTGAAATACCATGCCGCAGTGAAGCATGAATACCCCACTCAGACACATTATACTCCGAACCGACCAGTCCTTGTTGTACCCATTAATGCCGAGCACCAGGCAGGGACCAACAAGTACCATATTCTAACGTCTTTTGGTATGACGCGGTCGGGGATTGAACCCGCGACCTTCCGCTCTCCGGGCAGACGCTCTAACCACTACACCACGGAGGCGGTCGCTGTATTAGTAATCTTGCAGGTATTATGGGCAAGGGCAGATAGGAGAAATGGTGAAAATGGTAATCTAATTCTGATATTAGAGACTAGCTACCTATATATCATCTACCATGAAAAATGCTCTCTTTATTCTGTTGAGAAATAGAATTGCCATAATTTTTTTCAAATGTTTTTGTTGATGAAGCCATTTGTACTTTCTTTACAAGACTCTAACAGACTAAGGAAAAAATAGGACGAGATGGATATGTTTAACCGATTGAAGAGTGCAGTGACCAATGCTTTGCCTGGCAACCCATTGTCTCGAGATTTTGACTTGTACAACCAAATAGCCAGTGGAGGCCCAGGCATGTTGTGGAAAATACATGGAGGAATGAAGAAAACTACCAAACAGGTACTGCCAGCTGTACCATGGTGACTCTGATGTAATACATCCGTGAAGATCCGGGTTAGAATTGGTCTTCAGCATCCCATGCTTGTTGTAAGACTAAGAGGCGACTAATGGGATCGGGTAGAAGATAAAACCCTGACATATCATTACACACAGTATAGAACTTGTTATCCAGAGTAGATTCATGTCTTCATTGACATTTTACTTCATAGGTTTGAGTATTATTTACAGCCTGTCTTTGTGAATTGGAAAGTTAAGTTTTAAGAAGATAGTTTTCAGACTGACATGATTCGGTTCTATATTGTGAAGTTTATTTGACTTTGTTGTGTCTTGTGCCAGGAATCGTCCATCTTTGTGTTTGAGAAGCGATCTCTGGAGAGGTATTCCCGGCGTGACCGAGAGATGATTCTGGAGTCACTTAGGAAGGGAGTGCAGCAGCTCACTAAACTCCGTCACCCCAAAGTCTTGTCTGTGATGGAGCCACTTGAGGAATCCAGGTACAGGAACATCAGTGGAATATAACTCTGATAACAAGCAGGTCTTACCTGGACATGAGTCTTCGTAGTGCATGCAGCCTGTCACTGTCCTTACCCAGATCTGAATATTCACAGGCCACAATAATAAACTACATTTATAATGAACATACTTAAAATGGACTGATGGATGTTTAATGAACTGTATTTTTGGTCCTGTCCACTTGCTGTATATTTTACTGTTTGAACTAATACCTCCAAAACGTTTGTACTCGAACTATTCCAAATGCTATTTTCCACATGTTCACTTCGGAGTGATACACATGGAGGATGCCATTATTCACAACAGTGAGTAAACAGTCACTGAAAAGAGGCATTTTAGGCCATAGGTCGCTCAAGGGTTAGCTGACGTGACCTTTTACTAGTACTAGGGTTTGTTAGACTCAGTAAAGCATTGTTACGAATAGTACTGAGCCTATGTTTACTTAGACTGGCATAATTCAGTGTTCACTATGTTGTTAACACAGCTGCATCATGTTTTATGGCTACTGCTGATTTAACATTTGCTTCTTGATGTCTAATTTATATGGATTTGTCAGAACCAACATATTCTCTTTGATTCAGGGAAACACTTGCCTTTGCCACAGAACCAGTGTTCTGCAGTTTGGCTAATGTGTTGGGTAACCACGACAACATGACCACGGTTCCTAAGGAGCTCCAGGAGTATGAGCTGTATGATGTAGAAGTCAGACATGGTTTGCTACAGGTGAGGGCATCTTCAGGTGCCAATTCTCTTCATTTAGCATGTTTAGTCTACTGTTGACAGGGTAGAGAAAGATTGTTGGGAATTCTGCTTGTTGGGACAACAGGCATTCCTCGTTTGATTGAAGAATTTGTTTCATGGAATCATCTTGTTCAGGTTATGTGATTATTTTCGGTTGTAATATTACCCAAAGGTAATCATGATAACAGATGGGATGGTAGGATAGCCTACTGGTTGAAGACTTCGTTCGTCACGTTGAAGACAAGGGTTCGATTCACCTCATGGGTACAATGTGTAAAGCCCATTTCTAGTGTCCCCGCTATGATATTGCTGGAATATTGCTAAAAGCGGTATTTGCCATACTCACTCGTACACTCACTCATTCATGATAACAGTATCATCACTTTTCAAATAGCATTGAAACTGCTTTGTCTCGTTTGTTTTGATCAATTCTATTATAAAACATTACTGATGATATTGTCATATTGAAAACCTCTTGAAATTGTTTAGCACCACTAGAGGAAAATCTAAGAATTTAAATTATGTTTTTCAAATGATGACTGACAATTGTTGAAAAGCCATGGTGACATAGAGCATGCACTGTTACTTCTTTAACCCTTTTACATGGATACTTACCACCAGAACACTGCATGTTCATGTTATGTGGAGGCGGTGGGGTAGCCTAGTGGTTAAAGCGTTTGCTCATCACGCTGAAGACCCGGGTTCGATTCCCCACATGCGTACAATGTGTGAAGCCCATTTCTGGCCTCTCTCACTCACTCACTCTCACTCACTCACTCACTCACTCACTCACTCACTCACACTCACTCACCCACTCCACCACCCACTCACCACTCCTCACCACCACCACTCACCTCACTCCTCTCACTCACTCACTCACTCACTCCTCCTCACTCACTCTCCTCACTCACTCACTCACTCACTCACCACTCACTCACTCACTCACTCACTCACTCACTCACTCACTCTCACTCACTCACCTCACTCACTCACTCACTCACTCACTCACTCACTCACTCACTCACTCACTCACTCACTCACTCACTCACTCACTCACTCACTCACTCACTCACTCACTCACTCACTCACTCACTCACTCACTCACTCACTCACTCACTCACTCACTCACTCACTCACTCACTCACTCACTCACTCACTCACTCACTCCACTCACTCACTCACTCACTCACTCACTCACTCACTCACTCACTGAAGGTCTGACGTTCTGTTATACTGAAGATGGTACTGACAGAATGAGATAGACATCCATTGTAGTGATTGTTTTCATTCCGGTTCCAGATGATTGAAGGTCTGACGTTCCTGCACAACGATGCCAAGATCCTTCACCACAACATCTGCCCAGAGTCCATCATCCTCAACAAAAATGGAACATGGAAGCTTGCTGGCTTCGACTTCTGTGCTCTCAACTCCAACACAACGGATCAGTCGCCCACCCAAATTACACAAATGTGAACAAAGTACGGAATTCTAGTCAACTCCATCACACCTATTTGACCCAGTACTTTTACCAAGTTGGTCGTTGATACAAGGTGTATGTTACATTCAAGCATTCTTGGTTTATGTATCTGCCCACCCAAATTACACAAATGTGGAACAAAGTTAAGATTTCAACAAGTTTCTATCTGCTTTATAATGGATAATCTTTTATTTCAGTAATGAATGAAACTACAGTGTGCTGTAGGTCATCAGGGAGTGGAAGATTGTTAGTGGAACAAGGCCCAAAATGTGGAGTCTCTGTAATTCAGTTTTCATGTGTTTTATTTTGGCATTTGCCATATATTTGTGAGATTGTATGTATTATCAAAAACAATCAGCGCTGTCAGTGGCATTTAGGGGCGGTGGGGTAGTCTAGTGGTTAAAGCGTTGGCTCGTCACGCCGAAGACCCGGGTTCGAATCCCCACATGGGTACAATAAGTGAAGCATTTCTGGTGTCCCCCGCCGTGATATTGCTGGAATATTGCTAAAAGTGGCTTAAAACCAAACTCAGTCAGTCAATCAGTCAGTCAGTGGCAATTGAGAAAGACATTCTTATTCCCCCAATTTTCTATTTTAAGTTTGCCCAATCTCAGATGAAATATAAGTGAAATAGTGAGTGAGTGAGTATGTTTTTATGGCACTTCATGCAATATTCTCCATCAATATCGTGGCAGGTGACACGAGAAATGGGTTTCACATATTGTACCCATGTGGGGAATCGAACCCGGGTCTTTGGCTGTGACCTCTGCATTCTGTAACCTCTAAGCTAACTCAAGCCCCTATAAGTGAAATAAAACATAAGCACACATTATTGCTAACCTCGTAGATGGGAATGCTGTCGAAGGAATTAGAATGGAAGTGAAGCGAGAAACTGTTTTCCCATGTCATCTTGTTACACTAACCCATTCCCTCTTTCAGCTCGTTAAAGCTGGTTCTTTTGTGGTAAGGACTATCAGTGTGTTCTGAAGAAGTTGATCTGTCTCACTTCACTGAATGCATGATGATTCAGAAACTTTCTTGAATTCTGTTTTGGTCAAGGTGTCTACATTTTCATCAAATATCAATAAGTTTTAATGTTCATTTAATTTTTCATTGGATGAGAGGCAGACCATGTGTACTTGAGACATACTCATTAGCATATGGACAACACATGTTGATGTTTCAAATGCATTTATGAGACTATCCTTGAAGTGACAAGCACTGAGAGACATCTTCCACATTCCTCAGGAAATCCTAGGAAGTTACAAGTAGATACAGAGGCATTGTTGTGGATAGTTTAGTTAATTTAATCATTGAAGATAATACACAATGCCATTCAGAAAGTGGTCAAATGTAGCATATTTTATTTTGGGGATTACACTTTCTTAGTAAAGTACAGATTCTAGTACTTACTTCAAGTAATTTCATCATTGTTTTCAAATAGATTGGGAAAGGTCAGAGTTTGTGTGCATGAATATCCTTGATGACCAAATCCTCATCATCAATACAACTTCATTCAGTGTAACCACCATTCTGTTGCGATTCCTGTTTAAATGAACACGCACATCACCTTGCATTGGGTTTGAAATTAGGGTCTTTAGCTATGTAATTCCTATGCATCCATATTCATATGCAGTAGCTTGGCTTTTAATGATGTAATGTAACCATAGTAACTAAAAGTCGCCTAGAACCACATATACTTTTGATGTCTTTTTATCTTTTTATTGCTACATTATGGGGGTGATGAAAAGCATTTACTTCTATTTAGCTTATCAGGCTGGTAATGGCTGTAATGCTATGGGGGTGATGAAAAGCATTTACTTCTATTTAGCTTATCAGGCTGGTAATGGCTGTAATGCTATGGGGGTGATGAAAAGCATTTACTTCTATTTAGCGTATCAGGCTGGTAATGGCTGTAATGCTATGGGGGTGATGAAAAGCATTTACTTCTATTTAGCGTTATCAGGCTGGTAATGGCTGTAATGCTATGGGGTGATGAAAAGCATTTACTGGTATTTAAGCGTATCAGCTTAACTTCTATTTAGGCTGGTAATGCTATGGGGGTGATGAAAAGCATTTACTTCATTTAGCTTATCAGGCTGGTAATGGCTGTAATGCTATGGGGTGATGAAAAGCGTTTACTTCTATTTAGCGTATCAGGCTGGTAATGGCTGTAATGCTATGGGGGTGATGAAAAGCGTTTACTTCTATTTAGCGTATCAGGCTGGTAATGGCTGTAATGCTATGGGGGTGATGAAAAGCATTTACTTCTATTTAGCGTATCAGGCTGGTAATGGCTGTAATGCTATGGGGTGATGAAATGGCGCTGGTTACTTAATATTGATGAAAAGCGTCTACTTCTATTTAGCGTATCAGGCTGGTAATGGCTGTAATGCTATGGGGGTGATGAAAAGCGTTTACTTCTATTTAGCGTATCAGGCTGGTAATGGCTGTAATGCATGCTCTCTGTTCAGATTCTTTAGTGGAAGAGGTTACAGAACCTCATGCTTGTAACAGTGAAATGAGGATAAGGTGGACAAAATTAGCAATCTGTTAAAAAACCAAGGGTCTACTGGCCCAAATATGTCTTTGTGTTCATATATACATTAAGTGAATATACAAGGCCAAATACAGGTTACTAGACTTGACCAAGTTGCTAATGTCACTGAATCAATATGTGGCCTTGCTTATTGTGTGTCGTCATATCCCAACAACATGCAGATGGTGTGAGTGAGTGAGTTTAGTTTTACGCCGCACTCAGCAATATTCCAGCTATATGGCGGCAATCTGTAAATAATCGAGTCTGGACCAGACAAACCAGTGGTCAACAGCATGAGCATCAATCTGCGCAATTGGGAACCAATGACTTTTGTCAACCAAGTCAGCGAGCCTGACCACCCGATCACATTAGTTCGCCTCTTATAACAAGCATGGGTTACTCAAGATCAATTTTCTAACCCAGACCTTCACGGGTCGCTGATGGTATCAACCACTAGTGGTCCCTCAGACTTGGTTAATCCCAGGCTGCATGCTGTCTGTGATGGAATTACAGGAAGTGGTAGAAGTGTAGGCCCTGCATCAATTCAGGCCATCCTCCTGTATGAAGCGGAGATGCAAGCCCTGCTATACCTGGGATACTGATCAAAGCCATGTTTGTTTTGTAGCCGATGTTTGCGTTCAAGGAGTGGGACGCAGACATCCCTCCCTGCTGCCAACCCCACCTGGACTACCTTGCCCCTGAGTATGCTCTCACTATGATGTGTAGTCTCGCCAGCGACATGTACTCAATAGGGGTGCTCATATATGCCCTCTTCAACAACGGTAAACCCCTGTTTGAGTGCAGGACGCAGCTATCCACATTCAAGAAAAATGCTGAAGAGGTAGGTACATGTTGTATGCTGTAGGCATGTTTGCTGGAAGTTGATGCACAGTAACTCTGTGATCTGCTATTATAGTGCTGCTTTCTGACAGTGAATGCAAACTCACTCGTAGATCAGAGTTTACCTGCTGTTGGATGAAGTCAGTTTTTAAGATGAATGTTTACATTATAACCTACACACGATCAGTAACAAAGATTACAACTTAATGTATAACAACCTGTTGTTCATTTCCTATATCAATGTTTTGTGGATACTTACACAGTTATCAGTTGTTTGTAACCTCCATAATAACCCACCAACATCTAGAATGCTAATCAAACTAGTATATGATCAGTGTTTGACAACATGAAAGTGGTCCCTCGCCTGGTGTTGTGGCTGATGTTGTTGCTGATGTTTGTGATGTTATCAGTGATATTGTCAATGATGTTGTAGCTGATGTCTGTGATGTTGTCTTCCAGCTGCGACATTTCCGCTCCACCCTACTGGGCAGCATCCCCGATGAACTGAGAGATTACGTCAAGCTGTTGCTGAACATCGAGGCCACTGTGAGACCGGACCCTGCACAGCTGTCAAAAGTTAGAGCTTCATTAAATTTATCATCAGTATGTTCTGTAGAAGATGGTTTATGTCAGACAATTAGGTTTGGTTAGATTACCATTAGTCCTTGCTGAATTTGACTGTTTTCAACAAACAGACTGGTTGCTATGTCTAATCCAGAATATGATCTAACACAGTTTGTTCTCTTGTCTATGGATAAATGACATTAAATTCACAAACTAAATCAGTCATTATCATTATCAAATTTATACCCAGATGACATGAAGGCTTTATGGATTCTTGGTTAGCACCCGCTGCTTGTCATGGGATTTGCCTTAATGCATCAGACAGCCAGGCTTTGTCACTTGGTTAATTGCATCTCTTCATACCCAATGGCTTAGATGGTTGCTCAAAATATCATCACTGGATTGCCCGGTCTGGATTTACATTTACAGGCCACCAGCATTTGGCTGGAATCTGTGGGATTAAACAAACAAACACATGGCAATAAGAAAGAAACAAACACACAGGCACACAAATAACAAATAAACAAATTATGAAAGCCAGTTTAATGATTGCCATGCTCTTCCTGTCTACAGCAACACATGAAAATAATCCTTCTGTCAATAAAAAGTAAGCTTCTTACGAACTATGGTTTGGGTGTTGCTTCAGGTGTGCTAAAAATTGCTGCTGCAGACTAAATCTGTCTTCATCCCTTTAGGTGTCCTTCTTCGAGGATGTAGGGACAATGACCCTCCAGTACATGGACACCTTGTTCCAGAGAGACAACCTACAAAAGTCCCAGTTCTTCAAGGGGCTCCCGAAAATAGCTGCCAAACTGCCAAAGGTAGGACATGTTATTGCTCTTTCAGTTACTTCAACAGTCTTGAATGTTAACTTGTCACTTAGCTTCATTCCACATGTGGATTTGAGGTGTGGCCTATGTGTGTTGTAACTGAAGGGATCATGTGGTAGATCTCAGTGACTTGGTTGGTCGCTGCTTAGAATATCTGGTGCTGTATAGTTTGGTTTAGACTTAATTATCTACAGGTGGCTGTCATATAACAGGAATATTGATTTGTGTGGCATTAGACAACAAACAACCCAAGTTGCTTACTTTCCTGAATAGGGCGGTGGGGTAGCTTAGAAGACCTGGGTTCGATTCCCCAAATGGGTACAATGTGTGAAGCCCATTTCTGGTGTGCCCTCGCCCGTGATACTGCTGAAATATTGCTAAAAGCAGCGTAAAAGTAAACTCACTCACTCACTACTTTCCTGAATGACACATCAGTTGTGATTCAGGGGCTGAATAGTATCCCTTGATTGTCTTAGATGCTGACATTTGATCTTAGGATACATTGTGCTCTTAATGAGTGCGGGGTGGTAGGGTAGTCAAGTGGTTAAAGCGTTGTCTCGTCATGCTGAAGACCAGGTTCGATTCCCCACATGGTTTCAATATGTGAAGCCCATTTCTGGTGTCCCCCGCCATGATTTTGTTGGAATGTTGCCAGAATATTGCTAAAAGCAGTGTAAAATTGTACTCACTCATTCACTCAATGAGTGGGGTGGTTAACATGAAAAGCTCATTAAAATCAGATGTTTTACTCAGATACACTGGTAGAGGAACAGTCAGGTCCAGTAAACCTGATTAACCCTTACCAATCAGATATCAGTTTTCTAACAGGATTCAGCTTCATTTCATTATTGATTCAGAAATCTTGATCTTAACCAAAGAAAACAGTCACAGGTTGTATAAATAAAATCACCTGACTTCCACTTGGAACTCTTCACTTGGCTCATAACAAAGTTAACCTCTGACCTTGAACTGTGTGTTACAGCGTGTGAACCAGCAGCGGATCCTGCCGGCGTTGTACAAGGAGTGTGTGAACCCCGACATGGTCCCCTTCGTCCTCCCCACTGTCCTCCTTGTCGCTGAACAGTCCACCAACCGGGAATACCTCAACAATATTCTTCCCGAACTCATCCCGCTCTTCAAAATACACGACCCAGTTCAGGTAGAGTCTCACTTCAGTCTACAGGCATCACATGACCGTGATGAGTAGAGTATCAATTGTGTCACAGTATCCATATTTGTGTGTAGCATGAGCAGCATCCGTATTGATTTGGAACTTCAGTTATTCTAATCATAGCATGTCATAGCTAGGGCTGTCAGGGAATGATATTTGGAGTATTTTCTATGGTGGTAGTGATGGAACTAGTTACAAATGCTTTAGAAACATAATGAACATTAATGCTGTAGTCCTTCTTTGGTATGAATTATGCGTTTAGCAAGCAAAGGCTGTTAAATACTTTGAAGTGTCTCCCTATTGCACCTAATCGCCAGCACACAAAGTCAGTGGTAGCTGAGTTGTGCGACTTCCATTTTTGTGGAAGTCGTTGTGGTTGAGTGGGTTAGGCGGCTGACTTTGTGTGCTGGCGATTAGGTGCCTGACTCCTAGGGTGTGGGTTCGAATCCCAGGTGGGACTCAACCCAACAAAAGTACTAGAATCTGTACTTTACTAAGAAAGTGTAATCCCAAATATAATATACGTTACATTTGACCACTTTCTAAATGGCATTGTGTATTCAAAGATATAGACGTTTCAGGATCTGAATTTGGAAATGACAATAAACGACACCCTAACAGCATTCCATGTCATTACTGTCTCTTTAAGGCTCAGTATTGTTTTGTGGCTAGTCATTGTCATGTTATGTTTGATGTGATTTTTATACCCTGAGCATGTTCTGTTTAATGAGTTTAGATAATTGGATGTTGTTATTACTTTTGTTTTATAGAGCCCACAGACAACATACACGGTGAACTTGCTTTCACATCTTCACAGCTTAACACTTTCCACTAACCATGTGTGCAGCTGGACATGTAGAGTAGTCTCGTCCTACACAGATAACACATGTGCTTAATCTTGTCAAATGTTTGTCTTTGTCCTTAATGTTCAATGTATTAGTAAGGCCAATCTAGTAACCATGTTAACTATACTAGAAGTTACACTAATAGCCTACTTCAACTGTCCACTTGGCCACTAATGTAGTTGTGCTGCAGTGTCCTAGAGGGACATGCACCAGGGTGTCAGGATATGATCCCAGGTCATCTGTGTCCAGCCAGGATATGCTGGAGTGGTGATGTCTAGTTGTGCTGCAGTGTCCTAGAGGGACATGCACCAGGGTGTCAGGATATGATCCCAGGCCCGGGATCATGAAAAATCTTAAGTCTAAAATTTGCTTAGCACAAAAAATATCTTAAGTCTAAATTTTTGGCTTAGCTAAGATTTTAGATAAGACTGGATCATGAAACTGTCTCAGCCAAATCTTAGCTAAGACTAAGACTAAGACAGTTACCATGGACATTTTAGAATGATGTAATCATGTCGGTCAGCTTAAATAATTGAGGAGAATAGTTTAGTAGCAGGCACCTGCTGAAATGTTCCAAACAAGTCAACTGATGCTTTTATCCCTGCCGCGGTGACTTTTAGTGTCTTTAAGGTTGGGATGTTTTCTAAATACACCAACACGAGCCTTAAATCGCTTTCTGCCATATTGCATTGGATAGTGTTTTCAAAATCATGTTTAGCGAAGGCCGGTATTGAGGCAGCCCTATTACATCACATTTAATATTTCCTATTCAGCTGTGACAAATACATCACTGAATTCCTCATACATTTTAGTATCAAAAAAGAAATGGTCTTTGTCACTAAAACCAAGTGTCTAGGTGATATGAAACGAACGGCTGTGTGAGAAAGACAGCACTTGTTGAAATGTAAACAAAGAAACATTGAGACTTTACACTGTGTACTGCATTTTCTCAAATTTCAGACACCCATTAGTCTATTAAGTAGCATGCATAGGCTCAATACTTTTAGAACATACATGGAAATAGTATCGTAGCAAAAAAATAATAGATACAATACAGTAATGTGATATGTTTATCTGAAATTGTCAAAGTTTCTGTGCAGCGTAACGTCATGACTGAGCGGAAAATCTCTGAGAACAACAACGGTAATGATCGGCATATCTGGCTTCTTCTCTTACTTGCAATGAAAACGATAAAACATGTAACAATACACAGATAGTCAGAATCATTCTGATTACTCACATCACACATTTATGTACAAACGATCCCCCGAATCAAAGGAAAGGTCCTCGCGAAAATCCTGTATACCCATGTCACGAAGCCGCCATTTTGTAAGAAATGGGTCAAGCGGTTGTGATGTCATATCGTCAACATTGTTGTTACATATTTGGCAATTTCTTTGAGGTGAAGGTCGGTTGAATAAGAGTAAACATAATCGCCATGTTCCAATCGATTACAATTTCAGTGTATATTTTGAGTATCTTTCAGATATTTTTTCATGAAACTAATTTCATTATCTACATTTAGCCTTGTTCTATATCATATCCTTGGATATAGGGTATACGGTTTTCATTCTTTCAAGGGTTTTGTTTGTTTGAATAATATTTACATAAGAAATTGATATACTGAGTGTAGTACACCATATTTTAAACCCTTGAACAAGTATTAAAAGAACAAACGAATAGTTAACTGCAACATGTACTTAAATAGTTCATGTATCATGTGCAATATTAGCCATTCGGACCAATATTACAGTTGCATATGAACAGGTTATGAATAGCGATTTAACTTTCATGACCCCGGGGCCAGGGGTTGTGAAATATTCTTTTAATTTACGTCAAATTGATGCCAAACAGGTGCGTGTGTTGTTCATATTAAGATACAAAGTCAAACCGTCTAATTATGGATCTATTCAGGACATTATTTAAATGGTAAAATCAGCCATTTTAAGTTCTGTCACAAGAGTGTTAAATTCAGACATAGAAACCGAAACCTTTTACACAATTCATGGAAATTATGTGAGACATATACTGATCAGCATACCAGTGTCGCTTTTTTCCGATGTCGCGCAAAATACATAAAACAAGCAATGACGTCAACTACAATTTTGTAATCTTTTCAGTAATTTCATTATATTTGAAGATATGGCTAGTATTCAGTAAATAATGATGCAAAATCAGTCAAAATACATCTACACAAACAGGAGAATATGTGAATTTAAGAACTAATTTACATATCAGATAGGGCCATCCAAATCGCTTTTACGTGCTTTCTCATGTAGTACATTGTCATCTTTTCTTATTATAACTTGTGAGAACTACTAAAACGTATCCGCCACATTGGGGAACTTTGTATTGGAATACATGTAGTTTGGTTCACGGTGAACAAAACAAGGAAAATATAGCATCCATTATCCACAGCGAATTCTCTCCAAGTGATATGAGTTACACTGACCTAGTGTTAAGCATAAAGCGGAGTTATGCCCCTTATCTTTATCACAGCATGATATGACCTCTCTGTCGTCCTTTGACGTCATAGAAGAAAATCCATTTTGACATTTATTGCAAGTCATTTTAATGTTGAGGGTATAACGTTATGCATAAGCAAATAAACCCATTTCATATATACTTATGTCGCTCAGATATCAGGCTGTAATTTATTTGATCACACTTTCTGTAAAGATGCCAAATTAAAAAATCGTAGCACAGTGCTTTTTACCGGTGCACCATCAAAAGCGGAGAAATTTACTGTTTTTGAATGCATAGCAAAATTTTGGACATCATTTAGCAGTGTTTATTTCTCAAACCGAGGTATTTGCATTTATACTTATACCAACGGATAGGAAATTTAATATTCCACATTTCTGTGTAATTTTATAGCTGCACGCAGATCCAGGACCACGCTGAAATAAATCTCACACAACGTTCACTTTTCAAACCTTATGAATTGTGCCTGAAAAACCTCGGCATCAAAAGGACTTAAGACTGGTAGGTAGCAGTCTCAGGATTTAAGACAAAAATGATCTCAGTCTTAACTTTTAAGACTAAAAATGTAACGTGATCCCCGATTTAAGACAATTTTTTGGACTTAAGATCAAAATGACAGACTTAAGCAAATTTTAGACTTAAGTCACTTTCATGACCCCGGGCCAGGTCATCTGTGTCCAGCCAGGATATGCTGGAGTGGTGATGTCTAGTTGTGCTGCAGTGTCCTAGAGGGACATGCACCAGGGTGTGTAGGGATATGATCCCAGGTCATCTGTGTCCAGCCAGGATATTCTGGAGTGGTGATGTCTAGTTGTGCTGCAGTGTCCTAGAGGGACATGCACCAGGGTGTCAGGATATGATCCCTGGTCACCTGTGTCCAGCCAGGATATTCTGGAGTGGTGATGTCTAGTTGTGCTGCAGTGTCCTAGAGGGACATGCACCAGGGTGTCAGGATATGATCCCTGGTCATCTGTGTCCAGCCAGGATATTCTGGAGTGGTGATGTCTAGTTGTGCTGCAGTGTCCTAGAGGGACATGCACCAGGGTGTCAGGATATGATCCCTGGTCATCTGTGTCCAGCCAGGATATTCTGGAGTGGTGATGTCTAGTTGTGCTGCAGTGTCCTAGAGGGACATGTTAACACTCTCACACACTTTCGTTCATGAAGCACTGTTCATGCTGATAACAGGCCTTGTATGTTGTTGTACTAACAATGCCCTGGTTTATCACTGTAACTTTTGGAGCAGATTTAATTATTTTGTGAAGTAACGAGATCTGGATATTCGTGGAAGTTATTGTGGCTTTAGTAAAAACAATTTTACATAAAATACTGGCATTTCTCACGGGTGGCAATCTTCACAGCTGTCTACTTTACTGCACATTGTTAGTTCTGGGCTTAACCTGTGCAGGTCCGGGTTAGAATGAACCTTCAGTAACCCATGCTTGTCGTAAGAGGCGACTAACGGGATCGGGTGGTCAGACTCGCTGGCTTGGTTGACACATGTCATTTGTTCCCAATTGCGCAGATCGATGCTCACGCTGTTGATCACTGGATTGTCTAGTCCAGACTCGATTATTTACAGACCGCTGCCATATAGCTGGAATATTGCTAAGTGCGGCGTAAAACTAAACTCACTCACTTACTAGTTCTGTTCGTGGGTAAAGTTCTTTTCCTCAAGCATCAAGTCAAGATAATGTATACACAAATACACTGAGTGTTTAGCAGTCTCACAATTCTGCTCTCAACACCGATCACATTGGTCTGTACTTGTGTTATGTTTTAAATAGATGAGTTAATTTTCCTCCTAGTTTTTAGTTTTGTTTGACTGTTCATCTGCTGTTTTAATGCCACTACGAACACTGCTTGCCTATTACTACAAAACTTATTTAATGAAACAGAATTCAGTCAACAACAAGTTCCTGACTAGATTCTTTCTCATGATACTGTCGCTTTTCATTTTGTATAAGTAACTGATTCTCATGCTGGTCATATACTATTGGGAAATGATAGTACATAACAAGTCCTTTATATATGTAGAATTGTGTATAGGGATGAGAATCATTTTATTAATATTTTATTATTATTATTGTCTCAAATAGAATATTTGTTAAATATCTGATTTGAGTGATATACATTTGCAGCTTGTATTTCATTTGAATTCTTAGAGCTGGCAATTTTCTTGATATTTGTACGAGATTGGTCTTAGTCTGTTAGTGAGGGGATGTGAAATTGGCTGATCCCTGGATCCATGATGGGATCCATGTGTGTAGTGAAATAGTTGATCCCTGGATCCATGATGGGATCCATGTGTGTAGTGAAATAGGCTGATCCCTGGATCCATGATGGGATCCATGTGTGTAGTGAAGTAAGCTGATCCCTGGATCCATGGTGGGATCCATGTGTGTAGAGTGGGCTTGCTTCATGTGTTTTTTCATTGTAGATCTCACTGATATTTCTGCAAAACATGAGCCTGCTGCTTAGCAAGACCCCCCAGCAAGACATCAAGACTCACATTCTGCCCATGATATACAGAGCACTGGAGGTGGACAACCCACAGATACAGGTGACTGTCGCACAGACTCCCTAAATCCATTTATAACTAAAAATACAAAATGATCTGCTAACATGACCTTTAGATACAGGTGACCATCGCACAGACACCCTAAATCCATTTATAACTAAAAATACAAAATGATCTGCTAACGTGAACGTTATTTACAGGTGACCATCGCACAGATTCCCTAAATCTATTAATAACTAAAAATACAAAATGATCTGCTAACGTGACCTTTAGATACAGGTGACTATCGCACAGATTCCCTAAATCTATTAATAACTAAAAATACAAAATGTTCTGCTAACGTGACCTTTAGATACAGGTGACCATCAGAACCCCCCCAGCTCAGATCTTGAGTCTTTTGACTCCCGGGAAACAGCCACACAGAGGGTATTCCAAACCTGTATTCCTGACATGACAAGTCTCCTACTTTTAGTATATGAGGATCATCAAACCTTGATACTTGATGGATTTTATATTATTAGTCGTGGTGAGGTAGCCAAGTGGTTGTATGGCTTGAATATTGCTACAAGTAAAACTATACTTGCTCGCTTGTTTTATTAGATTCTGTGGTTTCATGTCACTGTTTCCAAGAGCTTTGTGTTTATCCTGCTGACAACATGGACTTACTGATAGACAGTATAAAGAACAGAGTGATAGTACTGTGGTCACCAGGGTATAACAACTGAGAAGTATGTCTTTCAGTGGCATTTAGAAGTTGTACATTGATGTCCAAGATATTTTTATGGATTAAACTTCTTTTTTAATTTCTCTCACAACGTTTCCGAGACCATTCCAGGTCCCTTCATCAGGTGAACTGGCAGTTAGGACTATGACGTCGTCACTATGACGTCATAACTGAGTTATGACGTCACAATGCAAGTGACATCACAGTACACTAGGGAGAGTACTGTATAAGTGAGTGTTAATGGGCCTGAGAGTCTCGCCAATATATTGATCACCACAGCTGCATGGTATTTGGTATTATTTGGTAAGCCCCAACCCTAGAGGATGTGTATACCAAATACCATGCAGCTGTGGTGATCAATATATTGGCTAGACTCTCAGGCCCATTAACACCCAGGTTGCTGAACACAAGTCATCAGTATGCAAACAAAATGCTAAGTCAGCTATATCGAGCACAAGGCAAATAACCCAAGTCATGTAATCATGTGGAACGATATTAGGGTGATTTCGAGAAATAACAATGACTGGCGCCGGAGAAAACTACAGGAAGCTGTCGAGATAAGGAGACATAAACCAGCAATTAATCGTGATCAAGGTGTATACCTGCCAAGTGCATGGGACCTCTTGATTAACTTTTGATGAACTTTTGATGAACTTTAGATACAAGAAAAACGAGTCTACTATTCTTTTGGAAAGCCTGCTATCAAGGAACCTTTGTGTTATTAGCAGTTGTTGTGTATTAGCATGAATTTCATCATTATGTAATTAACTCTTCAAACTCACTTATACAGTACTCTCCCTAGTGTACTGTGATGTCACTTGCATTGTAACGTCATAACTCAGTTATGACGTCATAGTGACGACGTCATAGTCCTAACTGCAAGTTCACCTGATGAAGGGACCTGGAATGGTCTCGAAACGTTGTGAGAGAAATTAAAAAAGAAGTTTAATCCATAAAAATATCTTGGACAACTGAGAAGTAGTTCAAATGTTTTCATGTGCATGTTTGTGATTACTTTGTAGGAGCTTTGCCTGAACATCGTGCCTACATTTGCTGAGCTGATAGAGTATTCCTCCCTGAAGAACGTAATAGTCCCTAGGATAAAGAAGCTGTGTCAGTCCACCAGCACTCTGACTGTGAGTAGCAGACTCTGGTAGAGTAACAGAATCTCATAGAGTAGCAGACTCTGGTAGAGTAACAGAATCTCATGGAGTAGCAGACCCTGGTAGAGTAACAGTATCTCATAGAGTAGCAGACTCTGGTAGAGTAACAGTATCTCATAGAGTAGCAGACTCTGGTAGACAGAATCTGGTACTCTGATAGAGTAACAGTATCTCATAGAGTAGCAGACTCTGCAGTAGAGTAACAGTATCTCAGTAGCAGACTCTGGTAGAGTAACAGACTCTGGTAGAGTAACAGTATCTCATAGAGTAGCAGACTCTGGTAGAGTAACAGTATCTCATAGAGTAGCAGACTCTGGTAGAGTAACAGTATCTCATAGAGTAGCAGACTCTGGTAGAGTAACAGTATCTCATAGAGTAGCAGACTCTGGTAGAGTAACAGTATCTCATAGAGTAGCAGACTCTGGTAGAGTAACAGTATCTCATGGAGTAGCAGACTCTGTAGTAGAGTAACAGAATCTCATGGAGTAGCAGACTCTGGTAGAGTAACAGTAGCAGACTCTGGTAGAGTAACAGTATCTCATAGAGTACAGACTCTGGTAGAGTGACAGTATCTCATAGAGTAGCAGACTCTGGTAGAGTGACAGAATCTCATAGAGTAGCAGACTCTGGTAGAGTAACAGAATCTCATAGAGTAGCAGACTCTGGTAGAGTAACAGTATCTCATAGAGTAGCAGACTCTGGTAGAGTAACAGTATCTCATAGAGTAGCAGAATCTGATAGAGGAACAGAATCTGGTAGAGTAACAGAATCTGAAAAGAGTAGCAGACTCTGGTAGAGTAACAGAATCTCATAGAACAGCAGACTCTGGTAGAGTAACAGTATCTCATAGAGTAGCAGACTCTGGTAGAGTAACAGTATCTCATAGAGTAGCAGAATCTGATAGAGGAACAGAATCTGGTAGAGTAACAGAATCTGAAAAGAGTAGCAGACTCTGGTAGAGTAACAGAATCTCATAGAACAGCAGACTCTGGTAGAGTAACAGTATCTCATAGAGTAGCAGACTCTGGTAGAGTAACTGTATCTCATAGAGTAGCAGAATCTGATAGAGGAACAGAATCTGGTAGAGTAACAGAATCTGAAAAGAGTAGCAGACTCTGGTAGAGTAACAGTATCTCATAGAGTAGCAGAATCTGATAGAGGAACAGAATCTGATAGAGGAATAGAATCTGGTAGAGTAACAGAATCTGAAAAGAGTAGCAGAATCTGGTAGAGTAGCAGAATCTGCTAGAGGAACAGAATCTGCTAGAGTAACGGATCTGACAGAGTAACTGATTGAGCACTGGGGGTAATCAGGGAAACATCTGCAGCAGTTTGCTTGTCCTAATATTAGACAGTAATGGATGAGCTATTCAGACACAGTCACTTAGTGGATTACATGTCACCACATCCCAATGGATGAGCTATTCAGACACAGTCACTTAGTGGATTACATGTCACCACATCCCAATGGATGAGCTATTCAGACACAGTCACTTAGTGGATTACATGTCACCACATCCCAATGGATGAGCTATTCAGACACAGTCACTTAGTGGATTACATGTCACCACATCCCAATGGATGAGCTATTCAGACACAGTCACTTAGTGGATTACATGTCACCACATCCCAATGGTGTAATTTCACTAATAATATCAATAAATGTATTGTTGTCCCCGCCGCAACGCGGAACGGGAGACTATGTATTCAGCGGCGTATGTACGTCCTGATTCTTGTTAATGTGACATCTCATGAACTGTTGTACCCAATGTCTTCAAATTTGGTGACAGCCTACATTTGGGAATTGCCCAGACACCAGTAAATTTCGGTGACCTTGACCTTATTTTCAAGGTCACCATGACACTTTGACCACTTTTCAAACTCTTGTTATCACGATATCTCATGCACTGTTGTATCCAGTATCTTCAAAATTTGTTGATAGCCTACATTAGGGGATTACGCAGACACCAGTTCATTTGGGTGACCATGACCTTTTCTTCATGATCACCATGACACTTTGACCACTTTTAAACTCTTGTTTAACGTGATATCTCATGAACTGTTGTACCCAATGTCTCCAAATTTGGTGACAGCCTACATTGGGGGATTACGCAGACACCAGTCGATTTGGGTGACCTTGACCTTATCTTCAAGGTCACCACGACACTTTGAACACTTTTCAAACTTATTTAAGCGCGATATCTCATAAAACATTGCACCCAATGTTTTCATTGATGTTGACAGCCTATATTGGGTGATTATGCAAACACCAGTCATTTCAGGCATCTTGTAAGTGACCAAAACAATAGAAAGTAGTAAATATAGATATCTACTGTGTCTGGAATATATGGAAGTAGTGGTTTAATCCAAGCCCTGAGACTGTATAGTTGGTGTGTACAGATCCGTGTGAACTGCCTGCTGTGTCTGGAATGTATGGAGGTAGTGGTTTAATCCAAGCCCTGAGACTATTGTTGGTGTGTACAGATCCGTGTGAACTGCCTGCTGTGTCTGGAATGTATGGAGGTAGTGGTTTAATCCAAGCTCTGAGACTATTGTTGGTGTGTACAGATCCGTGTGAACTGCCTGCTGTGTCTGGAATGTATGGAGGTAGTGGTTTAATCCAAGCCCTGAGACTATTGTTGGTGTGTACAGATCCGTGTGAACTGCCTGCTGTGTCTGGAATGTATGGAGGTAGTGGTTTAATCCAAGCTCTGAGACTATTGTTGGTGTGTACAGATCCGTGTGAACTGCCTGCTGTGTCTGGGCAAGCTGCTGGAGTACATGGACCGGTGGTACGTCCTGGACGAGATCATCCCCTTCCTCCCACAGATACCCTCAAGAGAACCTGCTGTCCTCATGAGTATACTAGGTGAGGGTCCTGCCATGCTGGGTTTATGTGTACAGTAGTGGTACTCCTGTCATTTTACACTCTGGCAATTACTTTGGTATTGATTGAAATCCTTCTGCTGCCACTTCCACACATTCTTGTATGATAGTTGTTTGTAGAGTTCCGATGGTAGATAAGATATGTTCTTGTGGCTGCAAGAGTTGTATACTCCCCAGGGAGTTGAGATTGATAATGCGATGTGCCATTGAGATTGACATCCAATGATCGAGGGAAAAAATACCAGCGCCTTGAGCATGCACTAGTGCGTGGATATGTGGGCTATATAAATATCCTATAATAATAATAATAATTGTGTCCAGGAAACACAATGTTTATTACACTCAGAACTTAAAAAGTTAGGGTCTTTTCAACCAAATATCCCACAAACTGTTCATTAACTTATCTTGAACCTTACTTAACCTCACATTGGGAAGGGCTCACTGTGGTTACATGAAGAGGTAATAATGTTAGCTGTTGACTGAGGTGTATGTGCTGCGAATCTGTAATGTAGCATATATGGCCCGTGACAACTTGTGGGCTCACACAGCTTGCTATCTGTCGCAAGGGACAGGTTGACCAGAAATTTGTCATACCAGCCTGATTTGGGGATGTTTGTCTAAAATGTGTTCATCAGTATGGTGAGCAAACGTTTTCAAGGACATCTTGAATGCTAGCTCATGACATCAACAATTTTCTCCCAAACAGTAATCTCTGTTGATAGGTTTCAGTTTTGTAGTGGCGTATGTCTGTGTAATGTCATGGATTTGTCAGATTTGTACCTTTTCAGTCAGTAATGACCCATTCAGTCTTTGACCAGTCAGAAATGAGTGTCTTACCGCAAGGCAAGGTAATCGATACTAGTGACCTTCTTTGTGTGTCCAGGTATATACAAAGTGACCATGGTTCATGCCAAGCTGGGAATGACCAAGGACATCTTGGCCAACAAAGTCATCCCTTTCCTCATGCCACTGTGTATTGACAACAACCTCAACCTCAGCCAGGTTAGTGGAACACTGCGTCAGCATAGACGTCCCCACAGGCCTCAATACAACATTGTCGAATAATCAAACATTTGTTACATAGAATTTATGATTTACAGGTAACAATAAGCGATGGAGAATTTTACCTGGTGGTTTGATCACCTTTACCTGTATAGGATTGTCACTGATTGAATTTATTATTGTCAGACACTTCATTGAGTATAGCAGATCTTGACTTATCACTTAAGAGATGGTAGCCTACCTTGTGTACATTTTATTTCTGTGACTCATCATCTGGAAAGGAAATGCAGGATTTATACTGTGTAAAGCCATACTGTCGTCATGTCGTTGTTTCAAGGTCAGTCTAAATGTCATCTTCTACCTGATTGCAGTTCAATGCATTCGTGGGTACAGTACGGGAAATGTTTCACAAGGTGGAGAGTGAGCAACGCACCAAGCTGGAACAGCTGGACCAGATGAAGCAGGAACAGAAGTAAGTGGACCTAATCCTGCTGCCACACTTCACCACATATAACAAGTCAGTAGTCAGGGCAAGTTTGGGCCTTTAGCCGGGCTGCGTGTCATTTGAGTCGACATGATGGACCAGGTGGTTAGGCTTTGTGAGTGAGTGAGTGAGTTAAGTTTTACACCACTCTCAGCAATATTCCAGCTATATGGCGGTGGTCTGTAAATAATGAGTCAAGACCAGACAATCCAGTGATCAACAGCATGAGCATCGATCTGTGCAATTGGGATACGATGCCATGTGTAAACCAAGTCAGCAGTCCTGACCAGCCGATCCCGTTAGGTGCTTCTTACGACAGGCATGGGTTACTGAAGGCCAATATTCTAACCTGGATCTTCACGGGTCTAGGGGTTGTAACTTGGGTTATTGTGTGTTTCTGTGGTCTGTCTGCTTGTAAAAGAGTTGACAGTAATGGATCAGGCTTTATGCAGTGAATGTATGCATGTTATAGTGACCCTCTGTCTGGACCTGCCCCAATTAACCCCTCCCCGTGTTTTTGAGGTGTTTTTATTGTGTGGTTCATGTTGTATTTTGTACTCTGCAGGACACTCGAGATCTCGAAGGTCTCAAGCAAGGCAGACAGCAATCTGATCCCTGAAGTTGCGCAGGAGAAGAACCAGACGATGGTGAGGGAATGGGGAGGGTGTTTCTGACAGCTTAGTCACACACTGTCATGTGTTTTTAGTGACTCGCCTTTTTAGGGCATGTAATGTTTCCTCATTCATTGATTCCTGCAGTCAGATAATCAGTACTTGGTTTCTGCTGCATGTTGCGAGAATATGGCTGGGTCAGTTTTAAGATGATTTAGTTTCAACATGAAATATAAAAAAACAAAAATGTTTATGTGAACTAGTTTGTCCTGAATAATCAGGCTAGCTATTCTCGAAACGTTCGTAGCCCTACAAACTTCTTAAGCCCATTCTTAACACATTGGCTAGGAATGCTTAGGGTATGAACGTTTCGAGAATAAGGGCCGAGATCGTATAAAGCACCAAGTGATTGTGTTGTATTCCTGTTCTGCAGATGGATAAGTTCCTGTCAGGGTTTGGTATTGCTGGTCTGATGGGTGGTTCCCAACAGACGGAGTCCACTGGCGGACCTGCACCGGTGGCTGCCTCCTCTACACCCAGGCCCACGGCCCAGCCAACAGGGACTGCTAAGGTAACAGTTTACATTACTGTATTGTCATAGATCATCGGTTGTCAAGACATAAAGGATAACCTGATTTATCCACTTGGAAACTTGTACAGCTGTGACAAATGCTTGTGTGTTGATATTAAATCCTACCTTTGATCTGAGACCCCCCATGTTGTTGTTTTCAGTGATGAATGTTTTCTTGTTCTGGTTTTCCCAGTGTGTTTAGTAGCAGGTGATTGTGCCCCAACAGTTGTCGTTCATGATGAACCGATGTTTGTCCTGCCCAAATTAGTCCAGGCTGCTGGAATATATCAGACTGCAGAGTAAAGGGACAGTCACTCATCCAGTTTGCCACAGTCACTTCTGTGAAACTTTAGTGTCTGTTATGCTTATGACTGACTGACTGAGTTTAGTTTTACGCCGCTTTTAGCAATATTCCAGCAATATCACGGCGGGGGACACCAGAAATGGGCTTAACACATTGTGCCCAAGTGGGGAATCGAACCCGGGCCTTCGGTGTGACGAGCCAACGCTTTAACCACTAGGCTACCCCACCGCCCCTTATGCTTATGATGTGCCATATCTTGATATGTGGCCTATTGGCTAATGTGCTGTGCAGAGTTGGTCTTTCCAGAAACCTATGATTGAGGGTTCAGATCCCAGTTCACCCTTATTGTGTTTCTGTTTGTCCATGCCATCAATTTGATTTCCTAAATGTGGGCACAGTGGGGTAGCCTAGTGGTTAAAGTGTTTGCTCCTCATGCTGAAGGCCCAGATTCGATTCCCCACATGGGTACATGTGTGAAGCCTATTTCTGGTGTCACTCTCCTAAATAATACTGACATAAATAACTATACTGACATACTGTTCAAAGTAGTTTTATACCAAACTTACTTGTATCCAGACAGCTTGGATTGTTCATACTCTTTCAACAGTCAGCTTTTCTAATCTCAACTTGCTTATATATACAGGTTGATGTGAAAGCTGAAGTATTGTTAAACAACATTCACTCATAATGTTTCAGGTGTCGTTGTCCTTGGAGGAGAAACAGAGATTAGCCCGACAACAAGAACAGGAACAGAAACTGAAAGTTCAGCGACCTCTCTCGGCACAAAACACACAGAATAAACCAAAGACCAACGACAAGGTGAAAGACCTGACTTCAACCTTGATGGACACAAACCTCAGGAACATGTCCACTACAACTCCCAAATCTCAGCCCATGTCCTCCATGGGGGGACAGTCCGGTCCTGTGATTGGAAGAGGGGGCATGTCCAGCTCGTATGGAGTGTCCAGCCCTCCATCAGTGGGCAGTGGGGGATATGCTGGGATGAACACTGGGGGCAGTTTCGCAGGAATGAACAACAATAGTTCTGGTTTCGGAGTGGTGAACAATTCTCCTGGATTTGGGGGATCTGGCTCCATGAACACGGGAGGCGGGAACAAACCCAAAATGGACATGTCTGCTTTTGATTCCTTGTTACCCAGCTCAAATCAGCCAAGGAAGTCCATGAATGAAATGGCCCAAACTAGAACTGCTGGGATGCCTGGTCAACAAGGCATGATGGGTGGGCAGAGGATGGGGATGGGGGGTAACGTGGGCATGATGGGGAACCAGGGGATGATGGGCAGCCCTGGAATGATGGGATACCAGCAGAATATGAACGGAGGTTTCGGACAGATGAGTAACCAGATGAACTTTGGGGGCATGGGGAACACTGGATCCATGCCCATGTCCAATTCCAGTATGCTGACACCCCAATCTTCCAGTCAAATGAAACCTAGCGGGAATGACTTGGCTGATATTTTTGGCTGAATTGCATGTTTTAATAGTTACCGTTGTTACAATGGTTTATTCTCCTAAAGAGACAAACAAGTTGGCTTTGGAGATTGTGTCACAGTCGGACAAGTGAAAATGACAAATTCAAACATCGTTCTAATCTCTTGCTCAAAACATGTCCCTTGAAGTAAAATTTGACAAGCCAAGTACTTAATGTGGTATTGCTGTGTAAAACTTTTGAAGCTGCAGCAATATATCAACGTGTGTAGCAAATTTCCTACAAGACACAGCAAGGACACTCGTCATCAAGTCATCATTAATGTCATGTGAATGTAGTTGAGGTCATGTATCAGCCTGACCAATTGTGCAATATGTTTGAGAGATGCTCATGCTTGTACTTACATTAGTGATTGGGTGGAGGTACCACAGTTTTAGGATCAGAGTATATCCAGGAGTCCAATCTCCTTCTGCCAACTCAGCAGCTCAGGACAATAATCTTCCAAAATGATTTATCATAGAAGTTTCCTGTTTGTATGTGTGAAGTAGGGATGCCTTGTGGATTCTGGATGAGGAGAGTCCCCAATACTCCATGCTTGTGATGGTGCCAATTAACATGATGACAATCTGCCATGGTATTGCTGGAATATTACTGACCGGCATTAACTTGCTTTCAGTTGGCGCTGGAGCAGTGCTATAGATAAGGACATTATAGTCATAAGTTGAAATCATTATTCGTCTTTGACTAAATGGCAAACTGTTCTCTAAAACGTTTACACTCAGAGATCAGAAGTAAAGATAGCTGAGTGCTGAGTTTGAAAAATAGAAATATACCCGCTGGAAAAAAACATTCCGCTCTGGCATTTACTGTATGTTCCTCCACGTGGCCCCAAATAGCATCCTCTATGTCTCCAGCATTCACATTTCAGTACACTAACACCTGGATCCATTTTGTGGTTCTCACAATCTCACATTACATGCCCCTCATTTTCATTAATATTTTCCATCCAGTCAAACACTGAGATGAGGTAATGGATAAGGGAGGTAGCTTGTATTCACCAAGAACCAAACCAGACATTTTCTTCCTTCCAAAGAGTTGTAAGGCCTTCAGTGTTGGAAGTCTATCATGATTTTGATCATTAGGGACTGGCCGCCGTTTGGTGGATATCACCAACCCAACATGGTTTGTAACTTGCATTCCGATTGGTTCATTGACTGAGCAGCACTGCAAACCAAATTTGCTGAAATAGATTGAGTGAAGGTAATTTGAAATCATGAGAAGCCCAGGAATGGATCCAGGGGTTAGTGTTCATTTACTGAAATGGGAGCTCAGAAGATATGCATGATGGCCAAGCCAAGGGTCAGATCATACAATGTAATGAAGCAGAGAAGGCAGTGACAGGAAAGAAAATGTTTGCCATGAAACAGCCACACATCATGCCATTACCTGTCACAAAGGTGAATGTGTTTCATCAGAAAATACAATTAAGTGTGTAGAGGGTCGTTTTCAGGCCAGGATTTGTCCAACTAGCAAGTCAATTCAAATAATCTGTTTTACTCAATATTTTGTTTCCTGGCAGTGAATGTTAAATGCCTATTTACGTATCAAGTAATTGTTTTCATATTTTCACTAGTCCACAAAACTTATCTGCTACAGAGCTGCTGTATACATAATGGTAGAGTGGTAGTGCTCAGGGCGTTCTCCTGCCTGATGTTCACTATGGTTTGTCAGAGATATCATCTCAGGGCATGTATGAAACAGACATTAACTGGAAATGGTTGCCTGACTGTGGAACCCCTTGGTAATGATTCTACGAACATATTATTTACTGGGTCCTGTCTGTAATATCTGTTATGTGTTTCAGGTTGGTTTCTGTACATGCTGCAGTATATATGGTCAACTGTACTATAAGTGCACTGTATTCTTGATACGTTCTTTCCATCACTATATACATGTGCTTTGATTCTGTAAATCTGTGGGTTCATTGTTATGGTACACAGAGATGCCAACCTCTACGATTTTATCGTAGTCGCTATGAATTTTAACCTCAAACTACGCCAATACGATTGCACTAGAAATTCTACGAAGTTTGAAGAAAAATCATTAAAATTCGGATATATAGACAAATTAAATACATTCGTCAATTAAATACATTTTTGGACTTTACTTACCTTCCATCCATCAAATTTAATGACATATTTGAACTGGAATCATTGCAAGTAACAAATGTAATTTTAGCAAAATTGTCTGTCAGAAATCTGAAGCTGATTTCAATACCTTGCGATTTGACCCACTTATTGTGTACCGGCGGAAAATGACAATTCTATAGGAATGATTTAACCGTTCCTTCCATTTGATTATACGAAACCGGTATGTGAAATTAAAGCTTCACTCTTGATTTTAAGTATTTAGATGACTACTAATGTTACGGTCAAACTACTAATTTAGATCCTTGACACTACTATTTGCAACACTTTGGGGTTGGCATCTCTGGGTACATGGATGCTGGGAAACTAATCAAGCAGTGCCTCTTAAGCACGGCTTACATTAGGTTAAAGACACTCTATTTAAATATATGCTGTTGTTGTATTTGTTGTGTTTTTCAAGCACACATAAGATGCTTTAATACACATAGCTTCGGGTGCCATAGGTCTAAGACTATTTATTTAATGACTGAAATCTGAAGTTCTGGTTAAAGTTATGAAGTTGGGTTTCTTTAAACAGTAAAACTTCTATAAATATGTACAGAGATTGGTGTTATTGTAAATAAGACATACATCTACTTTATTTTAAACAGACATGATTACCATGATGTTATTAACATTCCCATATAGATGTAAACATAAATATTACCGCTTTTGTTCCTATATACATGTAAACATAAATATTACGGCTTTTGTTCCTTTAAACATGTAAAAATAGATATTACGGCTTTTATGGTAATACATTTGGAGTAACTGGAAAGGCTCCATCTTTGATGGCGTGCATCTAATGTTACTTTGTGTGGATTCATGGTTAGAGTATGCCTGAGGTAACATTGTGGCGCTAGGCGACATACTGGATTGGGTGGTCAGGTTCATTGACTTGGTTACATTTCACCAAACCGTGGTAGGATGGGAAATTGTGGATAATATCAATCACTGGTTTGTATGGCCCATAATATTTACAGTTTACAGATATATTGCGGAAATATCTCTACACATCAAGCGTGTTATACAACAAACATAGCTGTATAATTTTGTTTGTTATATTATATCATAAACTATTGGCAATCACGCACAATTTTCAAATGACTTACACATTTTGGGGCGAGTTAAGGTTTTGGATAATTTGCATCTGATATAATATCTTTATTCGTGTAAGTACTGTTAAAGCAGTCATATTTCTTCATGTTATGAAAATATTGTCATCAAAAGTTATGTTGATAGTAGCATTATGTTTTTTACCAGAAATGATAAGACATACGGTTACTTTCAGTTATCAGTTTAGGATTGGAACAATTCATTCTTTGATATTAACCACGAACAGCAAGGATGTTCCCCTCTTTAGCTCACCTGACTAAAACGTGGGATGAGATTGTGTCAAGGCCTGTTTGTTTGTTGTCAGACATGCATCATACACATCTTCTCCTCAGAGACCACAAGACCATTGAAACTGAAATTTGTACAAAGTTATCCCCTTCAGTGATTTGTCGGAAAATTTGGGATTTTTTACCATGCTTTTGTTTTCCTTCAGAATGCATATTTGACTGTGTAAATGTCTTCTCTGAAACTGCAAGACAGGAGGAGCTGCACCATTGCATGTATATGTGTCTTCTTGATGCCGCCATATTTTGTTGAAATTATTAGATGCTGTGGTAGTTTTTTGTCTCAATATTTTGGCAGATAATATTTGAATTTCAGTGCTGACAGCATATTTTGTTAAGTGGCTATCTTTGCTGACATTTACTGCTGTTAACTATTTATCCAGGTGAGCTACAGTTAGTGACACTATTTGTTTCAGTTAGTATCAGACTTCAACATTGTAACATTTATCTTTCTGTGAATAACATTATGTATGACTTGGGATCTCTGTACTGGTGGGATAGCATCTTTATGGAGTTGTACTTGGGTGTAATTGTATTTATTGTTTGACATAATATCATGGGGTGTTAAGCTTGTTCCATTCCAAGTGCTCTGTTTACAATGTATTCTTGTTTTATGATATCCGTGATATTTGATGACAGCAGGCTGTGATTCTCCTTGTTCCATACATGCAGGAATATAATGTATAAACATGGCAGTGGTATTTGTCTTTGTTTGTGAGGATGAACACATCTGGGTTCAGGGCCAGAATAAGTCCTTGGTGCCTTTTGTTTGTCTTTGGAGCTGTCTAAACAGGTGGCTGTGAGACTCTGACATTGTGGACAACGTCATTTCAGACTTTCCCTGCATCATTTCAGACTTTCCCAGTATCACATCAGATTTTCCCTGCATCAGTTCAGACTTCCCAGCATCACATCAGACTTTCCCTGCATCAGACTGGCCCTGCATCATTTCAGACTTCCCAGCATCACATCAGACTTTCCCTGCATCAGACTTGCCCTGCATCATTTCAGACTGTCCCAGTGTCACATCAGACTTTCCCAGTATCACATCAGACTTTCTCTGCATCATTTCAGACTTTAGCAGCATCACTTCAGACTTGCCCTGCATGATTTCAGACTTTCCCAGTGTCACATCAGACTTTCCCAGTATCACATCAGACTTTCTCTGCATCATTTCAGTCTGCATCATTTCAGACTTTAGCAGCATCACTTCAGACTTTGCCCTGCATGATTTCAGACTTTCCCAGTGTCACATCAGACTTTCCCAGCATCACATCAGACTTTCTTTGCATCATTTCAGACTTTCCTTGCATTACAACAGACTTTCCCTGTTTAACACAACCTACTCATCTGTTAAGGGTGCAGGGGTAGCTTAGTGGATGCAAGGCAGGCTTATCGTTGTGAAAACCTGGGTTGAATCCCAGTGTCATAGTTGGGGGAAGCCAATTACAGGTGTCCCATCTTGATATTGTGGACACCCAATTCACTTGTCTCTTAATACATGTACACTGAATAGTATCTGTTCTTAAAATCGTTCACATGTAATGACACATATGATTGCATTCTTTTATTTTCATTAGTCAGGCAGGACAGTTTTTGATAAATGAAAATTGATTTTACTTTCATTTTTCACCATGGTATTACTTCACCGTAATTTGAGTGAAGCAGACCAACAGATCTTTCATTGAAGGATGCAAACGTTCTCAAAAGGTTTGATACGCAGTCCTCAACACAGATTGGAGCATCCGAACCACCCATATTTGTCTTAACATGACCAGGGTTCACAGCGGCCACTAAAATACCATCATTACAGAGTTCTCTCCCCATGATGTTCGTTGCCATGGTGAGGGCAGCCTTGGAGCAGATGTAGCTGTACCAAGGATGTTTCATATTCTTGATACAGAACGACATGGAACTGAGTCCTGAAGACACATTGATGATGGCCGCCCGGTTACAACTGAGGTGGGACAAGCTTTTGTTGGCAGCCTTCAGTAGAAGCGGGAGGAGACTCTTGGACACCATCATTGGTCCTGCAAGAAAACCTATATGATAAACACAGAGGATACTTTCAATAAGAAAACTTCAAGAAATTAGTCTTGCCCAATACCGTTTTGTTAAGACCAACATATAAACTAACTTTCAAGTACTGCAGAAATATCACAGAGGTTCAGGGCCAAATTTGTTTGGTTTACCACTTTGGAGACCAAACATCCAGGTCGGTAGGTCAAAACAAGTAAAATGGTAATAGTTTCCTTACGATTCGTCATAATTCGTTCCGTTTTGAAGTATTTTAGATAAATGTTCAACAAGTTTTAATTACAGTATCTTCAATGATTTATTTATGTTGATACCGACAAATACGTTTATAAACATTTGACATATTTCTGGTCCGTGGAAAAAAGATCAACATGTTGTTTTCACGTTTCAGTATTTGGAAGAGCGCGGAAACGTATCAAATTGTTTTGGTCGTAGTGAGAGAGTATGGTTTAACCCCGCTTTTAGCAATATTCAAGCAATATCACGGCGGGGGACATCAGAAATGGGCTTCACACATTGTACCCGTGTGGGGCATTGAACCCGGGCCTTCGGCGTGACGAGCGAACGCTGTAACCATTAGGCTAACCCACCGACCCGTTTGGGTCTGAAGTTCGAAGTAGGTTTGCTATCTGTAAAACATCTTAAGGTGCCTTTAATCTCTCTGTGATGTTTCTGCAGTGCTACAATGCACTGTGTGAAGTTTTGTCCCTTAGGCGTGCCAGGATGCTATGATGAGCGGTTGTATTCCCAGATTACCCCCTGATAATGATCGGAATAGCCAAATGGGTACCGTGCGTGTCATATATCTACAAAACTCCCGACGTTCCTACGTTGTGCCAGGGATACTCTACAACAGAGTCTACAGTTATAGAGTCTCCCTGGTTGTGCAGACGCCCAGTGAAATAACTGAACTCTGTTTTATTGGCGTAAAATAAAACTCGCTAACTTTACATTTAGTTTAACTTCTAAAGGCACACCTTTTTAATCTGCACAACGCTAATAGAAGTCATACAAGTCCAGATCAAAGGTTAGTTAGATAACTGATAATTATGCTTGGTGTATTAATTTGTATTGGCAGAAGTGTCAAGATTTTAAAGAATTCCGGGAGTCGGTCTACCAGTGCGATTAACTTCCACATTAAATTAGTGCATACCAGCCGTGTTGCAGTCGAAGTGACCCACGAGATCGTCCCTCGTCACGTCCCTCACACCGGACACCTTGGACAATATGGCGGCGTTGTTGATGAGCAGATTCAGCCCCTCCTCTCCCAGCACCTGCTCGGCAGTGACAACCGCCTCCTTGATATCCTGGTCACTCGTGATGTCCAACTTGACCACGACAACTTCTGGGTGGGCAGCCGCTATGTCTTGAAGCTGACGCGCCTCGTCGCTGCTGGGGTCTCTGCACGAAGCTAGAAGATGCTGTGGACGATGGGACAGATTCACCAGCTGTCTGACTAGTTCCAGGCCGATACCGCTGGAACTTCCTGTTATAAACACTGACCGGGGGCTCAACGTGGCCATCGGATTTCTGAAAACTGATGTCAGCTTCAGGAGAGTTACATGCAATAGTCTCTAAAGTGATGGGTGATTACCTTCGAATATCCAGTATAATTGCTTTTCAATTCTATTAAGTTTAAGAGAATAGACAACAATGTGCGAGTATGTGAGTATGCGTGCGTGCGTGCATGTAACTATCCGGTCCCAATATTTTAAACAGAATAGAAACGATGTGATGCCGTTTATGTTGACGAGCATAGGATTTTTTGTGACACCACACAAGGAAACGTCACCACATTTCTTAGATATACAGCCAATGAGAGAACATGTCCGTTGTGTGATTCGACGGACTTTAGGTGTGTTACGTTTGCAGTCATTGAAGATGAACAATGCATTCTCTGAGAAGACATCGGGCTAGTAGTGTCCTTCAGGAACCGGAGATGCAATATAACAGGGGTTAAAAACAACTGAAAACAATAACCTTTGGTTTCTAAAGGAAACTTGAAAACAATTTAAATAAGAATCTGCTCTAATCTTCGCTACTTGAAAAAGAATCACTAATATTGCAATTATGACTTATTGAAGATAGCCACAAGTGTGCTGATACCCATAATGTGGAAATAAAAGTATTCCGGGGATAACGTGATATATTTCGTCTTGTCAAAAGTCCTTTTCTACACAAGATGTTTCGCCGCTCAACGGCTCTTCAGCATTGTTCAGGTATGCGAGTGAGTGAGTATTGGTTTTACGCCGCTTTTAGCAATATTCCTGTAACATCACGACGGGGGACACCAGAAATGGGCTTCACACAGCTGTACCCATGTGGGGAATCGAACCCGAGTCTTCGGCGTGAGGAGCGAACGCTTTAACCACTAGGCGACCCCTACCGCCCACTTCAGGTATGTACCACAGGAGCTTGTATTGCAGAAAATACGTCCTTGGTCCAACACTCGTTCACTGATAGCCGTCTACATATTAAAAATGTACTTTTTTAAAATATGTAGATGGCAATCAGTGATCGAGTGTTGGACCTAGGACATATTATTTTCAGCAATACAAGCCATTCGTAACTATTCGTGTCATTCCGGCAAGCCGGATGGCTTCTTGTAGGTCACGGAAAGAGGCGAGTAGTTACGAATGCAATACAAGCCCCCTGACCTGTGCAATGTACGCCGTTGAACGGCAAAAGATCTTGTGTAGATAAAGGAGCTTGCACCTGCTGCAATCACTTGTTTGTTTCATATGAATGGTGCACGAACATACAACATTAGTTCGTTGTGTGAGGTGAATTTTGCTGTACGATAGCATCTAACGAATTTGAATTGAGGAACGTGACTCTAGAATACAAAGTTCAAAAACAAAATAAGTCCGGAAGTCATTTCGATGATGAAAGCGATTTCCAAACACATGGAAGGTTCCGAATGTCTCTGTGCAAGGGCAGGTAACTCTAAGTTATCGAGAAAATGGCGGAAACTCGTTTACCGAACGCAGGTGAAATAAGTTTATAATCAGTGACATGTGCGTCAACTGATTTTACACATTAACATCAAATAGAAATACATATAACGTTGTAATTAACTAATCATATTAACCTTTGTTGCATCAAATATCCTATCCAGCATGATAGACACGAAAAGCTTACCGATGAAGCATGAACTTTGTCAGGTAGAAGCGAAACAAGGAAGTTGGGTTAGAGCTGAGACCGGTGTGAGTGGCATCAAAGATTCTGGCCTAACTTTCTTCGGAAATATAGTACTGGTCCTGGTATGATTTGTAGTGAAGCACTCTGAAGCAGTTTAAGTGCATAGCATTACACCAACTCGTCAGATGCAGGTAAGCAGGGAGTTAGCTCCCTTGTATCGCATCCCACAGTGCTTTGAGGTGCTGGACTAAATATAGGCACAACTCATCGTATATTATCAGCAGCAAGATTTTACTGTGGTGATATTGTTCTGCGAAGGCAGATTCAGATATAGTACTGCTTAGACAATATGGCCCAGAACATAGGTAGGACTGTTGATGATCAATCTGTTGGTATGGCAAATACCATGGTTACTAGTAATTATCCCCTGTGGTGATATTGATGATATGCTACAGTCTTTGTATCGACTAATTGTCAATAATGTGATATAGTATTTCCCTGCAGATTACAGTTCTTATTGGGTTGTACCATATGACTGTGTCTCTCAACATCTTGACTGTTATATGTTTGATTGGCATTTTAGAAGATGCTATTTGATGAACATAGAGAATTTTCTGGGTTTCACCTTCTTTTTATTGTTTGGTACAACGTTTCAGGGCTTGTTTCGGCCTCATCATCAGGTTGGTACAACGTTTTCAGGGCTTGTTTCGGCCTCATCATCAGGTTGGTACAACGTTTTCAGGGCTTGTTCTGGCCCCCATCATCAGGTAGAACTAAGGGTGCTGTCCTTTAGTTCTACCTGATTATCAGTGTCCTTAGTTCTACCTGACGATCAGTGTACTTTAGTTCTACCTGATGATGGGGCCAGAACAAGCCATGAAACGTTGTACTAAACAATAAAACGAAGATGAAACCCAGAAAATTCTCTATGTTCACCCAGAGACCATATGGTCTCTGGTTCATCTTGATTGTTGTGAAAATGTTTTAAGTGCATTCAATGAACAATGTGAAATACTGGGATAATAGCAGAGACCATGTTTGGTCTCTGGTGATAGTAAGTTATGTAGTTCAAAGGATTCAAGATGAAGCAAAATCTATTTGAATAGTTTAGTCCTGTTGATTATTGCTCAATTCGACAAGTTAATCTTCATGCTATGACTGTTATGTGTAAATATTAAAGTATTGGAATTATGATTGTCTTGGCACTGAAATCCCATTGTTTAAGGAGATCATGGTTTACAACACTACACATTTCTGATAGTTTAGGTACATGGAGTTGTAACACCTGTGAGTAACAGTATGTAACATTATGTGCATCGTCAGTGACCTCAGAGGAGCTGGACTTGAAGACTGTGCGAGTCGTGCTGGTTGTCGAGGGCCTGGAGGTTGGACACCTTGGTGGCAAGAAGAATGCAGATGTCCTTGTTGACTTTAAGGAAACGTGAGATTGATACCACAGTTAGATAGCTTACATAGATCATGGAGATGATTTCTTTCTTTCATGACCATTGATGTTGATGTCAGTCATTGCCACCTTCTGTGCATAATTGGTTCTTCTCTCTTAAATAGATTTTATTGGTGTATTCAGTGCAAAAATAAAGGTAAGCATAAAGGCTTGTGATGTTATCAGTGTGTAAGTCTTTGCAAAACTAAAATATTACACTGTGGACAATTTGATTCTTCCCATTTTGTACTGACTTTCTTCACAAACCCTGACCCTAGTGTCAGCCACTGAGAATGTCAAGATAAATATTTCGGTAAATATATTATTTTCAGATCACTTTGTGTGCAAGCAGAAGTACGCAGAAAGAAGGGTGTTGTGAAATACAAGCAGGTCATCAAGAAGCTTCCTGGAGAAATAGATCCTGACAAATGTTCCTTCAAGGTAACGTTGCAAGTTGCAATTTGTTTATTAAATCATTTCAGTCAAAATAGACACAAATTCTTTTCTCTTTTCAAAATAAGACAAAATTTCTTGAAAAATATACATGTGCACATGATAAATTAAACATGTTTGTTGATCCAGATGTACTTGTGGCTCAGATGGTAATAAATAACATGTTGGCATCAAATGAAAACTGTGGTTCGTATGAGAAATCCAGTGTGTTATATATCCAGTCTATTTTGATTAATTCCCTGACTGCATATTGCAGTACTCCTGTGAAGATCATGCTTGTCGTAAGATCGGGTGGTCAGGCTTGCTGACTTGGTTGACATATGTCATCGCATCCCAATTACTGTTGATCACTGGACTGTCTGGTCCAGACTTGATTATTTACTGACCGGCGCCATATAGCTGGAATATTGCTGAGTGCGGCATTAAACACCAACCAGCCAGCAGTCTCTTCACCATCTCTCCCGTCTTTAACATAGCAGAAAATCATAACAAACACAGTTATCACTCAAGAGTGATTTGATTGAACGTTCAAATTGGTGTCAAGATGATGCTATGTTGGCAGGAGGACTGAGAGTATTTATCCAAATGGAATGGTCAATCAATACTCTTGATAATTAATGACATTAGAATAGAGTTTTCTTTAGCTCTCCTAGATGGCATGGAACTTTGTTCATTGTATTTGTCTATCTTGTCCACTGTCTGTCCATGTTTGGTGATGCTGATACCAACTTCACTGTTTTCAGTTCAAGAAGGACCAGATCATCCTGGACCTGAAGAAGAAGGAGGAGTCCTCCTGGGCGGTACAGCTGTCTACATCAGGGCTGGAACAAGCCTCCTCTGATGAAAGTGACTAACATGTATTATGTCTGTGTCTCACTGCCAGATGTGTTGTATCTGGTCAATGTCTGTAACCTATGCTGTCAATCTTGTTGCTCATCTGTTTCAACTCAAGCATGACGTTAAACCCAATTTCACCTCACCCATCTGTTTCAATGATCATTAGGCAAACATTTTGAATGTGACATTTTTGTATGTCGGTTACAGAATAATGAGAATATGTCCCAAAGGTTTAGTGACATGGGATAAGAGCTTTAAGGCTGATTTGGCTTGTTTGATTTTTGTCTTGCATATTACATTAGCATGTCTTGTTTTGGAAGTCTGTCCTATGATAAAACTGTTTACACAAATCAATCTTGATTAGATTCTTTCCATTTGAGGTTTACCAGTCATACCAGTATTTGTTTTTAAAAACAAGGAAAACTTGAACATGTGTTAAAGGTACATGTAAAACATATATATATGCTTTCATGAAAGGACAACGGATAATATCCTGTCATGTGGTACTCTTGATTCATTTCAGCAGTTCAGGTCAGAACAACAAATTTATGATCAATTAGGGCTTGAGGTAGGTGGAGACTTAAAGAGTTTATGCTTTCCAGTAGGTAGCATATGTTTGATTAGTTTGCTTGATAGTAGCTTGGACTGTATTGTTATGAAGTTACTTGCTCAAGAAGATATGGAAGTGTATGTGCTTGCCTCTTGATCAAATATATCAAGAACCATGAAATCAGTAATTTAAAATTAAGCACCTTGATGCAATGAAAACATATCTTACATTTTCTGGTCCACTGATGTATTGCTGACCTTTTCACTGAGATAATAAATATAAAATCAAAATATACATCAAGATATGATCAGGAAGTTTAAATGCGTTATATTTATTACATGGCATATCTTTGATTCTGATGGTCAGTTTAGACGGAATAAGTGCTCTTATTGTTTTTAAAGATTGAGGCTAATTTGTGTACTATAATTGGCAGGCATATTTACTGATACAGAATTCATCTTTTTGTAAGGTATTTTCAGTAGCCAGAGACTATATATGCAGCATTTGAACAACTGTTATTAAAATGTAATAGCTCGGATATTGTTTGATCTTCATTATTCAGATATGTTTAATAAGTATAAGAATCGTAATTTATTGTTAACTGTCATTGAACACTATTTTGAGAATGAAACCTGTGCTCTTTTGTATGTTAAATAACTACGCAGGGATTAATAACATATATCATGCACATGTTTTAATCGATGTAGCATTTTGCACACTTTATTGTTAACAACCATCTGTTTTCCTTGTGATGTCCAGCTTTACGATGTAACTATTACTGCACACAAAGAATAAAATGTGGAGATGAGGAAATCATTTCATTTCAAATCCCCTTATGCAACAATGTTTTAAGTCTGGTATGTCCATCTCCATTGCTCGGACTGCCAACAGGACCTGTGCAATCCCAAAATATGCTGAACCAACAAACTTTCATACAGTCTTATATACAGGTCATTAGTTCAAAGAGATATCACACTCTTCCACATCTTGTTGTTGCAAAAACTGTTCATACGTTATTCATAGAATCAATAAAGTACCCCAAAAAAAAAAAAGAAAAGATTTCTAATTTTTCACATCCTCACATATTGCAAATATTGTTTGCTCATCAATTTGGGAACTTGACCAAAACATAGGGATCAGAGTTTGATATTTGCCACAAATTCTTTTGTCAACTTTGTAGCACTTTGATTTTAGAATTACTGGTTCTAAGTCATGTTAAAAAATATGTGACTAGCGGACCAGTGTATTAGATGAACTTTGCATGTCAGTTATGTTGATGATTGTCGACTTTCACTTGTTGAATTACACAGGCACTGCCATTTTCTAGTACCGTATTTGCTCAATGATAGAACTGTTTTAACTGTTATCATATAGTTAGTAAATAGTCAGATTAGAGTAACAAAACTGAAAAGCTAAGTCTTTGAAACTCATGACAATGTTTTGATGAGGAAATAATTTAATCTAGATAAATCGCATGTATTTTTCTAAGTCATTAATGGCAAAGATTACATTTTATTTCAGATGTATTTACTTTCCTAGTATTGCTGTTTTGTTATCATCTTATTTTACTGTTATGTTATTATATTCCTGAAAGCACTAATAATCCTTTGTAGCAGGATATATTTTATCATTTGTTAAAATCATGTTACAAGTTTCAGTGAGTAACGTTTTACTCTTGTACTTGTGCGATTGATTCATGTGTATTTCATTTGCTGACTTGCATGTGTCAAAAGGTATACACGAAAACTATTCCATTAGTAAAATGTCAGTTAAGCCATGACAAATGATAGCTGAAAATTGTACTTTTGATTATGTTACATAAATGCCAATTTGTTTGATAAAATTGTTTTATAAAATTGTAATTGGAACTCAAGGGTTAACACTTCATTGAATCTCCTTTTTGTATTTTGTGAACATCTTTTTAGGGAGTTTTCTTCTCAGTCATGTTTTAACAAGTTATAAACATATACATTTTGCTTTAAATTACACATTGTTTAGAATAAAAGATCTATTGTGATTACATTATACATATGACGTTTGACTGTAGTCTTGAATACATCAGTTAACTAACAATGCAAATGCTAACCTGAGTACATTGTTTTCATTGACAGTGAATATTAAACAGTGAAATTAACCATAGCAATGGAATAAATGGCATTAAACAAAGAGGGTAGAGCTTAAGATTAGTACTTAAATGAATGAATATCTGGTTTCGTGAACCATGTCATAATCCCCATGAAATTGATACTAGTCTTTCCTGAATTTTTGTAGTCTCCGACTGGCACACCTTTCTTAAATTTGCACTCTGAATGCAAAAGTTTTCATGCCTTGGTTGTATTCATTCACTTTAAGGTTACTGGTGTGGAAATGACCTGTGTTGAACAAATTGAAATGTGACCATATTTAGTCTTACAGTATATGCAATTTGACTTTTATCATTAGTATTTCATGTATATGAAGAACAGTGAGTAAAACTTACTTTTTTTGTAGAGTTTGTTCATTTTATTGTCATTACTGTTATTTTTTAAATTGGTTTTGGAAAAGATTATCATTCAGCCAATTAAAAGATAGGGCAAGGGTCAGAGACATGGCAGGGACTTGGGAAAAGGACAACCACAGGGGACAGGCGAAAGAAGAGACAAGTGCTGGGTTATGTGCAATGTTGCACTGGTTGGGGCTGTAGTAGGACGGAGGTTAAGATCTCAGGTTTTATCTAGGATATAAGCAGTCATAAATTCTCAGGCTGGGGCTATACTATGACCTAGGTTAACATCTCAGGTTGGATCTAGGATATGAACAATGTTAAGTTCTCAGGCTGGGGCTATACTATTCCCTATTAAGATCTCAGGTTGGATCTAGGATATTGGGAATGTTAAGTTCTCAGGCTGGGGCTGAGCTGGAGACATGGCTAAGAAACAATCTAGGGTAGAGAGTAGGATGGGAACTCCAATACGGGTGCTTGGAAAGATTTGGGATGGGGAACAAGGTAGGGTTTGTTGTATGGCATGATCTGTTGCGACAGTCTGCAATATTGCAGCCCAATCACCTACCCATGTTGTGCTACCACAGGCCATGGAAACAAAATTAGAAAGCATCAACATTGAGCGTAGGCTTCTTCAAGTGGTGACCGAAAAAATATACTTTAACTACTAAATTCAGAATAGTATATGTTCAGTCGTCCTTTGCTGGACATAACCTCGATCGTGAACATGTAAATGTATGATGTGGATGTAAGATGAAGAAACATCAAGCTGACCTGTTGTTTATGGATGGTGCACATCCTCGAGTAAGAGTATATATTTTTTTATTACATAAATTTCCACAGTATCCCAGTTGATTGAGATTAGAAAAACGTTTGTTGTTTCCACGTGGGAATAAAAATTCAGGGCGGGCGTGAGGGAAGAGGAAAACTGAAAAAGTACGAGTGAGTGAGTTGGATTTTACTCCGCTTCTAGCAATATTCCAACAATAGGGGGATAGCAGAAATCGGTTTCACACGAAAAAGAACGAACATCCTGAGGGACGTGAGACGACCAAATATAATAAATGACAGGTTGGAATGCAAATTTTACTTTAATAATATTGCAGATATATAAAAACATACCATTAGCAACTATGAAATGAAGTCCGCCATGTGAACAGTTGTTAAATGTTGAATGTTGAATGCTCACGGAAACGGCTACTCTAACTAAATGTTAAGAGACCACATTCTCAGGATATGGTTTAATGAGTCACTTTCATTCAGCAGTTGCACATCAGTCGACTAAACCATTACAGTTTTAAGTTTTACATTTGCATTTAAGTCAACTGTGAATATAAATTGTATGGTGCCTCTATTCTTTTACGATACATACACTAGACACACACGTTGCCTGAAGTTCATGGGCACGTAAGTGTAACATTTTGGGGCAGGTGGAATCCTTCAGATCTGCCTCAAAATGGCGGTATTGTAGGGACTGTCGAGGTATATATATATCATAACAGAATGGAGGTATTGTCGAGTTAACGTAGGGGACATATATAACTAAAATAATCACAGGTAGGCTTTTGTGACATTTCATGAGAGTAACTATTCAAGCACCCATCACCCAAAACCAATTGTAAGACTATAAGGCTACAGAAGCTACTTGTTTTGGTGCTGACGTCACACTGATCTGTGCGTGTATTAATGGTCATGTTTCAATCAAAACAGATTTTTGAAGTGGTCTGCGTGATCCGGAGCTCGAGCACACCACAATCGAAAGGAAACGTAAAAACATTAGTCAAAACCTTTCTCTGACCTTCACATGATTGTCGTTGTCCTGGAGACGTGTAAATCCACGATCAAACACATTGATGTTTATCAACACACAAATGTCCAGAACTCAAACTTTTCCTTTTCCCTGTTTTGTTGAACAATGTTTTTGTTTTTTTTCCGGTGGCCGTTCTTCCTCACATAAATACACCATTCTTTATCACACAGATATAAAATTCAACTTTCTTCTTCCTTCAGCTCTTCTTCGTGAAGCTGCACGTGCTGCTCAACCCCAAATCGAAACTTACAGTTACCAGAGAGGTCAAAGGTTACTAATCTTTTCTCTATCACGAAGCCTTTCCTTTCATTTTCTCGTTTCATAATGTCCGCAAAGTCTCCTTCAATTGTTTGAACAAAACAGTTATTTTCTCTCAGATTTGTCACAACGACCAAAACACGACCTTTGATCTTGACCTGCATCTTGAAGGACGCGTTGAACTCCTGCTCCTTGATGACCAGCTCGGCAATGGTCCTGTGTTTAGGCGGGACTTTGATGCTGCTGTTGATGGACCATGTCATGGCCTCCTCCTGCACGCTCTCCTCAGCTGTCTGCATGTTCACCTCGCGACCAAATCCTGCTGTGGCAGAAGCGACCTCTTCCGGCAAACCCAGTTTGACCTCGAGGCTAAATCCTTTGGTGAATCCTTTCGAGACCTCCGTGGTGCAGCAGGACACGGTAGTGCGCTCGGTGTTGAAGGAATGTTCTTGTTCTTGCGACGTCCAGTTTTCATACTTGGATCTGAAACGTGATGGATTAATGTGTACAGGGTACGATGGAGGGGCATTGTGACGCTGATGTGGCTCGCTATGTACAATAACGAAAGCTGTACTCAATTCTATTAAATCTTCGAATCCACGAAGAGAATAGAATCCATGTGTGACAATTTCTGTATTGATACTATTTACTTTTCAGGACCAATTCTTGTCGGTCCTATAAAAGAGAAAGGAATACGCTCCTCAATGACGTTTTAAACTAAAGACGTTGCCGTCCAAAAGTCTTGCGAACACAATTCGGTGAAAAGTTTGATAAGACATTGCATGTATAACAAACGGATAACTGCCAAGTGGTTGAGATTCTTTGACTACTATTGAAATAATAACACTGCACTAAACATAAAATACAAATCGGTATAACTTCCTTCTTATTGATATCCATTAAAACCTAGGTAAATAATCATATTCAGTTTCAGTTCATCAACTGAAGTTGCTATACAAATATATAGTCCATATCAAAAATAAATACTAAGGTCACTTAATGATATTACTATATCATCTGACAAGAAAACACAAATATCCTATCAAGATTATTTATAAATATAGATATTATGGTATTGTTTTTTAATGTGGTCTATGTATATTTGTAGCAACTTCAGTTGATGAACTGAAATTGAATATGGTTAGATATACGAGTTTTACGAATGAAGTGAGTTGTGCTTGGGTAAATCCAGCCATACGTTTTGATCGTAACTTAAGGTTAAGACCTGACGTAAGTAGTCACGTGAAAGAAGACGTCAACCATTACACAGGTACAGTTACAATCTTGTGATTTACGATCACGTTGGCGCTACGCTTGTTTTGTGGAACGGAGCCCCGATTGTAACAGTACGGTTTAGTGCTAACTTACCTGAAGACGATCTGACTGTTGGGTTTCTCCAGCGACACCCTGTCGGTGAACTCCGGCGTGGACGACACGAACCTCACCCTGTTCCAGTTGACCTCCAACTGCACGTCCTCGTATTTCAACTTGGAGTGGTCCTTAGACCGGGTCTTCATGAAGGTCTCCCATCCCCAGATCTTCACCTTCTCCTCGATATCGATCATGTCGGACGGCATCCTGGAACTTCAACGGGAACACACGTGGTAACACACACAGCCTCGTGTATCAGGGCCACACCATGTACTCATATAAACACAGCAGACGTACATGTACCCGCACTGGAAACATTAACATCCTCGTACTAATAGACAGAGTTGCACATCCTAGGACTGAAGATAAGACTTTATAGATCCCGGCACTGATAGGACAGGTCGAGTTATTACATCCCGGCATTGATAGGACAGGCAACAGATGTGCCCAAGGGTCGTCAGTCGGTGACATACTGGGTGGCGAATTCATAAGTTGGATCAATACTCAAACTGAGGAACGAAGGAAAGGTTTTGTTGAGATGAATTACCGACAACGGAAGAAGCTCACTTATGGCTGAGAACCATGAGCGATTGACTACTTGATAGTCTTAGAGTACTAGATACATTTGAAAATATTCATATTGAAGATCTAAATGTACAGAAAATCAAACTTTCCATTCCTGTAGAACAAAATCAGATAAAACCTGTGACAAAAGTCGATAAGTTAGAAGACACTGTCATTATACATATTTATACATTCGATAACAATCTAAACAAAGAGTTATGAGAGGCAAAGTGTTGATTGAAGTATTGTTATTTCTCACATACAAATGAGCAGGGCTGTAACGATGCATCGAACTATCGATGGATTGCAATTGTTGAGATTCCGATAGCAATTAATCGATGGTAGAAACGAAAAACTATCGATGTATCGATAGTATGTGTGACTATCGATAATTTAGTAATTGACTTCTTTGATAAATGCGCAGCGCAAAATACAGGAGGTACCCGATTCGTTCCCTTTGATTTAGGGTTATCCGCCTCTGTTACCTGTTAAACAATCTTATTCTGGGTTTCAAGTTTCTTGTCAGCTATTAAAAGAGACTTCAAACTATACATTCATTTGGGAAATGACTTCAAATAAGACAATTCAAGGAGGGAAAAACTATTGCAATAGTTGTTTCCCCCCTCAATAGTCACCCCTACAAATGAGGTTCTTTATGCACTGGGGCCTTATTCTCGAAACGTTCGTAGCCCTAAGAATTCTTAACTTTGTGTTAAGAATGGGCTTAAGAAGTTCGTAGGGCTACGAACGTTTCGAGAATAGCTAGCCTGGGGCTCCTTTCACGAAGCAACCTTTACTAAGGTTAACCTTAACTCCTATTCTTTAACATTGCACTATGGTTACCTTAGTGACTTACGATCACCTTAGTGCTTTGTGAAAGGAGGCCCAGGTCTTTGTAAACCACCCTTATTTGAAGTGAGAAACGTGAATATTGATAAAATTGTGAACACTGCACCATTTATCATTTACAACCAATACAATATTATTTATTTGCGTCAAATAAGAAATAGCACCATAGTGACAGAAAGTCATATAAGCACAAGGTACCATAGAAACACTGAGAAAGTGTTATCCCAAATATAACATATGTTACACTCAAACACCTTTTACGAACTATTTATGATTATACAACCTATTATTTCTTTGAAGCATTCTAACTTATGATAGGGTCAAAGGAAATCAATGCACAAATATACTTATAAACAGCCACATATGTGACGCCTACCAACTCTTTCCATTTCATAGCTGTTTTAAGCAAAATGTATGACTATGACTAGAATTTCCAAAATCAGTATTTTAGCCGCCTTTGCGTTAATGACATTTTGATTTAAAGTAGGAAGGTCACAATAAATTTTATGGAAAATTCTTGTCCAAAAGTCTCTGCAGATGCAATATACCAATCATACAAACCAAATTTGTGTACATATAGACATAAAAAAATACCAAAAAAATACAAATATAATTTTCTTAAGAGCAAAAGCTGAAATTTCCCTTTTCCATAGAATAACCCATTAGCATGTATCATTTGATCACAGAACAGATTCTATACACAGGACAAGATAATACAATCTACAAAATAGCAGAGAATGCAAGATTAAAGAACAAAATAAACATGAACAGATTAATATTATCATATGTTAACTAAAAACTTCAACGAGAATAAAGAAGCCGCCCATCATATGTTAACCAAACATACAAAGGACAAGTCACTAAAACAATTTTAATCAATTGTGATCAATGGGTGAGGCTTATTTGAAAAAAAACCGGTATTGATTTGCGGCACCGAGGTTTGTACTTGAAATGTGTCTTTAGCGGCAACTGGTATTTTCACAAATGTGGTTTTCCCGGGCGGACACCGTGCGAACTGGGTCAGGCGTCACGTGGTACATTATGAGCCAATCAGAAACTAGATGGCCACTTGAAGTTTCGCAAGCGCGTTGTTCGTCTGATTGGATCACAGGTGATCGTTTACCTTTGTAAGTAATATCGTTATTTTACATCTGTCATTCAATACAAAACAGCTTACATGCATGATTATGTATCCTTTATAAGTATATATTCTATCGACACGGACCAGAATATGTCAGTTAGTGTTTGTACTGTCAATAAACTCTGTCGTCTGCTCGCGTAATTCAATATACATGTACTTGTATATTGGCTCTAATGAAAGTTTGACAATGAGCTTAGGAGAACACCTGAGGGTTTATGCCCGGACTGTCGACAACATGAATTAATCCGTCCAAATTACTTGTCGACAGTCTGGGAAAAGGGAGGTGATGTTCTACATGAGTGACTTCACTCCCAGTGTTCTCGAAATTAACAAACCAATTAAAACAGAGTGTGATATATATAGTAGACAATATAGTTATTCAGTCAATATAACAACATGCATGTATCATGCATGTATCATATGTCACACAATATAACATATTTGTATAAAGCTCACACAATATATTTGTGTGTGTGTGTTTTATATAAATAAGTGATTTCTGCAGGTGTACAAGTAAAGAAATATAAAAGATGAGTCCAGTTATTTCTTCTTGCCAAAACTCCTTTATATCTGCACTAAAGTAATCTGAATGTTCAGCCAAGATGAAGCAACTGTGATACATGGTCTGTGTAATGTAAGTCTGAGTAGATGAAGGTATATATAATGTATACGTTTATGTATTTAGTATGCTTAACAAGGGGTGGGCGCGCAACCATGAGGAATTCAGTTTCAATAGATGGATCTTTATACAGCCTCATGTAGAATTTATGCGACAAGAGAGCTGTTTTCAGTGTTGATAGCTTCATTACCACACATTATGTATTATGGAAGTGTTTGCGCATACCTATTGCTTGACTCTAAAATATCTGTGAAACAGACGCGTATATATCTTTAAAATAACTCAAACAAGTTCTGAAACACCACTTGATTATATTTCTCAAACTCCACCAGCGGGAGTACATGGGTTTTTACATGAATCCTGTACAAAGGCTTGTGGGGGTGGAGTAAACAAACATAAAAGTGTGTTGAAGGCTGCTTTATCATGACAGAGGCTGTTAATGCATGCCACTCCAGCATGTGCCAATTTGCTTAAATTATGTAATGCATATCAGATCAATTTAGCCCTCTCTGTCCCGCCGACATTGCTTGCCACGCGACAGAACGGCGGTGACCGAGTGCACGGAACCGGCTGATCTTGACGAGACATTCGTCCATATCGTCCCGACATGTGTGCATTGGTTTCTCATTAATCTATGAAGTTCTATCAGTGGCGAACTAATTACAATCGTCCCCAATTGATTGCTTATTTTAAGACTTCGTCCCTTTCGTGCACATGATTCGGAATATTGGTCACCTAATTTATTAATGAGGCGTAATGCGTTTGGCGAGACGAAATTGGAATAGAATCGCATGGAGCGAGTCGCCGCTGTAATGATACATAAATCACATTTTTAATTTCAACACCATATTGATCTGGGATGCGGCGTCTGCTGATGATGACAATTACTGTTTCCAGGATTGTTTCGGGTTTCCGTGTATTTAGCTAGCATGGATTGAACAAAGAGGAATTCAGGGCAGGATGTGTATAAAAGTTTATTTTGAAAATCTTTAGCCAACGGCTACTACTACTACTACTACTGCAGCTACCGCCGCCATCACCACCACCGAGATCTCAACATCACCGCCACCACGTCCATTATACATTTACTACTACGACAGCTGCAGCTGCTGCTAGTATCACTACAACTCCTCCAACCACCACTGCTACCACCACTACTACTGCTACTACCACCACCACCACCACTGCTACCACTACTACTACTGCTACTACCACCACCACTACTACTGCTGCTACTACCACCACCACTGCTACCACCATTACGACTGCTGTTACTACCACTACTGCTACTTTATTAAGAACCATGTTGCCACACCCTGTGTGTGTACATCATCAGGTATTGTGTGTGTAGTTTCACCAAGACCGTTGTGGAGGTACTTCCGAGTACGACTTGAACACGACCGGAATGTTATGAATTGTAGTAACGTACAAATACCCTCGGGGAATTCCACATACTTCTTACACGTCGCTTCATCAGCAGGTGGACGTTTATGTCATAACATGTATATAAAACTAAGAAAGGTTATTAATTATGCTCTAAACTGACTTGCGAAATCAATTACACTCACTGGGGTTATCAGTCATAGAGATTTATGTACTGGTGAGGGGGTGTCGCAGCTTGTAGAGTAGGTGATGCATAAGCTAGTGAAACAAATGTGTGTTCAGTTGACCAAGGCTTTCTATGACAAAATGCTCTTGATTTCTGCCACTACAGTGTATTACTACAGCGATGTCTATACTAGGTACAGAGATACTGGAATGTTGACATCTAATTACTGTGTCCGTTCTTTATTTTTCAGATTCCAGGTCGACAGGTGTGTTCTGCTTGCTGTATTGATCGTGCACTTTGCTCCTGTCTTACCGTAACTTGCATCCGGCATACTGATCACGCAATTTAACACTTTGTAAACAATGCACCACTCGTCCAACCCTTTCTGATGTAGTTTTGTAATCAAGCAAAACATTTCGGGCGTGAAATGACATTTTATATATTATATTATATATATTACTGTCACTCAAGAATCTTAAGATGTTCCTCTAATTCATAAGTGGTTTGAAACACTTTTGAGAAGGTGCCTTATCACCGTTCACACGTGAAGGGTATGTGTGAGTGAGTGAGTCAAGTTTTACGCCACTTTTATTACAGCAATATCACAGCGGGGGACACCCGAAATGGGCTTCACACATTGTACCCAAGTGGGGAAATGAACTTGGGTCTTCAGCTTGACGAGCGGACGCTTTAACCACTAGGCTACCCCACCGCCCCGTGAAGGGTATGAGCGTAAACTGCATATTATTAACCAAAGCAGAAATGTAAGCTAGACGTTGCTTCACTCTGTCATGTCACCTTTGTACGGGGTGATGATACCGATGTACCTGAACCATCAGTCGATGTGGGTGTTATTGAGCCAGTGAAACCTGTGTATTGCTGTATCGCTGTCGACACCCCTTGTGATAGTGTGAAATACGACACACAGAGACATTGGTATTATCATTGTACGTGTTTCATATTATATCCATACAAACTCGACTAGGGCGAGCATGTCTATAAACCACATCTATAAATCTAATTGTGTCTACTGTCAACCACAGCTGTCGGCACAGGTGATAACAATGCAGTGAAGCAGTATACCTGTACACCTCAAACGTCCTGGCGGGTCCGTGCACTGTCTCTTACTGGCCCGGACTGAGCATAGCCACACAGAGGTTGGTGGACATGTATGTTGGCTTATACAGAACGTGGGAACTTACCAGCTTCAGCAATAATTGGACGAAATATGTGATGCTAAGGTAATTTCATCGTACTTTTAATACTATAAATATGCTGGCCTCGGGGATAAATCGGTTTCACATGATATGCGTGTATGGGATAGTACAGTTACATTAGCATTCCCAATGTAACGGTGTACATTAAACTGGAAGATGAGTATCTTCTTACGCATCATATTAATCTTTACACCTTTCTTAAAATCGAAAGCTATTTCAGATTTGACTTTACAGAGTTTCAAGTGTCTTGAGGTCGCTCTCCAGTCAGCCATGAGTGTGGAAAAAGAGTTTCCTACTCCCACTGACCCTTTACCGGTGGGCGGGCGGTGGGGTAGCCTAGTGGTTAAAGCGATCGCTCGTCACGCCGACGACCCGGGTTCGATTCCCCACATGGGTACAATTTGTGAAGCCCAATGCTGGTGTCACGCCGTGATATTGCTGGAATATTGCTAAAGGCGGCGTAAAACTAAAAGTCACTCACTCGCTCTACCGGTGAGCGCTAATGAACGTCAGCATAGTGATAATGACGCTGGACAGTGATGCCGGGTCGCCGAGTTGCACGGATCTGTCAGTGTCTCCTGCACATCAATTTTTCGTTATTAGTCATCCACGGGTCTATAAGGCAGGACCGGTTCTCGCGTGGAAGTATGCTTGCGGACCATGTCACTCTCACGTTAAAGCAGGATTTCATCCATAATCTTTTCATCGCAATATTAGATTTTACAACTCGACCGTGAACCGAAGCGACAAATACATGGAGGTTAATCTAACATAATGGAAGCATTATCTATGCGGCCCAGCGTGAAGCGATAACTCGGCAAGTAATGCTCAAGAGTGGGTTAACTGGTGTGGGCGGGCACACGTCTTGAGGGGGAGGGGGGAAGCTGGCAGTTGTAATACCAGTGTGAAATACCTGCTAACACCACAATAATTCGTTTTATTCAGACTTTTAAACCCTTCTCTTCATTATTCATAACTTAAATTTCGAGGTAAATATGATGCATACCAGCATATTTAATCACGTAAACCACAAAAAATAAGAGACGTTAGTTGCCGTGTTGCGATCGATGTGCTTAGATGCGCGGAATTACCGGGCGGCATTGTATATCTTAAACTGGAATTAATATTCAGTTTTCATAAAACTGTCAAATTATCTGTCAGTTATTTACTAACCTTTAATTAAAATGAATGATTAAAAGCCATTCCCTTGTAGAAATGTCCCGATTTCAAGCGTAAATTTGGTAGCAGACGATGTTTACCTGCGATACGGAAGTACGCTATTGCTGGACGCGATAACCGGACGCGCGGAATTACGGGACTTGCTTGTAATTGACTTTGAAATATTGAAGACACCACGCATACAATACCAGGTAGTTTTAGAGCATGTGTATTTAATGTGCATGGTCATCAACATTAGGGAAGTGTAAAGTCCAACAAATAAATGATTGATAAAACGACCCGGAAAATTGTGATCGTTATCAAGGCCCGTTTCCTGGTATGACATGTCAGCAGATAAAACAATGGAAGTAGGTCGATGCGTGTAGTTGTGACAACAACATGCACGAGTGTGGTGGATTATGCAGGATATAAAACCAGTGTGGCGATTTGCTCAGGGGGCGGGATGAAGGAAAGTCCAGCGTTATGATGAATACTCCTGACGGGGATAACGCCCGGCGTGCGACACATCTCAGGTCTCGGACAACGGCTAACGCTGTCTCTACATACTTAAACGCGATTTACTGCAGCTACTTAAAACAGTTTTCTAGAGAAAAGCCCGAATTCGGAGATAAGTAGGTTAATTCTGACGATGACGAGATACAGTCTGACAAATTATACATAGCATCCTTGAAAAACACAGGTACACAATATATTATAAGGCATTATGTTAAATACAGGCACGCAGTTAATTGTACAGGTATCTCAGTATAGACACGCACTATACGACGCCTGTATCCTTGAAAAACACAGGTACACAATATATGTTTAGGCATTATGTAAAATACAGGCACGCAGTTAATTGTACAAGCATCTCTGTATGAGCACGTAGTATACGATGCATGCATCCTTAGATTGCAGCTGCTATGTGAATTATTATTATGAATGTTTTCTGATAAATGTTTTGCAAATAATCGATAAATTATTGTAGCGTTAAATGAATAACTGTATCTATGATAATTTCATGGTGGCAGTTTCGAAAGTGACCCATATGAAACGTTTGTCCTATTCCCCAACCGCAGACATGCCCACAGATTTAGCTCTGCCAAACGTGCGCGCAAGTCATCATGGCGGCGGCTTCAGTGACAAGATAGCACAGGTTGGGGGATGCTTCAAGTAGGGATTGCTTACAGTTGAAATTATCAGATTTCTTTATTTTATCTGATAGAAAGAGCCCAGCTGTTAGCTCTCGACTTTGAATCTAATGTGAGAACGGAGAGATCACATCTCATTTCCTTCCTTTGCTCTTATATTGAGGAAACACAACCATCGCTCCAACCATTATAACGCTCCATCCAAAATTCTATAACGCTATGCGAATGTAACACATGACAAACCAATCTCTCCCGGGGTTTGCAAATATGATCAAGCGAGGTAATACATTTGGAATTCCATCAAATTATGACACATAATTTGTTATTACACGGTGATACTGCTTTAAGAACGGGTGAGCTTGCCACTTGCCCCATCACCGTCATGTCGAACCAGAGTCGCGTTTTAAACCCGAGAACGCATGCCAAAGGTTTCTTTGTAGCTCTCTAAACAGTGATAGGTATAGGTAAATAAATGTCACGTGAATATGTGTGCTGGGAACGCCCTGGGACCCCATTGTCGGCAGCCATGTTTCAATATAATCCCTTAAAGATGATCGCATAAAATGCCATGAAATGGCATTTAAAGAAATATTTCGTTGTATAAACAGTTTCCTGTTGTGATTTTTCTATTCTGTTTGCTGATAAACATCCATCAGTAACGGATTTAGCTAACACAATTCGACACTACTGTGGGCTGAGAAACAATATTCAGAAATGACAGTCAGCGTTTTCACAGGGAATAAAATCTCAGATCAAGGCTGGTTGTGACCAGTTTACACATTACAGAACTAAAACTATCATAAAAAGAGTTGATGTACTCACCTAAAGTGAAATATATCCGAAAACTCAACACAAAACAAAGTTCAGTGAAAAATCCTTGATGTGAATAACAGCTTCACTGTATGAGCAGCTCGTCTTCTGTCAGGCGCTTGTGGGCATGCTAGGCGCCGATTGGTTGCAGTAGTCACGTGGTGTACTATGGATTCTTGCAGCTGGCGCGAACCTTAAATTCCAATATTGGATGATTAACATCCAAGACAGTATTCCTAATCAGCGAGAGATGCAATCGCTGCAACAGATGCCACTTTCGACGCTTATGATGGTTTGTTGGTCACTTTAATCTCGCGTCTCTGCAACACGCCTTGGGAATAGAGCCAATGGAGGAGGTAATCACTGTACTAAGTCTCGTCTCGCACGTTTTATACAAAACTCCTGTAGAACGCATTATTAGGTCAGAACCCCGCTTGGTCTACAAGGCGTTATGATGCATCTAGATTATACACAGTTCAAATTGACCATTAGACCCTGTACATATCTTACAGGGAAACAGTTAATAAATTAACTTGATAAAGCACAATAAAACGGAGCCAGGAGTCTTTAGTCACTTTCAGAAACTGCAGTAATCCACATTGTATACTTGCATGGGCTTCTTGGATATGACAGAATAACGAATCAAACTGCCGCAGTGTCTGTTGCTTCGTTGACGTCCGGGGTATTATTATGTTACTAGTATAGTGTACAGTGAAATTACCTGACAAGGAAAAGGAACACGGAAGGTTCACTTGGTCATATTTCACTCCACTATCTGCACCGCCCTCCTCGTTGTGACGTCACATACAGGACATAATGTAACATTAGAACGGGTAGCTTAAACCGGGAGAGATGTCACAGTAGAGGTGATATTTTGTCAGATGGATATAGTTTCAGTTCCGAGCGTCAGCAGGATGATATTTTATCCTTTGTTTCACAGTGGCATTGCAGGTCTTAAATACACAATATTTATGTTACGCTGTTGCGGAAGCGCAAAGTTGGCTACTCCGTTGTCATAACAACTGCTGATATATCTTTTTTTCGTAAAAACAACGATAATTGTAAAACAAATACTTGCATATCTATGTATAATGTAGATGACGATAAGGGTTCATCATATGTAGTGAGTGAGTGAGTTTGGTTTTACGCCGCTTTTAGCAATATTCCTGCAATATCACGGCGGGGGACACCAGAAATGATCATATGTAGATATGTACAGGTAAATGAAGATACGGCGTATATCTCCTGTAGATATGCACAGGTAAATGAAGATACGGGGGTATATCACGTGTAGATATATACAGGTAAATGAAGATAGGGAGTATATCACGTGTAGATATATACAGGTAGATGAAGATACGGAGTATGTCACGTGTAGATATATACAGGTAAATGAAGATACGGAGTATATCACGTGTAGATATATACAGGTAAATGAAGATACGGAGTATATCACATGTAGATATATACAGGTTATAAATGAAGATACGGGTATAATAATGATAGATATGCATTGCTAACGCGCCTGCTTTCCAACTTCCAGCTGTTCAACGGCACTCAAACAAATCTAGGGTAGATAGATTCTAGAGAAAAGGAAGGTTTTTAAGTGAGTTCGAAAGTATGAGACGTTCTCGATGCAAAGGAGTTTGAGGGGAACACAGTTTCAAATAACTGGGGCTGTGTAGATATGCACAGGTAAATGTACATATAGGGTATCTATTCACATAGATGTGTACAGGTAGAGGAAGATATATTTGGGAAACACATACCTGGCAAGTAATGGTATACCACAGCAGTAGAGCTAAGACTGGCTGCAGGCTCCCAATGATGTCGGTGTTATATGCGAGTAACGGCAATTAGCGGTCTCCTCGGTCCGCTACACATAGTACGCGACAACAAAGACACTAATGGCCATGAATACTTGATGTGTGACCCAAGGAATGCAGCTATTTCAATCATTGGCAAGGTGGTTTTTCCCAATTAGCACATTTAGTCGGCATTGTCTAACCTCACGAATAATTTACAGGCCAATGGGAGTACGACTTCCAACGAACGTGTAAATTGGCATTGTACAACCACATACTGACACTGCCAATGGATAAAAGTCATGGGTGTTTCAATCTATTCTATCAGTATGGGTGATTAGATTGAGTATGATTTTACGTTGCTAATAGCAAGTATTCCAGCAATAGCACAGCGGTGGACACCAAAAATTGGCTTCACATATTGTAACCATGGGGAGAATGGAACCCGGGTCTTCGGCGTGACGAGCGAACGCTTTAACCACTAGGCTACCCCACCGCCCCCTATCAGCATGACAAATATATAGTCAGAGGCGGAAACAGAAAGCACCAAGCATACGGTTTTGCTAGGAGCTGCCCGCTGGTTAGTTACCTATATCAAGCGTGAGACAAATCACTATTTCCTTCTCGAAGTAAGGTGAGGTGAGGTGAAATTGGGTTTTACGTCGTGCTTGAGAATATTTCGCTCATATGACGACGTGCATGCGTGTGTATGTGCGGCTGCTTGTACTAGCCCAGACTGAAGCTGGTTTTATAGTGCTAGCCCACTGAGATACCATGCCGCAGTGAAGCATGAATACCCCACTCAGACACATTGTACTGACTCCGAACCGACCAGTCCTTGTTGTACCCTTAATGCCGAGCGCCAGACAGGGACCAACAAGTACCATATTTAAACGTCTTTTGGTATGACGCGGTCGGGGATCGAACCCGCGACCTTCCGCTCTCCGGGCGGACGCTCTAACCACTACACCACGGAGGCGGTCCTCCCGAAGTAAGAACACACAATATACGGGTATACCATATGTAGACATGTACAGGTAAATAAAGATATATTATTCTATATTTCTGCAGACTGATAACATACATAGCCGCCACGGTGTTGTTGAAAGGTTACAGCCTTCGCCAGATGTCAAGTCCCCGACTTTATCACGACCCAATGAGACAGTATTCATCCATATGTGTGCAGTTTCATTGATGGGCAAGAGGCACACATGTGAAAGAATATTTTCCTAAATAATGAACTATTATGCTGGTGAATAATTCTTTCCACTGATGTTTTGCTGACGTGGTGTACGTCTGATAGTCACGCGCCTGTCTTGCAAGATGGCATGGACGACAGCATTGACGTCTTGCTCTGTGGTGACTTCACAAGGTCGACCACAGCGTGCCTCATCTTCAGTGCTCTTTCTCCCACTTTATAGTCTGCATACCACTGCTTGACAGTACTGTATGAAGGAGCAGTATCTTCTAATGTCTGTGTCATGTCTTTATGAATTTGCTTTAGGGCGTATTATTGTAAATGTTGGTTATTGATTACAGCTCTAATTTCTGTTTGTCCACCTCGAGACTGTAGCAGTGTTTAGGTATCGTAGAAAGGGATTGTCATCTAAGCATCATCTAACCTCATATATCAAGGAGGTATGTATTTTAAAATATTTACCAAAGTATTGACATGTTTGATACGTTTCATGGACGGACTGGGAACTGTGGTGGCAAACCTCGTATGATCATGTATTCAACAACCACCACTGGAATGTAAGGTGTAGGAAGGGCCTTTTCACAGTAAAAGACGATACGTATTTGATTGATTACATCGTGATTGATCAGCAGCCTATCTTGCTCCAAATGAGTAATATTTCAGTTGTGTGCATTTTGGTGTTTAGGTAGATACATCTACATTCTATTAGAGCCGTGTTTGTTTTCCGTGGTTTGGTGAAGTGGAAGGCGTGTCGGACTGCCCGGGCAGAGGGAGATCGAGCACGTCTGTAGGACGCTGCAGGTACAACACGGACACAACACATGTCTTGCTGACCCTATGTTTAAAGACATTTGAACTATATTACGTTTCATGTTGTTATCCGTTTAACGATCTTTGAAATATGCATTGATCAACAGTGTATAAATGCTTATCGATCTCTTGGCTTTCTTGTTATATCTCTTGCATTGTCTTGCTTTGCCTGTACATCACTGAACCGGAACTGTGTAAAGCGGGAACGTCAATACCAGGATATAAGCGCGATCGCAGACAATAGAACTAGCCAATACATGTAATAATCTCAGCTCGAGTTGTTCCACCCGACGTCAATTAGCGGGTTATGAGGTGGCGATAATACCTACGTGTAAACTACGACGGTGTTATGTTAAGTTGTCTGTTTAGACAGGTAGATACAAGTCCCTCACACCCCTATATCAGAGATTATGACCTTTCTGTAATTGTGTGGAAACAGAAACAAATATTTAGTCAAAGGTTTATTTACTAAAATATGTTTCAGGGGTTGCACATCCGTTTTAAGTGTGTGGTACACGCATGTCGAAGGGAGCAAATTTGCCCAGCGGATCCAGTACTAACCGGGTGTAGATGAACATTTATAGCACGAAAGGTATGACCCAGGTGGTGATGGCGCTATGTACAGATAAATAAGAATAATTTACTTGATTCTCAGAGAAATACTAGTGAGTGAGTATGATTTTACGCCGCACTTAGCAACCTCCCCCAGAGTAATAATAACAATATGTACTTGCCATACTTTATCCCCAGTATGTTGTGATAATACAGTTGTGTACATGCTTGTGTTGGCGCAATGTTCACCTTTCATTGTAACCACCTTGTGCTGGAGTAAAGTACGCAATCAGTACGTGAATCCTTAAGGACGTGAAGCACCGACCCGTCCCTGCTGTTTGTTCAGATTTAGACCTGTGAAGATCCATGTTAGAATTGATCTTCAGTAACCCATGCTTGTCATAAAAGGCTACTAACGGGATCGGGTGGTCAGGCTCGCTGACCTGGTTGACACATGCCATCGTATCCCATGTATCGATGCTCATGCTGTTGATCACTGGATTGTCTGGTCCAGACACGATTATTTACAAAAAAGCCGCCTTATAGTTGGAATAACTCACTCACTTGTTTAGATTTTATAATTATTACAAAGTTGAAATCCCGTGGTAGATCTTGTACTTCAGTCAAACCCCAGCAGTGAGTAGTTGCACTCTCTAACTGGAGGATTTTAAGTCCCTCTGATATTTGGAGATCAGCACACTACTCCCAAAGGTTAGTCTGAGGTAGGTCTTGTCTCTATCATTTGGAGGTGGGGCAGTTATGCTAGAACTTACTCAAGGTGTGTGTGTAAGCAGTGTAATGAGTCTATGCTGTGATAGATTCTTGTTGAATTATTGTAACTTATATACTATTAGCTTTAATCCAGGCTGGTTGTAAGATGCTATTTCTGTTGGTTTTAACGACACATCTTTGTGATATGTGTCCTTCCTGTAACCATGTACAGTTAACTACGGATATAACGTACTCGCTTGTAAGTATTGTCGGATATAACAAACTGTGCCCTTGCTGTATTGTATTAATACACTGTCAGCACGCACCGTGTGGTTTTCCTTCTCGAGAAGCCGCAAATCCCGGGTTAGTACAGTGGTTCCCGAGGTTTCACAGGTTTTCGAATCACTGTTTGGACAATAAATATATGTTTTTAATATTCTACCGCTACACTCGTTGCATAAAATACACAAGCCTGTAGCGGTGGAATTTTCTAAAATCGTATTTCTTCACATCCTCGATAATCTCCAGGGTATACGTTACGATCACTCTCCACTGTGTATAGTATACCCTGGAGATTATCGAGGATGTGAAGAAATAAGATTTTAGAAAATTCCACCGCTACAGGCTTGTTTTTTTTTATGCAACGAGTGTAGCGGTAGAATATTAAAAACATATATTTTAATATACATGTCCACTACATGGTGGAGAGTGATCGAGTGGAGTGGAGAGAATTGAGAATGATGCCTTCAACGATTTCGTTCAAATTAAAAATATATATGAATAATAACATACAAAACAATGTATCTTTGCAAAAGTCGAGATTTTTATTTTTTTAAATTATTGTTCAAACAGTGATCCGAACCCCTGTGAAAGAACTGATGTCCGACCGTGGCAATAATGACCTCATGCTGCTTCAGATAACTCCCAGACTTCAGATATTTTACAGGCGGTTCAAAAGACTTGTCACATTAATCATCTATACAGCTACCTAACACAAAATATACCGAGAGAAAATAAAAACTTCTCAATTCATCAAGGTTACCTGATCTCAATCCAATCAAGCACACCTGGGTTGCTCTGGTGGTGGTGTGTGATGTGGTGTGTGTGCCCTGTTTAGAATCTGGAAAACCGTTAACAGCAACGTAAACTCACTCACGACCGATACTAACAGTTTAAATTTATTGCTGCTATATCTATTTGAGTGTCACTGTGCTTTATATAGTGAGGCCCCTCAATTTTATCACGTTTGGCTTTCAGTTGAAGATATCTTGAGTTTGCGAAATAATGTAAAAATCACATACTGCACTGGTGGTTAGTAAACAAAAGTACTTCCTACATGGTCTGTTTTTATATCTAATTGGTCTAATTGTTTTCAAATTAATATTTTATTTAACTGCTAATACACATAACTGCTATGCACATTATCTTCGAAAAATCGATACATTTGCTTTTTCCGTTTTAAATATGCATGGGTCATATGGCTACGAAGCAATTTATTCTCACACAAAATCACCCAAACACAGATTACTTATTACAAGCCGTTACATGAATGCGTGATGGTTAAACACATATTCTGGTATAAATGTAGAACGTCACTCACGGCCAGTGCAGAGGAATGCCCAGTCTTGGTTATCCTGAAAAAATAAATCACGCTAGGTGTAAAGGAAAAATGCTCCGAAACTTTTACGAAATGATGATTCAAACACACGACAAACTACATGTAACTCGGTTTCCTTTCTTTGCCCCTTAGTTTGTTTGAATATATTTATCATATTTATTAAAATTAAAGTATGGACTGTTTATATGACTTGACCTTATAGAAAAGTAAATTTGACAAGATCTTCGTAGCGTTTATTTTGCTTTTACTGTCACTATTTCAATGCCTTTTACGGGACTGGAAACTGGGCATTTTCAATCGAATATTTCACATAATCCTCTTCTGTTGTTTTATTTGCATGGTAATTGGAAACAGTAAATTGATAGCCTAGGGATTGATTGTGGATCCATCGTGTTGTCAAGGCGTTGTGTAGCAATGGTCCTATACAGTAAACGTATTGGATAGAAACATGAACGATAAGCGAATGATACAAAGAACGTTTAGATTGTAGCTGTCAAAACGTTTCACCTGGTAGTGCTTGTGTCATTATCTAACTGCAATGTCCGAAAGGGAAGGACTGCGGTATATAATTGTTTGGTCAAAATGTAGTTGACAGGTGTTGCGGAATCTGCTAATATGGCCATCAAGGGGGGACCATCGACAAGTGTGAATAATCCTTCCAGTTATCTCTCATCATGTCACGGCACGTGTTCTTCGGAACTCGTCAGTTGGACAACGACAGACGCCGTTACAACTTACCTGCCATCACACATGCTGGTGAGATGAAATCAGAAAGACAAGCTGATAGATACACAAACACCAGAGACTACAGGAGATTATCGCCTCTTATCTTCACTGAGAGGCACTCAGGTGTGAACTGAATTCACGAGCGTGTGACGTCATGGCAAATGTCACGGCGTGTCATATGTCGCGTGCCTCATTACTGGTGAACGAACTCACGCGCGTTTACTGTAGCTGGTCGAGGTAATAAATATGCTGTATTCAGACTGGGAGGCCATATCTCCACAGACATCAGACCAGTGCACCTTTCTGACTGATATCTTCTGGACCCTGAAAATCGAAGCCTTCAGTATGAACTCGAACAACGCCCAGTACGAGAGTATGCTTTCCCTGGATAGTTTAGAGTCACGAGGTAAGTTCTTTATATGTATGAGATTCGAGCTGAATGTGAAAAACACACAGTTTACTTTAATACAATAATAGTTGAAGTCAATTACGAAAAATATTTAATGCAATACCGTTAACGTAAAATGATAGATCACGGTTTGACTTCGAGAAGAATGTGTGTCAACATGATTGTTTACTTGTTAATATATACAGTTCATAAGAAAACGGTTTATCGGTGTGTATCATGTTGTACAATCAATTGATCAGTCGTAAGCTCTGGGGTTCGGATCACTGTTTGGAAAATAATTTACATTTTTTTATTTCTTCACCGATTCCGTTCAAATTTGAAATATATGTTAACCATAACATATAAAAACAATATATGACTGCAAAAATCTACATATTTGTTTTAAAAATTATTGTCCAAACAGTGATTCGAACCCTGTGGTCGTAGGCGGCACCATGTCTTGTATCTAATTCCTTGTTTCCTGTCTCAGATTCCCGGAACCGGCGCCGTATTACCTACAGAGTCAACGACGCTTACTCCTCCACCGATGAATCGGAGTCAGATGGTGAGTGGGAGGTTTCTCACTGAATCAATATATAATGTTTTATTTCATGTCTAGTACCTGATCAGTCTGTATTTCTGACACAAATGGATCTAATCCGCACAATGCCCCTTTCGTTCCTGTGCTTTAATTGAGTTAAAGGAAAAAGGTGTTTGAAACGTACAATCTTTAAATAAATCAAAGATACATTTGGGTTTTAATACAAGTCATTTATTTTTCAGGGTCATCAGCCACGTCTGGTTATAGTTCCCGAGCTACCAGTCCGCATGACCTGAGCGACGTTGACGACGGTGAAGACGGTGTGGTGTTTGAGAGCACTAAACCGCTAATCCACACACTTGAGTACATCCTCTGCGTGCAGGAGATGTGTGACGTCACATTCCTTGCTGGCAAAAAGAAAGAACCAGTTTATGGACTTCAGGCGGTCATGGGTTCAAGGTCAAGGTGAGTCTCAAGGAAGCCAATATATCATTTGCCGTTAATGGGTTAAGTCGAGAGTACATAGTCCTCCTCCTCTTCCTCATATGTAATTACATAGGTAATATCGAAGGATATAATATCAGTAATGTCATATTTCTTATTTATTCGTATTTGATTGCAGATACTTCTATCAACTGTTCCTATCAAAGAAGAAAACGCTCAATGGTAAATCTAAAGAGGAAAAGAAGGGCTTTTTCTCTTTCTTCAAGAAAAAGGCAAAGAAAACGGAATCCGTGCCTGCCAATCAAGCCTGCAACACCGGAGACAACAACATCACCATCGCCGTCCCCGACTACGACCACGAGGTACTCAGGAGGGTTGTCTCATTCGTTCACCTAGGTCACGTGACAGTGACGACCGACACAGTCATAGGTAAGTGCCGTGTGACAGTCTGGTATGGTCATCCCAGTCAGTATGACTGTAGAGAGATATCCATAAATTGGTTTCATTATGCAAGGAGAGGACTGAAAGGCGCTCTTCCCAACCCCGTTCACTTCTTGTGAATTATATGTTTAAAACAATTTGTTGCTCATAATTTGCGACACACGAGAGAAATACGGAAGTCAGACGTTATGGCGTACAATGAATTGCCTTTAGGATGCACAACTGAATAAATGCATGGGAGAAGCGTATATAATGTTCATAAAGTTTTAAGCAAAATTTCGCCAAATATTGGAGTATAACCGACATCCCCGTTAAATAATAATGATTTTTATCAAAGAAACCTTTCTCCTGTACCACCGTTGGTTCTTTTTGAGAAATGAATTGAACTGTATACTACACGTGTCTATACTCTCTGAAGGCGTTTATGTATGGACCACATGTTATTGGAATATCGCATCGATTGTATAACACCGATTTCTCCTTTAGGTTTGATATGTGCTGCTACTGAGTTCCATCTGGACGATCTGCGCAAGGCCTGCTGGGAGTTCGTGGACGCATGCATGGAAGCCGACACAATTCCTGAACTTCTCAAGTCTGGTGCTATGTATAGAAAACGGCCACAAGTGAAACTGTTTCTTCAGATGGTGAGTAACTAGCATCTAGTAGCAGCTGGTGTAACCGATAGAAGATAATAATCGATATCTCAGTAAATTGACAAGAACACGTCTTCCCTATATTTTGTACAGTCTAACCCGTTCTATTTTGTTTTACAGATATCCAAGATGCGATAGTATCCAGAAGATCTCCCCGTGCTATTCCTCGCGTGACCGATGTCACCTAGTGCTCAAATTGTACATATTACTGGAATGAAATAAATTGATGAATGTAGAAACCTATTGGTGTTGTCTTCTGCCAGTATCTCAGGGAACTATGACCCGATCAGGTGGGCGATATCCCAAAAGCCACTGCCGAGCTACATGCTTATAACCAATACCAAAAAAAGGTTTAAGAAATGTTAACTTCATTTGCTTGATGTTGACAAACATCATGATTCATCGTATCCAACACCGCAACTCATGAATGCATATCATATCGGCCTGCAACTACAACAATTGTGTCTACTTCTAGGCCATGTAAGGTGATATTCAGTGTTTAGAGATTGACGATATCGTTTTCAAAATATGCGTTTAGCTCCCCGTATAGTGCACGTTATTCTTTTATCATGTACCTTTCCATTCTCGACCTGACAAACACACTGAATGAACGTTATTCACCGCAACGAACACGAAACTAATGCGGGATCTTGTCTCAATATGCTGTTTATTCAGGGCACATAGGTTGTGGCTCTTCATGATCAAATGATGCATCAGCTGAACGTATACATGTGGAAATATAACAATGTGTAATCCTATTGTATCTCAGTAGGTCAATTATTTCACCCATCGCCCTTATTTATATGATCTTTAATCAGTTACCTCAACTATACAGAGGAATGAGTCGGTCAGAGGACGGGTCATTTACCACAACAGGTAAATGTCATACCTACTTCACATTATTCCTTCTCACATGCATGCAATTAAATGTATCTAATATATATGTCATTAGTTTGTTTAAACGTTAAAGAACTCTGCCTGAGGGGTGAATAATTTCTTTATTTCGATCTTGTCGAAGTCGTTGAATTTCCAAATTACCACTCCCACTGAATCATTCAAACTTGTTGTAACAATTAAACAACACTGTGAAGTCATGTTGAGGTGTTAGATGGCAATGAGAGCATATCAGATTTTATCCACCATATTGTTGCTGTGTTCTCTCCCTTCCTTAGGTTGCTTTTCAGCAACCATTAGTCATCCATACCAGAGCATGGGACATTAGAGCCGTGACATGATACCAACACAATCAGTTTCATGTGATAGATCCAATGATATAGTTCTTAAACAACAGGAATGGAGCTTAGTCATGACAATTCTTGGAAACTGCTGGTATGATAGGAACGTCGATGGCTTCCTGTCAGTATCTGGCGGTGATGTGGTACAGATGTATTTAGGCCATCAGTTGAAAATACATCACGCAGAATACATATTTTCAGAACGATTTAATTTAAAATCACGCCAATTTTGTGGTTTCTAGAGGTTTCTGGTGTAAACATCCCATTTAAACACATTACACTTTAAGTCAACGTATACTTTACTGATACCATGTCAATGGTATTATTATCGTATGCCTCCTCGTCGGCTATAATGGTTGATGACCGTGACTAAATGGTTGCAGTTCAATTTCTTTTGCATCATTCCACTGAATGGAACAACGACAGGACGCAGCATCACGTCACTATATCACTCGTCAGTTGTCCAACCACAATATCCAAATCAGTTCACATGTCATGAACGTGTTGCCCCTCTGTATGAAACTACCGCCCCCTTACCGATCATGGTCAAGAACTGATGCCCTGGGATACCAGTCGCCGCAAACTCCCCAACAACGTTTTCCGCCACTGTGAATGGGAGATTGCAAACCTTCATTCGATGGTAAACATGGTGAAGCCCACAGCTCGCTTCGTCCACCTAAACGCCTATATATGTCGCCTGTGATAAGCATAACAAGTGCTGGACACCTTTCTTCAGACTGGTTACATAGAACCGGTTTTTAACGGTAGGTTTAGAAATTCACACCCCTGTGGTTGTACGGAATTTTCCATTGGTAACGGGAGCAGATCTTAATTTGTTGTGTCGTGAAAGTAATGTAATTTAACGCAGTGAGACGATATCTCGTCTTGGTGTTGTTTTAGGCTTTCCACGGCAACTACATCCCTTTGAACCCCCCACTCAGGACTCACATCGGACTCCAGGTTTCCTCCCACTGTAAGCTGACACGTCCCGATATAACTGACTTCCTAACTAAAGCAGTGTCAGACCCAATTCATGATAAATCATTGTTTCAAAGCACGTGCACGTGATAGTTTATCCGACTTGCAATTAAAGCATATGCACCAACTCTCCACCCTCCGCTAAGATCCGGGTTATAATGGATTTCAGCAACCCATGACCAAGCTTGTTGTAACAGGAGTGGTGGGTCAGGCTCTCTGACTTGGATGATGTAGGGCACCGTATCACCATTACAGATATGGATAGTCCCGTCACTCGCCCTGTACGACAAGCTATAGGTTTGCTGAAGACCAATCCTAACCCGGCGTAGCAGCCCAGAATACACACACCCCCCATCCCCACCCCCACCAGATTATACCCCGGGGTAAACTATAGGCTAGCCCAGTTTATACCCCGGGGGTATATTCTGGACCAGGCCAAAATATACCCCTCCAGCCAAGACTATACCCCTAAAAAATTATGTTGACAATTCACTCAATATGAGTGTGTGACTCGGGCAATGGTCTTGATGTCAGTTAAAGGAATTTGTAGGTGCTTTTCATTTACATTACTGCATTATAAATTTTTATTAAGTATTTGTTGAGTGCCTCTCTGCAATATGATATTTTCGACTTTGCGTAACCCAGCCAAGCTGATATATCAAGGTTAGTAGTTAGTTATTTGCTTTATTTAGCGTCGCACACACAACTAAGGTATTTCGACAACGGGGTTGTACAAAATGAACAGATTAACTACGGGCACACTCTACTCATCAATCTAATTAGAGCTGTACCATTATGGAGGTGGGTGTTGTCTTAATTAATACCCTACTCCACTGTCTAACAACTGGCTGTCTAACTAATGGGAGATAACCGGTGTGAGAAGGGGCTGGTGTGAGTAGGGGCTGGTGATGGTGTGAGTAGGCGTGTCTCGCACAGTCAGTCAGCTATTAATACAACGCCAAGTCCAATCCACTGTTTGCATACAGAACTGATTATCAAGGTTGTTTTATAACGAGGCGTGTCTCACTGAGACTGTCAGGTAATTTTAAAATGCAAAATCCAAACCCTGTTTGCATAAGTTAAATGCACAAAGAAGATCAAATCCTTCCACTTTCATTTTCAAGCATGAAGGAACCAGTGGCCATGTGTGGTGTTTTAGGTAGGTGTATGTCTAGTTTGGTTCTTTGTGATCACCCTAATTGATTTATTATCAATGTTATCACATCAAATGTATAAATTTTGTTCCAGAATTATTTGGAATGTATTATGTTATAAAGCCATACACAAATTCCAAATTATGTTTGTAAACATGATTTGATGACACTGTTGTCTCAAACCAAATGCGCAGTAACGGACTTGTTCTGTGTTGCATGTAACGTTTTACTGAAGATACATAGGTGATAAACGTTTCATACGGACACACGTGAAAACTACATAGACGATGCTTAACTGACCATGTATTTAAGTGAGAGTGGACATTATGCTAAATGTCAGAGCAATGTTCCAGCTTCTGGAAACTGTGACTCTTGTCTCTTCGATGTTTCTGCCAGAACCAAATCCATAGCTTACAACAACACATCTGTTTCCATGCCAGAATACATACAGAATAAACGCTTATCACTGTCTCCCCCAGGCCTGGATTGATAACCTTTTCAATGTTTCACGACTTGAGTTGTTTGAGATGTGGCAGTTATTTGTAGCATAAAGCTGTTAGATGTTTAGATCATTACCCTTATATATATGACAGAAGAACGTATAAAATTATTCTTAGACTACATTCCACGATCTGAACAATGAATACCGGGGAGGTATATATCATCCCATGTATTATTCTTAGACTACATTCCACGATCTGAACAATGAATACTGTGGAGGTATATATCATCCCATGTATTATTCTTAGGGCTGTGTATTGGCAAATAAATTGTATTGCAATATATTACGATTCAGGTACCCGTATTGCGATAGGCATTGCGATATATTGGGAACTTAAGTGTTTGACAGTGAGTGGCACTAATTGTGCATGTCAATCCTATTTTCTTCATTACCCTTAAACATACATGTTATGGTTCTGATAACAGCAATCTCAAAATTAGGTTGCATAGTCAGGGTTTCTGTCTTGTAATACAATTTATGGTATGCTCCTCACAAAAAGTTAAGCAACACAAATTTTTAGTCTCATTACATTTTCATTTATTGAAATTGCAAATCATGGAATGATGCAATAGAAAGGTGAAACATATGTACACACGATTAACAAAATTAAATGAAATGGTATTGAGCAATAATAGTCTAACAAGTCATCAAAAGCATGTACCCGTGAAACAGTCGTGCAAAATGTGTTGCACTGATGGAGCAAATGTTAGCATGAAGGTTCAAGTCAGTTTTGGACAGTGAAGCAGTGTTCAGTAACGCGTATCACCACCATGAGCACAAATGCAAGCTTCTTCACGTCTTTGCATGAGCCTTTAAAGTTGCTGTAGTGGAATGTTCTGCCATTCTCTCTGTAACACCTGCTCAAGGCCATCCACAGTGTGGGGGTGAACATGGAGACCGTAAACACGACTTCCAGTCACGTCCCAAGCATGTTCAATGATAATTAAGATCAACCGACCTTGCAGGCCAGTCCATATGTGTGATGTTGTTGATCTAAACAACATCGTTAACAACTCATTCTCAGGCATTATCATCCAGGGACTGTCATTATCATCCATAAAATGAAGCTAGGACCCGCTTGTTGTACCAGAGGAATGATTACAGGTAGGTATACACCGATCAGGGTGCATGTGTGAAGAGTGGAGCACGTTCATGCCACACATTTTGCATGTTGTTTCTGAGGGTGGGTGTGTTCGGGTGATGTACTGAATGTTATCAGATAAATCAATTTGAAGGTCACTAAAGGTTATGTATTCTTTGAATATTTACCTTTCAGTAACGTGTCGGAGAGCGGAAGGTCGCGGGTTCGATCCCCGACCACGTCATACCAAAAGACGTTAAAATATGGTACTTGTTGGTCCCTGTCTGGCGCTCGGCATTAATGGGTACAACAAGGACTGGTCGGCTCGGAGTCAGTATAATGTGTCTGAGTGGGGTATTCATGCTTCACTGCGGCATGGTATCTCAGTGGGCTAGCACTATAAAACCAGACTAAAGTCTGGGCTAGTACAAGCAGCCGCACATACACATACACACGCATGCACGTCGTCATATGAGCGAAATATTCTCAAGCACGACGTTAAACCCAATTTCACTTCACCTCACCTCACCTTCAGTAACGTGTCGGCAAAAATCGTTATCGAGATTGATAAAGATATACTAATGAAAATACTTAATGTTTTGTGAGGAGTATTACAAAATGCCGTTTTATCATTGAATAACGAAGGAAAACGTTTGTTGTGAATGAAAGTATGTGTAGATTTTAATTTAAACCATAACGATAATTACAAAAACTTAATATATATGTTCTTTACCCAAAATACCGATTCTCAGAAAAATATTACAATACATATCGTTTGAAAAGCGTACTGCGATATATCGGTGTACCTGTAATACTGTGCAGTCCTACTTATTCCCACATATGCTGTTTCATCAATATGCATCATAGTTGGGAACTCTTTCTTTTGCCTAATAGCGGTGACAGTGTTGGCACTGGCAGCCACCACTACATTAGCGGTCTCAACTACAACTAGCATCGACACGACTTCATCGGGGACCGACCCAACTAGATTGAAGAGAGACACAACTACATCAGAGAGAGACACGACTACATCGGGTACTGATGAAACTACACCAGGCAGCGACAGCACTACATTGGCGAACGACAAAACGACATCAGAGAGAGACACGACTACATCGGGTACTGATGAAACTACGGCAGGCAGCGACAGCACTACATTGGCGAACGACACAACGACATCAGACAGCGACCAAACTACAGGGAACGACACAATTAGCAGTACAAGAAGTGATGGCAACTTGTACTTAGGTGAATTATAATATCATTCAATTCCTAATTTTGAAGCGGGTACCAACAATAAAGGATATCAAACACTTTGGTAATGAAAGATGATACTTTACTTGTAATTCGGATAAAAGAAGGGCAGATCATGTAGATTCTGGATATTGGGTACACAACTATAGGGCACACGTTTGTTTGATTTGGAAAATAATGACATATCTTCGTATTTGTCACATGAAAGCTGGGCGCGCGCCAACTTGCGATATGCGAGACGGGGTCCAGCTTACTTCCGGTACCAGAGTTCCGGTGTCAAGCGTATATTCAAGGACCTGGGTCCCGTTCCTCAAAGCGATCGTATCGCTACGACAGTCGTAAGTCTATGTTAAAGTATGGGAGTTACGATCATCTTAACGCTACGACTGTCGTAAGTCTATGTTAAATTATGGGAGTTACGATCATCTTAGCGCTACGACGGTCGTAAGTCTATGTTAAAGTATGGGAGTTACGATCATCTTAGCGCTACGACTGTCGTAAGTCTATGTTAAAGTATGGGAGTTACGATCATCTTAGCGCTACGACTGTCGTAAGTCTATGTTAAAGTATGGGAGTTACGATCATCTTAGCGCTACGATCGCTTTGTGGATCGGGGCCCAGTTCTGGTTCCAAATTGCGCGACCGCCAACTATGACTTTACAAGGCCGGACCAAGTTAGAACCATGCCTGGCTGTCACAGCTGTTTACAGTTGCAATAGTTAGCTAATTTGGGGATGGTTAGATCGGAAATGTGTTGTTCCTGCAAGGGTTATCGGTTCCTTACTGTCAGCTGACAACCATGACACCATTCGAAAAGGTATGAAACGTTGTTTGTCACCGGAAGTACTAAGGTCTCGCGAAGTGCCGTGACCTACTTAGGGGCCCTAGTCCAGCAGCTCCAGCATTGATGGCTGAATGTCACCAGGGTTCTGATTGTACACTAGAGCATGCTCATGCGCCCTACGAACCTTTTAAAAAATGTTTGATCAGTGTTTCAGTATTCTAGGCCTGAGTCAGGTTTCCAAAATGTTTAATGGTAGATAAGTGGACAACCTGCCTGAGGTTGATCCATCTACAGAAATCGTGTTCAGTGCAATTCTTCCATGTGACCTGTTAGAAATGTTCCAGTGATTTGTGAAGAACTGACTTGCTTGGTGTGTTTGTGCAGTGTTCTACAGGTACATGTAGAGCAGGATACGTTCACCTTTTCAAGAACACCTGGAACATAGTGATACTTGAGCATGTGCTTCTGGTCACAGGGGCGTGTCACGCTTAGAGTGAGTTTAGTTTTACGCCGCACTCAGCAATATTCCAGCTATATGACGGCGTCACGCTTAGAAACAGCGTTAGAAAGACATATAGGTATATAGACCCTACCCTAGTGCTATGTAAAAGGATCCTTTTATATAGTACTAGGGTAGGGTCTATATACCTATATGTCTTTCTAACGCTGTTTTTAAGCGTGACACGCGCCTGTGCTTCTGGTGTTGTCAAAATCAAACAATGGATTCTGCCTTTAGCAGATATTATGGAAATGGTCGTGTCCTATGTTTTCATGAGATTCTGTCAAAACCACTTATCCTCTCAACACTACAACATCCCATGACGACCGGAAACGCTTCAAATGCTGTGCGCTTATCTACAACCTACATCTCACTGCTCTCACTGAAGCTGAAACAGGGACACTGTTCCAATCGGCGCTATATATACCCTACTCACTTATTCACTAGTTAATTTGACTTAAGCTAGGCATTTTACCCGTTCCTTTAAATGTCAAGCTGATATGACATGATACAACTTGGACGCTGTTCCAAGCAGAGCTGAACCCAACTCACCCTCTCACTCTTGAGTTAACGTCCCGGGTGTCATGTTTAGTTGTATTCATGGCCATGCATCTACTCCCTCCACATGTACATGCATATTTTAAAATTCCTTACCACTGTTTTATTTTTCCTAGAAAACGGATCGCCCAAAAAGGCTGTGTCTGTTCTTGTGTACGTGACAGCGCTCCTACTGGCTGTGACTTTAAACTGTCAACCCACCTCCCCGGGAAGGCTGATAGGACCAGCTGATGTTGTCATGGCGGGATCGTCCACAGAGGGTTTGGCCTCATCGTGTAGAGACGGTTGATCTGACTGCACTTGTTTTATAAACAAACTTAATATGGCGTTACACGAACGATTGACATGATATAATTTATATACTGTTATACGTAATGACATTATAAATATATTGATTCTCCCCTGCACTCAGTCCCCGATTGCAAGGTTCCCTATTAGTAATTGAAAATGAATTTGGAATTTGAATTCTCTTCAAGTCTTGATTTATTCCATGTCAAGTACAGGACCGTACTGCCGATACCAGCTACGACTCGTCCTTACCGATACAACATGAAGCACATGAAATACCTGTCCTCTACACACCATGTTCATCTTGTCGTCCTTACCGATACAACATGAAGCACATGAAATACATGTCCTGTACACACCATGTTCAGCTGGTCGTCCTTTCCTTTCTAAAGTTACATTGTTTGCTCACATAATCGTGCACCATTCACACTGGTGTTGCCTGGTCACTTCAAGGGGATGACTCGGTTTGAAATCGGTTTGCATTGAGTAAATGACAAAGGAAAGGAAATTTCACTAAATTATGCATAGTAGAAACACACTGTTTATTTTTGCTATAAAAAGTTGCAACACAAAGTGTCCATTAAGTGGCGACAGCAACAAGTTATATGTTCATACACTCACCAATGTCCAGTATTTTGTTCCCGTCGAATGCCTTTAAACAGGCGCTCTTGTCCGGAGAATAGTGTTGGAAGCTGGCAGATAATGAAGCAGACCGCTTCAAGGGTCAAAACGATCCTGGAGAGCTCTAGTATTGCCACGATAGCTGTAGGTACATTTTAGCTGGTACTACAGTTCTACTGCTACTACTACTACTTACACACCAGTCCCCACCACACATCGCAGCTTAACACATCTAAGGCTAACCCTGAACACTCCACCGTTGTCAAGTAGTAACACCACTACTACAAACTACAACATATCCAAACACAGCCAGGCCATACTAGCCACAACCTCCCCATCTCTCCCTCCACCACCACCACATATCCTAGCACAGCCAGGCCATATCCTAGCAACAACCTCCCCACCTCTCCCTCCACCACCACAACATATCCTAACACAGCCAGGCCATATCCTAGCCACAACATCCCCACCTCTCCCTACACCACACCACAACACAACATATCATAACACAGCCAGGCCATACTAGCCACAACCTCCCCACCTCTCCCTCCATCACAACACAACACAACATATCCTAACACAGCCAGGCCATACTAGCCGCAACCTCCCCACCTCTCCCTCCACAACAACACAACACAACATATCCCAACACAGCCAGGCCATACTAGCCGCAACCTCCCCACCTTCCCTACACCAACACAACACATCCTAACACAGCCAGGCCATACTAGCCACAATCTCCCCACCTTCCCTACACCACCACAGCATATCCTAACACAGCCAGGCCATACTAGCCACAACACCCCTACGTCTCCCTCCACCACCACAACGCAGCACAACATATCCTAACACAGCCAGGCCATACTAGCCACAACATCCCCACCTCTCCCTCCACCACCACAACATATCCTAACACAGCCAGGCCATTCTAGCCACAACCTCCCCACCTCTCCCTCCACCACCACAACATATCCTAACATAGCCAGGCCATATCCTAGCCACAACATCCCCATCTCTCCCTCCACCACCACAACATATCCTAACATAGCCAGGCCATATCCTAGCCACAACATCCCCATCTCTCCCTCCACCACCACAACATATCCTAACATAGCCAGGCCATATCCTAGCCACAACATCCCCATCTCTCCCTCCACACCCACAACATATCCTAACATAGCCAGGCCATATCCTAGCCACAACATCCCCATCTCTCCCACCACCACAACAACATATCCTAACATAGCCAGGCCATATCCTAGCCACAACCTCCCCACCTCTCCCTCCACCACCACAACAACACAGCACAACATATCCTAACACAGCCAGGCCATATCCTAGCCACAACCTCCCCACCTCTCCTTCCACCACCACAACATATCCTAACATAGCCAGGCCATATCCTAGCCACAACATCCCCATCTCTCCCACCACCACAACAACATATCATTACATACCCAGGCCATGTCCTAGCCGAAACATGCCCATCTCTCCCTCCACACCCACAACATATCCTAACATAGCCAGGCCATATCCTAGCCACAACCTCCCCACCTCTCCCACCACCAACACAACATATCCTAACATAGCCAGGCCATATCCTAGCCACAACATCCCCACCTTTCCCTACACCACCACAACATATCCTAACATAGCCAGGCCATATCCTAGCCACAACATCACCTCTCTCTCCCACCACTACCACAACATATCCTAACATAGCAAGGCCATATCCTAGCCACAACCTCCCCACCTTTCCCTACACCACCACAACATATCCTAACATAGCCAGGCCATATCCTAGCCACAACCTCCCCATCTCTTCCACCACCACAACAACATATCATAACATAGCCAGGCCATATCCTAGCCACAACATCCCCATCTCTCCCACCACCACCACAACATATCCTAACATAGCCAGGCCATATCCTAGCCACAACATCCCCATCTCTCCCACCACCACCACAACATATCCTAACATAGCCAGGCCATATCCTAGCCACAACCTCCCCACCTCTCCCTCCACCACCACAACATATCCTAACATAGCCAGGCCATATCCTAGCCACAACTTCCCATCTCTTCCACCACCACAACAACATATCATAACATAGCCAGGCTATATCCTAGCTACAATATCCCTATCTCTCCCACACACTACCACAACATATCCTAACATAGCCTAGGCCATATCCTAGCCACAACATCCCCACCTTTCCCTACACCACCACAACACATCCTAACATAGCCAGGCCATATCCTAGCCACAACATCCCCACCTCTCCCTACACCACAACACAACACATCCTAAGACAGCCAGGCCATACTAGCCACAACTCCTCCCCACCTCTCCCTCCACCATCACAACATGTCCTGACACAGCCAGGCCATACTAGCCACAACCTCCCCACTTCTCCCTCCATCATAACACAACACAACACAACACATCCTAACACAGCTAGGCCATACTAGCTTACAACCTCCCTACCTCTCTCCTCCACCACACAACACATCCTAACACAGCCAGGCCACACTAGCCACAACCTCCCCACCTCTCCCTCCACCACAACAGAACACAGCACAACACATCCTAACACAGCCAGGCCATACTACCCACAACCTCCCCACCTCTCCCTCCACCACAACACAACACAGCACAACACATCCTAACACATCCAGGCCATACTAGCCACAACCTCGCCACCTCTCCCTCCACCACAACACAGCACAACATATCCTAACACAGCCAGGCCATACTAGCCACAACCTCCCCACCTCTCCTTCCACCACCACAACACAGCACAACATACCCTAACACAGCCAGGCCATACTAGCTACAACCTCCCTACTTCTCTCTCTCCACCACAACACAGCACAACATATCCTAACACAGCCAGGCCATACTAGCCACAACCTCCCCACCTCTCCTTCCACCACCACAACACAGCACAACATATCCTAACACAGCCAGGCCATACTAGCCACAACCTCCCCACCTCTCCCTCCACCACAACACAACACAGCACAACACATCCTAACACAGCCAGGCCATACTAGCAAAAACCTCTCCACCTCTCCCTACACCACCACCACACATCCTAACACAGCCAGGCCATACTAGCCACAACCTCCCCACCTCTCCCTCCACCACAACAACATATCCTAACACAGCCAGGCCATACTAGCCACAACCTCCCCACCTCTCCTTCCACCACCACAACATATCCTAACACAGCCAGGCCATACTAGCCACAACCTCCCCACCTCTCCCTCCACCACCACCGCACATCCTAACACAGCCAGGCCATACTAGCCACAACCTCCCCACCTCTCCTTCCACCACCACAACATATCCTAACACAGCCAGGCCATACTAGCCACAACCTCCCACCTCTCCTCCACCACCACCACCTGCACATCCTAACACAGCCAGGCCATACTAGCCAAAAGCTTATAACCTCCCTCTCTCCTTCCACCACCACAACCTCCCCATCCACCACCACTGCACATCCTAACACAGCCAGGCCATACTAGCAAAACCTCCCCACCTCTCCCTCCACCCACCACTGCACATCCACACAGCCAGGCCATACTAGCAACACACTCTCTCCCACCTCTCCCTCCACCACCACCGACAACATATCCTGACACAGCCAGGCCATACTAGCCACAACCTCCCCACCTCTCCTTCCACCACCACAACATATCCTAACACAGCCAGGCCATACTAGCAAAACCTCCCCACCTCTCCTTCCACCACCACCACCGCACATCCTAACACAGCCAGGCCATACTAGCCACAACCTCCCCACTTCTCCCTACACCACAACAGAACACAGCACAACATATCCTGACACAGCCAGGCCATACTAGCCACAACCTCCCCACCTCTCCCTCCACCACCACCGCACATCCTGACACAGCCAGGCCATACTAGCTAAAAAACCTCCCCACCTCTCCCTCCTCCACACACACACACACAGCACAACATCCTAACACAGCCAGGCCATACTAGCCACAACCTCCCCACCTCTCCTCCACCCACACAACACAGCACAACACATCCTAACACAGCCAGGCCATACTAGCCACAACCTCCCCACCTCTCCTTCCACCACCACAACATATCCTGACACAGCCAGGCCATACTAGCCACAACCTCCCCACCTCTCCTTCCACCACCACAACATACCCTAACACAGCCAGGCCATACTAGCCACAACCTCCCCACCTCTCCCTCCACCACAACACAACACAGCACAACATATCCTGACACAGCCAGGCCATACTAGCCCCAACCTCCCCACCTCTCCCTCCACCACAACACAACACAGCACAACACATCCTAACACAGCCAGGCCATACTAGCCACAGCCTCCCCACCTCTCCCTTCTCCAGCACAACACAGCACATCGCACAATACGTCATTCTCATCCCTACCATCCTATCTCCATTACTGCCACAAAACAGCACAAAACATCCTAACACAACCATGTCATGTTAACCATGACTTCCCAACCCTTTCTAGTCCACTACAACACAGTACAACACAGTACAACACAGTACAACTCACTTTAGCACAAGCCACAGAGCAATGCATAGCAACAGTGTCAGTGTGTTTTACTTTGTTTGATTGCATTTTATGTTCGCTTCTTTTGGCTATAGCTCTGGGAA